GGCCCCCCCCACTCCCCGCCCCCGGCAGCTGCCGCTCCCGGCCGCCTGCCTGCGTGCCCGCGGCGCCCGGCCCCCGGCCGCCGAGGAGGGGGCGCGGCCCCCGCCAGCTGCCGCTCCCTTCCGGCTGCGTGCCTGCCTGCCCGGCCGGGGGGGGGGGGCGCGGCCCCCCCCATTCCCCGCCCCCGCAACCTGCCGGCCCTGTACGCGTTACGCGCGTGCGCGCATTACGCGCGCCCGCGCTCGCGCACGCGTTACCCGCGCGCGCGTAACGCGCGCGCGCGCGCGTCTTGAAATTTTTTGCCGTTTCTCTGTGGCCAGGGGATTCTGTTTGTATTAATATGAGTTATCGATGAGCTCGAGTTTCAAACTCGAGCTTAAGTTTCATCACGCTCGAGCTTGGGCTTCAGGTTTGAGTTTAAGTGTGAGGCTCGAGTTTGCGACACAAGTTCCAGTTTGATTTTGAGACACCAGCTCGAGTTTGAAACTCAGATACACGCTGGAGTTTGAGATAGAAACTCCAGTTTGAGTCTGAGGCACAAGAAGCTCGAGATTGAACTTGAGATACAAGCTCGAGTTTGAGCTTGGGACAAAAGTCGCCCGACGGCTCAGCAGTTGTATGTCCGACGGCCATCCTCGGACAACCAAAATTCGCCCGACGGCTCAGAAGTTGTCCGACGGCCGTCGGACAGCCAAAAGTCGCCCGACGACCGTCGGACCCGACGGCTCAGAAGTTGTCCGACGGCCGTCGGACAGCCAAAAGTCGCCCGACGACCGTCGGACCCGACGGCTCAGAAGTTGTCCGACGGCCGTCGGACAACCGAAAGTCGCCCGACGACCGTCGGACGGCCAAAAGTCGCCCAACGGCCGCCGGACAACCGAAAGTCGTCCGACGGCCGTCGGGCAACCGAAAGTTGTCTGACGGCCAAAAGTCGCCCGACGGCCATCGGACAGCCAAAAATCGCCCGACGGCCGTCGGACGGCCAAAAGTCGTCCGACGGCCGCCGAACGGCGAAAAGTCGTCCGACGGCCGGCGCTCGAACGGACGGCCGGCCAAAAGTCGCCCGACGACCTTCGCCGGACAACCAAAAATAATCCGACGGGTCCGAAGTTGTCCGGCGCCACCGAGTCACGTCCATGCACCTTCGGGGCCGGGTTGACCAGATTGGGCGCGCCGAAGCCGGGACGACCAGATCGGGAACCTCGGAGCCGGGACGATCAGATTGGGGAGCCGGAAATGGAGCGACCAATCTGGGCGCGCGGGAGCCGCGACAACGAAGCACATTGGGCGCGCCGGCGCTTTGTTTTGCTTCGGGGCCCGGCGCTTTTTTCTTTCTAATTCGCTATCTAGCCATGCTAGCTAGCTGACGTTTGCGTATCTTCTAATCCCTACTTCCAGGCGAAGCTGGCATTGCTAGTACGAATGCGATACTTTTGCACAGGATAACATCTCCACGTTGTCGAAAGTCGCGTCGTCCGTTATGAAAAGGAAAGACTCCCCCTCCTCATATTGGCATGGTATGTTTTCGAGTATTTCTTTTGCTGATTTGTGGCCACAGATCGCGCCTGTCTTGCAAAATGGCAACGCCACAGGTTCCGCCTCATTATGCCGGCGCTTTGTGTTTGTGCTGGACTTTGAGCACACCCGCCCCACTGAGTGGCCAAAGCTTCTACCTGATAGGGTCTGCCAATCACCGCAAGCGCTTCAATCTCTGAGCAGACAGGGGGAGAGCCTCTGGCTGCGTTGCATCCTGTGAAGATTCACCATCCAAGGCGCGCCATCATTCATCATTCCACCATCACAAGACCTCAGCGCTAAGATCATGAGACGTCTCCCCTTCTGTATGCTGCGACTTTATCTAGGACGGCGCTCCTGGCTAAAGTTTTGATCCAGGAACTGGCCAGAATCTGGGACCTCCTGAGGTCGGCCAAATTGGTGCCATAGCATCTTCCTGGCTAGGGTTTGATCTAGGGCGGCCATCCTGGGTAAGGGCTTTATCCAGGGCGCCGGTCCTGAGTAAAATCCTAGCCCAGGGCATACAGATCGGGAGAACAAAACGCGGAACGTCCTAGGGTCCTGATTTGCTCAACTCGTCATCGTTTGCATGTAGAGCGCAGGCGTTTCGGGATCTCGTAGAAGCTTCAGTCTTGCGTGGAGGTAGGCCCTAGATCACTACATGACCAACAGTTTGCGATGCTGTTGGGCCTTCTAGATTACGGACGTTCTTCATGCTAAGCGCCCAGGCCAAAACCTCTCTACTCCGGCTTGATATGGGCCTGCAGTCCTCTCCAGCAAGACAGGTCTGATTTGTCTACGCAAATCCAACATCAGAAACTTCGTTTCGATATGGGGACGGGGGATCGTGTTTCCTTTTGATATCCGTTATGTCGTAGCACATGGGCATATGAAAGTGCAACAAAACTCGGTCCCACTCCCCGTCATTTCTTGGAGGCCATGACGAGCAGCAACAGAAGCCGAAGCAGTACTTAGCTGCAAAGGTGATTGAATTTGAAGTCGATGTCGTCTGCATGACAAATTGAAATTTATGGCGGATTGTAGTGCTGCTACTGTAACTGTTTGAGTTGCTGGAGTCCCTTCTCAGTCATTGCCACATGGTCAAGCGAACATATTGAAAATGAACAACTGGCAAAGCTGCGTGGTTGTTGAATAACATCATCAAGCGAGGGGACGAAGGAGCGAGGAGGATTTATGCACTCTCGTATACAACTCCCATTGCACTTCGGTAGTAGGCCGGCGTGATCGTGCGAAACCGCTCTTGTCCCGCGGTATCCCAAACCTGCACCCGTAGCTTCTTGTTGCCTCGCTCGATCGTCTTCATGCGAAAATCAACGCCGATGGTAATCACGAAATTCTGTTCGAATCTGGTGTTTTTTTTTTTTTGCACAAGGGTGGTGGAGGTATCTTGTTCAGTCTACAAGTGCGAGAGGCAAGGTCAACAATTGGCTTTGCGGAAATGATCATAGTGAAATATCTATATCATAAATTTATATATCAAAGCAACATTATCAACTATAACTACTGCTGCAACCACGACGTACTTGTCTTCGGTGAATCTCATCAGCAGCGACGATTTGCCTACAGCTGAATCGCTATGCATTGCAAAAGTATGACGCTCGTAGTCACACTGATTGCAGTTGGCGTCGGGCATGACAGGTCTATGGCTTGAGGGAATTCCATATAATCGCGAGCTTCTCGAGAAAGAGAAGTATTCTTTATTGCAAATCATGCAAACAAAAACAATCTCTCATACTGGGACGACACTTTTGCAGTCCATAATCACCCAACAGCAACAATTTTATGAGGTGATCGTAGTCGTCCGCCATCGTGGGTGTCTGTACGTCGGATGCTTAGATGCATTATGATGAAAAATCCCCCTTCCCTAGTCTGTTTCTGAAAGAGAGCGCCTGTGATATTCTTTCTGTAGACGTTTAGAAATATTCTCACTATCATACTAGTAGTATCCATCCAAGAAACAAGGCGCAGGTGGATCTTCTCGCTTACACACACTATGCGAGGAGGACCTCTGATAATGTAGATTTGCGGCTACAAAATAAATCCGTGCTGTTGCAAGAAGACAAAGCTAGAGGCGCAGCGCTTTCCACACTGACACGGTGCAGGAAATTTATATTCCCAAAGCACGAGGAGAGATTTGTACTTGTATCTTTTTCTGTATTGTTGCTGTATTTCTAGTCTGTATTGTTGCTATAATTTCCATCGCCATGGAGACATGCCAGTCGCCTTGCCAAAAGCCTAAGTCTCGTGCTTGCGATGGATGGGCTTGAATCTGAAATTTCTTTCTGCAGGTGGACTGAAATAATTTCTATTTTTTATTTGTGTAGTACACTTATTTTCATACATAGGAAAGCGCCTCGAGCATGGGGATGGGGGATAGTTCTCGCAAATGTGATACAGAAATAAAACGAATTTGTCTCTGTACTAGCAGTACGATAACCGGCACTAATACGAGGACTAGCAGTGCAGTCACTTCTGCAGCTTTCCGTCTTTCTGCGTCTCTTCTACGTAGACCTACTCCAAACACACCCCTTCTCGAAAAAATAGCTTGCTTTCCCTTCGAAAGTTTTGACAGAGCGCAACTTCCGTGCCGAGGTCTGATACCAATAGAGCGAAGAAGGTAGCCGATGCGCCGCAATCCTTTCTTGTCCTTCGTGTGATTTATTTGATCACCGCGAAAGTTGTTTGAGGCGTCGAAATTCAACGAATGAGCACGAGTGGCGTTGGCGCAGATAGGTGGAATGATGCGTAATCAAAAAATCCTGCTTTGCAATCGCGGAGGCCCGCGACTGGGACTGGAGAATCATCCTAGATCCGGATGCCTTATTTCTACTCTCGTGCTTTTACTTGACCTCCACCTAGCATTGAATTTCATAGTGATGTATTTTCGGTCAGTTTCGTCCGTTTGTACTTGTAAATTTTTTTCACAGACACAGAATCGCGGTAATATAACCAAGTAAGCGCGCGCGTGCGGCTATGTGTACGTAAACAGTAAGTGTTTGAAGCGCTTTCAAAGATCCGGTACAAATTGGTTAGGGCATGACCGTGGGGGTGGTGCTGCTGTTTCCAAATTCAAGTCCAAAATTTGTGCATGATAGATAATGTTGTATGGGAAGTTTTTTATTTAGCCAGCACTAGTTGGAGTTGCCCAAAGCAAGGCGGTCTATGCTGAAAAGTAGGCAGAGAGTTCGAGCCTCGGCCGCGTTGCCGCCGGGTTTAAGTCCGACTCCGAGGTGGAATATAATCACACATTACCTGAAGTAGACCGCGTCACTGTGACTCGAACACCTGAAGTAGAGAACACCAGCCTTCATCACAAGTCGGTCAACGACGCGGTGAGATGTTGAGCGCACCACTTCCATAGTACCCGTAGGTAGAAACAGTTGTAGGCCGCAACAAATACAGTTTTCCTTTTTCTTTCAAGCCCGATGTAACAACGCGGTCGTGGCTGTGCTGGCCAAAACCGTAATTTTACATTTCTTCAGGTTTTTCTGATGTCCTGGCGTATGGTAATGTTCTTCTTCCTCGTGCTGCACGTGGATCATGTCTTTTAGATATAGTGAAGATTTCCACATGCCATTGGCAACTGCACCTGCAGGTCATGTAGTATTGGCATATACCAGATCTTGAACGTAGACCGATCCGAAAAACATCTTTTACATACAAACTAACTACTCATGCGGTTAATAGGAGTCTACTGTTTTTGCGCCGGTAGAATTAGCTTGGTGTATACATTGTGATTCCTTGCAGCATCATCTACTGTAAAGTGGCTCCTAAATATTTTGCATGAAAATGATATCAGTAGAAATAAATGAAACAAGTCTATATTATAAGCTCTAGAAACATTACGTCAACATGAAATTGCAAGAAATGGAATTTGGTATATAAATGAAACTGAAACTTCGACGCACTGGCATGCGATTAGTGGTTCCATTTGCTGCGGCACCCGAATTGCGTACGCGCGACCATCTTCTGCCCGTTCTTACAGGCAGATATCGATTTTTCGGTCTTGCATGCATGGTTTCTGGACGCGATTGCTTGCTGCCATCACCTTGACCGACACGCTGCGTAACGCATCCCGGAGCTTGTAGTGGTTTACGAGCGCTTGCTCCACTGCGTGCCCGAAGAGACTGGGCCGCTGCGCACTGTAGTCGCCCATATTGGAGAAACCGCTGCGGCTGGCATCCCAGCCCACGGACCCAGGAAAGGGCGCGTCCTGAATCTCCAGCACCATCTATCCTGTGTAAAAACGTCCGTACCCCATAGTCGTCATGCTAAGCAGAAGTGCGGCACAGCACTATGCTTCCTTCATACAAGTTATCACGGTCACGCAGATGATTTGCATACGCAGGAACGCTTGTAATGCGCATCCCGATGAGAAGCATTAATGTACATTATCGTCGTGTTTTACTTTTAGCATTTGTAATGTTGTGGACGGGATCACCAGATGGGTTCGTGACGCGGCTTTCTTTGCTACCCTGCACGACACTACAGAGAGACGCTTGTCATGCGTGACTGCCAAAGCTTCTCGATTTGTGTTGCAAAATTCCCAGCGTGACTATGGGGTGCTGGGGACGTTTTTACATAGAATACCATCCGTCGCGAGACGGGATTACGCGTGCCAAGCTCTGGCAGTCGGCCGCCAGGCGTGGTTAAAATATCGCAAGAAAAAACTGTTTCGCTGTAAACTATGTAATTATGCAGAAAATGCATCTCGCAAGAGTTTTTCTTGCGACACATGCAAAAGAGTGGTTTTTTACCGTTGTTTTCGTGCTCCCTTCGGAGGCTCGCATGACATCAGAGGTCTAAGGGCAGGTCGTTGACGTTGGTACTTTCGGCACTCACGGCCCTAAAAATAAAAATAGAAAGGTGGAGGAAGTAAGATCACAAAAAACTTGTCACATACACCTTACAAAAACGTATTCAGATTTGAGTTCTTATGTGAGTTCGACGAGGTGGAGGTAGCTTTTTTATGCGCCAGCGGAATTCTTTATCTTTTGCTTTTCATTCACATTCTATGTGCCTAGAGGCTCGCATGACAATTTTTAGAGCAAGCTTGTGATGCAAACCTTGCAAAATCCATACAGCGAATCAATACTTTTTTCGTGGGATATAAAACTTCGTCGGTGTAGTGCGCAAACATACTTGTCTGGGTGGCCAGGGCAGCATCACCACGTGCGTCAAACGCTACGTCCTCGTCGCAAATCTCCCGTATGCAACGCAAATGTGTTGTAGTCTGGCTCTGCGTCTATAAATTAAGCAGCCTTGTGATGCGCCGTCGGCGTCCAGTGACAGTGTCAGCCTCAGTGTGTGCGTGTCATCCAAAATCGGTATTGCCATTGCGGGACTTCTCTCAAAATAATATGCCCATCTTCTATACTTTGGCCGAGTTGCGAGCACGTATATCATGATTCATTGAGACGGAGGAATTATGATTGTCATGTTTGTCGTGGGGTCGCTATACGACAAAGTAAAGACCTTGCACTTGTTGCAAAATCTGCGCTCATGCTACTTAGCGCCTGCACTTCTGGTTCTGACCACGGCATGCAGGAGTTGCGTGACGTCCTTCCGTAGTCCAATCCTCCTGCATACGGCTCGCTGGCAGATGAGAATTCAATTGCACAAGAGACCCAGACATACCAATATTTGCTGTGGATATCCGTCGGGGTGTGGCTATACCTGGTAGTCAAAAAATTGAGTACTGTTCCGGGGCATAAAGAACGTGGCTCGAAAGTGAAAGTGCTGGGCATCAATTACATCGGAGAAGTCAAACCTGCCGATCGACCTCCAATATGATTAAGCCGAGAAGCAATATACTTAAGTATGCTTCACCTTCTCCGTGGGCATTGAAGGCATTCAGTGAAAAAAGCAAAGTTTGATCACAAGAAACTGGTACAGGATTGCAATCTTTTCGTCGTTCAGAATATCTTGCGAGTGGAGTCCGGGGTTGAAGATCCGGTCCACAGGTAGCATATGAGCTCACAACTCCACCGCCCCCCTACTCCTTTCGCCACGCTCACGCATCATAATGAGGATAAGCATGCCAAATTCTTCTACACTTGCAGTTGTTGTTCTAGAAGCCTTGCTTATGCTTTCTTGAGGCATCCTCTAATTTTTGGCGTTATTTGCTGCATGATCAGTTTGAAAATGAAAACAGTTGCTCGACGCTCTGCATTTGTGGTTCCGTTTTCATGTGTGATCGTGCCTCCGTCGTGCAGCTCTTCAAATGACGTGGAGGGGGAGTAGTTTTGCACGCACTTCTGTCATATTGCACGGAGCCAACACAGTACTTGTCTCCGTACTCGAGCTCGTCCGAAGTAGGACCGTTGTAGCGTCCGTAATAGCGGTTTTCCTCCACGCCGCGCTTGTTGAGCGCTGTGTGTGTGACGAAGTTTTGGAAGCTTGTACAACTCCGGTTCATCGTCCCGGCTCCCCCCGCTCCGCTGGTAAAGGAAAATGCGCCCATGGCCGCGTTGGGTTTGTGCGCGTTATTGTTGATCAAGCTTGAGCCCGTCTGCGAAAGAAAGTTGTCTTTTGCGTATCTGGAGTCTTCATTGAAATTTCGAAAATTTCCAGCGTGGGGATCATCCAAAACGCCCAGGCGTGTGTTTGGCCCGAATTGGGTGCGCAGGATACTACCGATCTGAGTAGTTGGTTTGGTTTTTCCTTTTCGCTTTTACTAACTTGTTCAAAGAAAAAATCGATCCACATGAATGGCGCAGTGAAGTGCAGAGCAAAACGGTAGCAGCTGAGACCGAACGACTCAGCCGTGGACCACTGGCGGCAATTCCTAGGAAAATCATCAACGATTTTTGGATGCGATTTTCTGTTTCAACGCTATCGACATTTCTATCTACATGTACATAGAAGATAGTTAGATCATCAGAAGAAACGATACCTGTGCATCAGTCTGCGCGAACCATGTACAGGGCACACTAGTGTCGTGTTTGTCCTTTTCTGACAACAAATGAAATGCGTAGTCTTGGTCTTCTACTCGTTCTTCCTCCGTCCTCGCATTTGTGGGATTTAGTGTCTGGAACACGGGAAAGTTACTCGCATCTGGCCGAGAAGCGATGCTGTAATGGTCGGTCCCCGAGGGTTGGTGCTCCTCCGGCCGCATGCTTTCGGCTGGCTTCCAGTCCCCCGTGCTGGTCATCATGAGATTATAGCCATCTGATGTCGCTCCGAGATCTGGTATGGACATGCGCAACTCTCCCGCCTCTGTTCATTTTTAATTTTATTTCTTGTCCTGCATTATTTTCTTTTATGAAGTGGCTTCATCTTCTTAATGCTCGTACTATCCTTGTACGTCTCCCCAACTCGTACTCGATGCATAAGCAGAGACCAGCATGACCACGCCGCAGTGCGCAGCCGGACCCAGGGGGCGCCACGTCCACATGCAGACCGCGCCATTGTGACTGCCGCCCCCTGTTTTGTCTGTAGGTGGCACACTCATGGGCGCTTGACCTCCCGCACCATCAGGCAGGTCAATCGCAGCCAAATGCGTCATCACGTAAACTAGTAGGCGTCAGCTGTGCCACAGCTGCAGGCGAATCATCTAGCACGAGCAGCTCCTCCCGCTGCGGCTGCGCTGGCATTTTGCATGACAGAGTAAACTGGGCTCTTTTTGTTACGCGCGCAAACTACTAGGGCGACAGCACGGCAAAGTCAAACTCAAAACGTGCGAGCACCAACGTCAGGAGCTTTAGGGTTGTTATCACTCTTGGTCCACACGCAAGGTGCAAGACAACTACACACCAGGACCATTGGGCACCATATACATATCAGGACGATTTCCACATAGCTTCAAATTATTTACCGCAAGCACACTCTGTGTTGCTCGAATCTACATGGCTGCGCGTTTGTCATCCAGGTGCGCAGTTTTTTTTCATTAGAGCGGCGTAGGAAATTCGGCCGAAGAGTGGCCGTCTCACTTTTCACGCGCCCGGCCGGGTGGGTGAAAAGTGGGACGGACCCACGCCCCTCGCCCGGTGGTCAGCTGCAAATCTCGAATAATTAAAGAAACCTGGTGAACCTTGTCCATCTAAAAATGGGCTCTGGGTGGAAGGCCACTTTTCGGCCGAATTTGTACCAGATCCAGTTCCGTTCTCTGTAGTCTGATTGACAAGCTTCGGAATATTAAGGACCCAAAACAACACTACACACCGCGACGGGTAGATCTAGATTTGCTTTTAGCTTTTGCTTTTGCATTTGATTTTGATGCCAGTGCCACGCAAGGAAAAATAGAAAAGCTGTAGCTGCAGCGTTGCTCCTCTGGTCTGTTGCGCAGGTGCCTTTCATTCAAATTTGAGGAGAAGAGGGAGTGGCGTGGTCCCAACATATCTGGGATGAGTTCCTGACTGCGCATGTGCCTTTCTTCCCTCTCGTCGAGGATCTCCTCGCGCCCGACACCGTACCTCTATCCTGGTTAAAAACGCCCCACCATCGGCCAGAGATGACAACTTGCGGACATGCTACACAACTTAATTGGGTGAGTGTGTTGCGAATAATTGAATAATTATTTGCAACACGACACTCAGCGCCCAAGCCTTGTGATGCCAATCCAGGGAAGAAGTTTAAGTTGCGCCTGCACCTCGTTAAAACGACGCCTGGTATTTCTAGTCGTGTCTTGTTTTTTGTATGCACTTCTTTTTGAATCAACTGCAGCACAAGCTGATGGCTTTGTGATGAAGATAAGCCTGTGCTTGATAATCACTACCGCGTACACTTTTTACGCGGATCTGAGTTTCCAGCTTGACGATGCGATATTGTGCTGGCGGGCGGGGCGTTTTTCCTCCGGATAGCCTCGGGTTGTAGTTGAGAGACTGCAAGGGGTTAGCTGTAGCTCCAGGGACGTATGCGTTGCAAATGTGTCGTAGTCGAGTCAAACGTCGAGCAGATGCAAATAGCAGTGATTTACATATACTTACTTTTGTCCAGTCAATTATAAAGATGCAATTTCTTCTTGGCCTAGTACCGTCAGGAAAAAACCCGATACGTGTGATGCAGTACGACTACGAGCACACTTGTGTAGAGGATACAAATGCGGCTCCGCCAGCACCGGCTGCAGAATCGTCGGCCATTCGATTTGTGCGGGGACCCCCAACGGCGCCACCGCCACTGCCCGACGCGGGGGTCGCACCATCCCGGCGGGTGTCCTGGATCAGGTGCTGCCCGCTGCCATTGAAGAAGTTCCGGTCTGTGCCACTCGCTAACGGGAGATCATTCGGACCGAGGGCGCGCCTGAGAAAAAGCGTTAACTTTTTGAAGTAGAGCTATAAGCTTTCATAACATTCGTTAGCATTATGCTTGTTTATATATTGGGGCGACGGCTGGCCTATGCAAGTTTTTGCTGGTCGTCATGTGTGTGATCTAAACCCTCCCGCGCAATGGTCTAAAGCTTCTCAAGATGTTGATCCGAGACGCAACGGCCTGTTCCGAAGAATGAAGAAAAGGCTTGAAATCAAGGACGAGGTGGATGAACCTTTCATCCACCCTCCTCGTCGAGGTGAGTGAATTATCCTTGCCCATCTCCGTCGAGTTTGATGAAATCTCCGCGCACCTCCGGCGAGGTGGGTAAAATCAGCGCCCACCCTCGCTCGTCAAGGTGTATGAAGTCTTCGCACATCCTCGAGGAGTCGGATGGCATTCTCGAGATGCAGCTGAATCGCGCTCTGATGTCCATTCTGACGGACCAGAGGCCGCCTGGCGAAGTGATGCATGAGAAGAGAGAGAAGGAAACGACGACGATGATGCGGGAACTTTGTCGCATCTTCACAGAACGCAGCGCAATCAGAGGCCTTCGCCGTGTGGTCTGCTGAGAGAGCGAGAGACTGAGGCACCTCGGAAAAGGACGCCGACGTTGACGCGTTAGCCACTCAGTGCCGCCCCCGGTGTGTTCAAAGCCCAACACTTTCCGGCATCACGGTCATGAAGATTGTTGAAGATCTGCGTCTGTTAAACATGCACTCGACAACTTGGACGAATTCTGTCGAGAAGGTTAACATACAAAAACAAAAAGTTGTAACAAGTAGTAGGCTTGCTCTTCAAGAAGAGCAAGGGCATTTATGATACACTCACCTCGTATCTTCCTTCCGTTCCTGCAAATCTGCCCACAAAGCTTCCTGGCCCAAGACCGGCTCTCGATTTCCGGGGTAGTGGTTCAGGTGTTTCACCGGCATGGAGCCCAGCTGTGGTCCGCAGCTGGACGGAAAGCTCTTGACGGCTCCCGTTGACGGGAATGGCTCAGTGGCGGTACCGCCCATGGCTTGGAGTCTTGCCAGTGCCTCCGCGCCGTGCTGCTCAATGAAGGCAAGCTCCTTCCTTGTGTAGGGTCTCTTCATGTGCACCGCGTTTTTGTTCCCCAAGGCACTACATGCTTGGCAAACATGCATCAATCTTGGTCGAGAAGAGTTCACCACCTGTATCGCTCGCGTGCTCTAGATGAACAGGAGCTGCAATACTTCTACATGCACGTGGCGCAGAGTGGCGGCAGCTTGGGTGGGAGCTAGCCTGTGGTCATGCAAAATGTGATTTCCCATCGCCACCATTCGGCCATCAAAAGACTGCTTCTGCTCATGCAGATCTCTGTATTTTTGGAACTACAGTAACAGTTGCGTGATTGGTTGGACATCAACATAAGTAGTAACCTCCTCTCCAGACCCCGACAAGCCTCTTTGCAGTTGATACTTTCTGGTAAAGCTCACCAGTGGCAATTGGCTTGTTGTTCATCGTGGTTACAGTATCGAACTGCGCAACCTGCTTTGCTGTGAACTCCCTTACCCTTACTGAACTGCAGGGCAGCATCTAGAAACAGTATGTCTTGCAGCAGCAGCTCGTAGAAATGCAATTATAATGTGGAGGCCGACCAGGACCACCATTTTTCAGTTTAGCAGTATTTCCTTCTCAAGATTGGGACGCAACATGCGCTGCAGAGTTTAACTTTCAAACATGCGTCATTGGTGACGAACTCGTCCTGCTGCTGTTCATCTTCATGCGCATAATCTATTCCTTGCTAAGAGTAAAGTCGTGACGGCCAAACAATTGTTTCGCAATTTCAAGGCAAAAGCCAAAAAGTAAAAACTAAAAGTAAAAACTAAAAGTAAAAACTAAAAGTAAAAACTAAAAGTAAAAACTAAAAGTAAAAACTAATAGTAAAAACTAAAAGTAAAAGTAAAAACTAAAAGTAAAAACTAAAAGTAAAAGCTAAAAACTAAGCTACGGGTAAAAACTAAAAGCAAACGCAAAAACTAAAAGCAAAGGCGAAAGTCCAAAAGTGAAAGTTGAAAGCAAAAGGAAAGGCAAAGCTCGAAGATGAGGGCCAACAGCAGAGCTTGCAAACCTTTTGAATTCGACAAGCAACAAAAATAGGAGGCAAGGTCGTCAGAGCTGGCTTAAAAAAGCGCGCGCGGCGCTGGAAGGAAGAACGACGCCCCAGGCTTTGAAAGTCTTGAAGAGCTGGCGGGAGGCAATGACCAAGCCTAAGCAAAACGATCTCGGCACGCAGTGCCTGCATCGGGTGGAAAAGCAAGGGACTCTTGTCGCCTGTGGAGACCTACCCACAATTCGGCACGAAAAATGGCAGCCACGGCATGCAGAAAAGTGGCGCAAAAACCACTCCAGCCACAACAACTGCTCGCAGCTGTTAGCACAGCCGCGCATACGCCTTACAACCGCAAAAACTGCTTGCGACCGCAGTCAATATCTGCTTACAACCGCAACCGCAAACGGGGCGGAGCTGCTTCTGGCCCGGGCTTTTCGTTTTTTATTTTTGAGCTCCTGTCCTGGCTCTTTTGTTTTTCGGTCTAGCGGAATAATTGAATTTTGTTTCACACTTCCACAGGCGAAGCATACGTGGCTAGTTCTACAAAAACAAAATCATCACAGGGAAGCAATTTTTTCGCATGATAAAATAGATGCTGCCGGTGGGAAAGCGACGCCTTCGCCCGCCCCGAAAGCTCCGGTCGTGTGCTGCTGGTGGCGGTGGTGTAGCTCTGTTTTTTTGCGTAACCGTTCGCGTTCGTTGAAGTTGATGCACCTACTTACTAGCATGCATTGGCTTCGGCGGCTGTAGCGCTTCAGCATTGCGGTAACGTTCACCTATGAAGATCGCGCCCGGAGGGCGATATTGGTAACCAAATGCGTGCGCGAAAATCTAACCAGCGCGAAAGCCAAACCAGCCGCGCGGCAAAAGCGCGGCCCTGCGGGCCGCGCTTTCGCCGCGCGGCTGCCACCACCATTTCTTTTAATTAGAATCCCACTTCTTCTTCTTGAGCCGCGGGCCGCAGTTTGCGGTCGCGGCCCAAGGGCCGCGGACAACTACTGTCGCCCGCGGCGGCCCGCAGGCTCCTGCGATAAGCATTGAAGGCGAAATCCGGTCTGCTATTTCGCAGCGGGGCATCCTTTCTAGCCCCCTGCATGACAAACTGGCCTCCTGGCCAAGAAGGTATGTGGAAAGCCGAATCTCCGCGGACCCTTCCGGGCCACCAAAATCGGGCATTTCAGACGCGGCGGAGGTGCAGGATTTGTGCCCACAAACCAGGGCAAATAGGGATTTTGTGACATCCCTCCGCCCGCTTCTAATGCGTTTTTTTTTTCACAATCCCGATGGTATGGCGCGACCACGCGCCCGCCGGACCGCCCTTGGCGGCCAGTTTGTAAGCCTGCCGAGGGTTCTCGGTTTTTTTCAATTTTCGCTCTTTTTTGTGGTTCTTAGGTGGCCGAAGGGCTCCGGACATTTTCACCGACCGCAGCTGCCTGGCAGTTTCGGAGCCTGCGGAGGGATTGCGCTTTTGCGCATTTTTTTCTCTTTTTCTGGTTTCCAAGTGGCCCGGGCGACCTGGACATTTTTACCGCCCGCATCTCCCTGGCAGTTTTGAAGCCTGCGGAGGGATTGCGCTTTTGCGCCATTTTTCATCTTTTTTCATTTTCCAAGTGGCCCCAGCGACCTGCACATTTTTACCGCCCGCATCTGCCTGGCAGTTTTGAAGCCTGCGGAAGGATTGCGCTTTTGCGCAATTTCTCATCTTTTCTCATTTTCCAAGTGGCCCCAGCGACCTGCACACTTTTACCGCCCGCATCTGACTGGCAGTTTTGAAGCCTGCGGAAGGATTGCGCTTTTGCGCAATTTCTCATCTTTTTTCATTTTCCAAGTGGCCCGGGTGATCTGCACAAAATCCGACGATTGCTTCCCCCCACGTTATGAAGCAATTTTTCGCCATTTTTTTCCAACTTTTTCCAGTTACGAAGCGGCCCAAGGCTTCCGAACAGGTCGCGGGCCTGCTGCTCCAACGCAGCTGGCCAGCGGGCGGAGCAAAAAATAGTCCGCCTCTTTTTCAGATACTAAGTGGGCCAGACCGCAAAAATGCTCTTTTTTCACCTTCTCCCGCTTGGTTTCTGCCGTTTTTGCGTCATTTTTGACCTCCTGGCCATTTTCCCATCTGGTCCGCTTTTTTTCCCTTCTCCCGCTTCATTTCTGGCCATTTCCCTGACCTTCACGCCTCCCGGCGGTTGCCCTATATGGTAACGGCAACTGCCTTCGCGCTGCGTTTGCTAAGCAATATCGCAAGCGCGCAGAGCGCGCGCGCCGGCTTCGTGGGCCGGCGCGCGCTCTGCGCGCGCGCGCGCACGCATTTGGTTACCAGATCATGTATAGTATTTGCGATTCTAAAAATGTAAATTTGCACCTGCTCAGTTGTTCCGTTGCCTGTCGTGTCGATGACACCAATGCCGTGGCCCTTAAGTGCCTTCGTTGGGGTAATTCCATCGTCGAAAAAGCCCCTTTCTGCGAAGGACGAGTTCGTGGACGTGTTGTACCCTGCTTCCCGGAAGCCGGTTTTTTGAACGGTCCTGCAGGCGTCCAAAATCACAATCGAGGGGCCCCGTGCTTGTGCAATTTCTCGCCGTCGCGCTCGATCCTGTAGTCAATTAAGCATGTCATGTAGTAGATTCATGGACTTCAGTTTAGTTTCGAAAGATGGGCATAGCACGATATTTGTGTGATAGAATGCACTCCAACATACTTAATCAATGTGTGTGCGTGTGGTATTGCTGCACTTGTAGTAAAATAAACAAGAATGCCATTCCAGTCGCTTTTTTGCAGAAGAACGAAACCACATCGCGTGCAATATCAATCATCTAAGTCAGAGAGCATTATCGATGTGATAGATTATGATCTAGATCTTCATCTTCTATGATATGGCATCAGATTATGCTACGCGTAGCTGCATACGCACACGACGTTGTTGTGCGATACCTACTTTTGCGTTGGTAGTTACGAAGAGCGATACATAGGTCAGTGACAGTCGCTAATATAATTTTGGATGAGAACGGAAGTGCTTCTTCACCAGTTTCTACATACTTCGCCGGGCTTCGTTGAACAAGCCCGAAACTGAACCAAGAAGATCCGAGGAATTTGTTACCGGTTTGAGTTCCACGTCTCTCCTTCGCCTTTGTCCGGTGCGTGTCAGCATTATGGAGGCGCGAGCCTCGAAATTGACAAAGTTGGAATGATCTGCCACAGAGTAGGTGTAGCGAAGAGCAGGCAAATGAGGCCAATTGTAAGCCCAATTAGGGGTAATTATGCGGCTGTAGTTTAAGAGCATGCCACAAGCAGCTCTTGCATCTGCACCAAACAATGCGACATAAATATTGAATTTAGGCTCTCGCACCGAAATTTGTCGCAGGAACCGCTTGGCAAACTGGTGTTCATTTTATGCGTCGCGATATTTCAACTACTTTGTCGCTTTCAAACCTGACGCTTCCATAGGCATGGCCTCCACAATGGACTCGACTGATACCCTGTCCTCATCCGGAATCAGGTGGAACTTGCGGTCGACGCCAAAAAGCAGCGAGCGGCTTCCTTGCCTACAGCCCAAACCGGCAAAATAAAAAAGCGCGACGTCGCCCACGCGGAGATTCTGGCAGAATTGGTCTACGTTGTCATTCATTGCAGCGGTACCTATATCAAAAATGTTAATGCTGTCGTGATGAAGTAGATCAAGATAGTGATAGTGATAGTGGTTGCAGTTGTATCATCTGCATCATGCTAAAAGCACAAGGGTGTTGAAGAACTACGGCTCCTTGCTCCTCTTTCGCGAGCGAAAGCGGAACCTTAGGCGCGCACTTCTTCATTGGTGAACAGGGAGACGGTCCTGCTCCTGCTCTTGCGCATACGCATAGGTATAGTACAAGGAGAAATCCCCTTCCCCATATACTAACTAACTCAGAACAAGATATCCGCTGCAGCGCACTTTGTGTACACAAATCTCAAATCGACTTGCATCGCTAAAATGCCAATAGAATCTGAATCACTGTTCCCGGCGGTGCAGTTGTTCTTGTTTCCTGTGATACTGAAGACGCAATGCTTTCACACACCCACGCCAGCCAGCACCACAGTCCACATCTCTTTCCTGTTTCTGTCGCGCCAAGGCCAACCCGGCTCGTGATTACAGATCATCTGATCATCATGCTACACAAATGCAAATCTCAGCGTGAATACGAAGACGGAAGGGAGATTTTTCATCTTGGTAGCACGCAGCCTTTTTCTACTTCTTATCTTTCCGCAACGTACGACGTCCTCGCCGCAAAAAAGATGCGGCCTTTCTTACATAATTTTTGCGAAACGCTCTGAATATGAATAAAATCACGAAGATGTTGATATTAATACTCAAGTTCGTTCGGACAAAGGTCTCGAATTTCATCGCGGTCAATCGCCTGCCCACAACGGCTACGTCTGCTTTTGCGAAGGGTACATGCTCGAGCGTTTCGTAGTGCGTGTTCCCGATCAACAGCGCTATTCTTCGGGCCGTGGGCTGGGACACCGCGTTCTTCAAATTCGGAAAGTAATTTTGCTGGCATTTGAGATAGTAGACCACGTGTGGCTGTTATGCAGTAAAAAAATCACCGTGCTTACAATTACATGACCAACAAAATGCTACGAAAGTTGTTCAGTAAATTTGACCACACATCACCAGAAGTAGAAGTACTAGCCCATAAATAAAGGAAAAGGTTAAGGCTTTGCTTTTGTCTTTCACTTTGTCACGGTAAAACATAAACACCGTCACGGAGAGCGTACTATCGTTTCATTTACTTGCTGTCCGGGAATTTTTCATTATGGATAGCTGTCCGCTTTTTTTCGCGATTTCCACCGGTGTGAGGCCTTCGCTCTCTTTTGTCACGTTCGCCCCCAGTGCAATCAGCAGCTTCACCGCCTCCAGATGCCTATTTGTGTATGTGTTTTGGAGATCAATGATTTTTCCATAGTGCAAATAATCCGCTGTAGACGTATTGGCATGATTCGGAACAAGGCAGCTGGTACAGCAGAAAATCAACTGCAAGCGTCGATCGTCCAAATTGAAGGAGCTCACTGCCCCGATGTCCGGGCGTTTCTATATATAATTGACGTCTTCGAGGACGATACACCGATGCTGTAACAACCACGACACCAGGTGGCAAAAAAAAATTACCCTGCAGCAGCTGCTATCCATAAGGGAGTTCGCGTTGTACTGGGTTCCCGCTGGTCCACGGACTCGCTAGTTTCGTATAGAACTGCCAGGCTTGAAATCGATACGTACCGTTGAAGTGATGTGTTACGCTTCTAAATCAATCGAAACCTGCTAATGGCATTTTTCCACAGATGGAAAGGTCACCAGTTCGTAGAGTCAGGCGGACCTGCGCAGCCATCGCCATCACGACACGCGATGTGATGGCACGAAGATGCATGAAATGCGAGGCACAGAGTGCCTGTATTGGAGAGCTGGCAAATGAGCAGGCTGCAGATCGCCAGCCTAAGTAGGGACAAGAATGTGGCGGCTAAAGAAAAAAAAATGCCACGAGCAGCCCCTTTTGCGCCAAACACCTTTGCGACAAATTGGATTCAGGTGCTCGCAAAAAAAATTTTCATGCGCCACTTACTTAGGCATGGGACGGCGGGAGTCAAACTGTTACATCAATTATTTGATGCGTCGCAAATAATTGCACTTCTGTCGATCTTCAACCTGACACTCCCATACTTCATTCGCCCGGTTTAGTAGGCCGTCAACGTCCCCTATTGCTGCAAGGTTCCAAAGTATGAAAGAGAAAAAATAAAGTGAGACGCGACAGTTATAATTTCAACACAACTGCGGCTGCGCAGACTTTTCAGCATCACAGATTTGGCCTGCAGGACCACATCAGGGAGAAACATGCAAGAAGCGAGGTTCTTGACCAGCAAAACTTCAAGCATGACCGCCACAGAGGTTTTTTATCTTAATCTGGTTTGTGTTGGTCCTCCGGTAAAACAGTTGGAAAATCATGGATGTATGTAATATTAAAATCAAACACTTATTTTCTCTTTACATACAAAGCGTTTGTCCACGGGATGCTTCGGGAATGGTCTTCTTCGCCATCTTATGCATTGCAAATGTGTACTCGTATTGCGGGTTCTCGTCTGGAAGCTTGTGATGCGGGACGAATTGGGGATGAGTGTTAAAACGTGTCCACTACTTTCAGCGGCCAAGCACCATCACATACAACTTCTTTCTACTGTTAATTCTGTTTCTGATTCGTACCAGGATGGAAATGAATTACGAATCGCCTTTCCACTGCATAACGAAGGAAGCTGCGGCGCTCTTGTATTTTACAATCGGTCATGCGCCTGCAGAAATTAAAATTATGCACGACAAGCGTCACAAGTGCAAACTCCCCACACCGATACGCTTTTGCAATGCATACATCTTGTCTGGGGACCGGACCATCTTGGCCGATGAAGAGGCAAAGGCGCGTGCGAAAAAAATGACGCGCCGGTCGGTTCTAGGTATATGTAAGTTTTGCGTCACCGCCGACCACAATGAAGTTCCAACGGCGAAATTGCGTCCCTGGAGGGCTTCGACCAGGACGACAGAGTGAAGATGTCCAGCTGCACCTGCTCCACCTCCACCTCCTTACTCAGATGATCAGCTACAACACGGGGCCTGAGTGATGTACCAGTTTCGTTTCTCGACGCGCGCCGACGAGAGGCTGCTTTAGGACGACATACCTCTACCTCGCTGGAAGAAGTACATGAATTACATGATGAAATAATGGGTTGCAATGTTGTGACGGAAAATAAAAAAAAGGGAAGACCACCTGCACCACGCGACCAAAACAAAGAAACGCCACACGTGGACACGGAATTTCTAGTTCATTTTTTCATTCTTGTAATACCTATGGTATAGCTGTACCTGCAGCTGGACGACATACATTTGCTCTACTTGAACTTGTTTCACGAACCCAAGAACGAATCAATTAATTCGCGCTACACTTCGTAGGATCGAATACTTTATTTCAGTAAGCCTCTCACTAGGTGCATCGGAGATATATCATGTGAATCCCTGCAGCCCGTGCCCAAACCCAAAGCGGATCCGGTAGCAAAAGCATTGCCATGTAGTGAGTCCCTACCCAAAACAAATCCTAACCGATTGATTCGGAGTCCGATGTCTCGCCTGTTTTGGTTCTGATTCATTTGACGCAGCATGACGACGAAAAACGATATTACGAATCTTGGAAGCTCTCGCTTGCAGAGTTATGACGCGACAACATCCATGTTATTGGTTTAAAGTGTCCACTCTGGCCGCCAATGCTGCCCGCGCCTTTTTTTCTATAAAGAAGAAACGATATCGATTGATACCACGCAGGCAGCTAGCTTTGCGCCCGAGCGAGTTGCCAGATCTGGCGAGGCCATGCGCGGCCATCGCTCACCAGCTTAGCGGAAGCTGACTGCCTCAGAGGGGCGCGCGAAGATTTGCTAAACATAAATTTGCTGCAAATTATTTGCTGCGCCGCGCGTGCGCTCGAATATGCGTGGTAACGCCAATGCGTCGCAGGCCAGACTGAATTCCTAGCGCAAACTCTTTTCGGAGGCGTCTGACTTTTTGCCACAAGATCACGTTCACGACACAACAAATTGGTATTGGTTGCAGGATTTTTTTCCGAAATAAACTTGCGGGCAGATTTGCCGACATAAGTTCACATTTTGCAGCAAATTTGAAAAAGACGCAGAAGCCTACACGATTCGCGCCGCTTGCCTTTGGCGCAGTAGCTATAGACGCACTATTGCGATCACCCCTGTCAAATTGGCGCTGTGTTTCAAGGCCAGGGAATCAACACCAGGGCGGAGCTGCCGCTCGGAGTATTTCAATTTTTCGAATGAAACGGAAAATGGATTCTTCAAGCCATTAATCGTGAGTAAGTACGTGTCTCATTTGCATCTGGTGTACACTCAAAGAGCAACAGCCCGCGTGGCCCTCCCTTTGTGGTCAATGCTCGAACAAGACAAAGACGACAAACGAAAAACAAAGTAGCACTTGCAACATGAGCTTTTCGCATTCATATACAAAATGAAATGGAATTGCGTGTGCGCTTTCAAGGTAGAAACGAATCATCACCATCACGATATCCCGCAGATACCCGGGGGACGTTCGACGTTATTGAAACACACGAGGGCCGGACCCGTTGTGACGACTGTGCGTAAGAGTGCGCTGAGCTGCGCCACGTGTTGGATCGTGTAGATCTGAGCGCAACAACGCGTGCCAGAACACTGTATAAGTAGAACAACAGGAAGTCGGAAGCGGCCGGGAGGCACCACTCTCAAGGCCAAGCAGGTTTGTAACGGATTCTACTTTAGGAGTCAGCGACTCTTTTTTTGCAGGGCCTTCGCATCATGAAAAATCTTTGCGCCGCGTGGTCAAGAGGATATTGCAATAAAGGCTTTATCCATCGCAGAAAAAATCTAGAAAACATGAGTTGTTTAGATTTTTCAAAAAAAAAGAAGTATCGCTAATGCAAATGCTGCACCGCGGCACCCGCCGGCATGGGAATCGCGGCAGCAGCACTCCTTGTTCTGTTCTTCTGCATGTCGTCGTCGTCGTACCTACCTTGTGGCTGCACACCAGGCGGAGCCGCACGAGCCACTAGAGCGGTTAGGTGTGGGCACCAAATTGAGTAGTGAGCCCGGTGTCATCCTCCATGGGTGGACTGGAACGTAGACCGCAAGCAATGCCCAAGAGCAATAACTTCCACCAAAGCACCACTACGGATGAGAGGAAGATAGAGAAGATGAAGCAACGCTCGGTGTCAAACCTCGTCCGGTCCCGGGCATTTCTCCTTTGGGTGCTTCGCGTCGTAGTGCTGCTGCAAGCACTTGTAGTTTGTCATGGGTGCCTGCAGGTTTGAGATCATGGAAGAGATGATGTCAAGCGTCAGTGTCAACATGTACCAAAAGCAAAAGAAAACTACGAAAGCCAAAGTTTAATTAATACCATAAGTGAAATGAAATATGCATAGCTTCTACTCCAAGAATTATCATCTACAGCATTTATTTCTTCTAGTACAACCATGATCAAAGCAATCGTGTATACCAGACAGAGTTTGCAGCTGATTTTGAGCCCAACTTTTTGTGCCTCAAGTTGTGACCCCGCCTTTTGCAGTTTCTGTTGCTTCTCGAGGTTTTTTTGTTTTGCCTGTTCTTTCTGATGTCCGCGAGCCATTTTTGTTCTTCAAGGGGAACTACGAAGAGTCCAGATCTACCAGAAAGAAAGAATGCGAAGTTGACTTTACAAGTAACAGTAGGCTTATTCTCGATTTCGCGTAAGCTGATAGCACCCCAACTCAAACGCCGGTCGTGGTCAGCAGGATGATCAAGGGTAATGGTGCCGCTCCTAAACCGGTCAAAGTAAAAACTAATAGTTTTTACCTATTACCGGTAAACTAGTAGTGAACGAAAGTCGATTATGGTTTCCGAGTTGAGCGGGCTCGCTCCTTACGGTCGTACAGGTAGACGTAGGTGGGCTGCTAGGAAATTTGGTCAATAAGGTCAATGGGCTTAAAAAAACGTATGTTGAGGCACTGGAGAATTTCGCTGAACACCATGAAGAAGAAACTGTCAACAATTTCCTTGCTCAGGACGCGAAAGCGTAAAAATAGAAACATTCGTATATGGCTTTGCCGATCAATATGATGGCGCGTGCGTGTCTACTTGTAAGTGCAAGTCTTGTACTTATTTGTCACATTGGCCATCTTCTTTGTAGAAAAGCGATTTCGTTTTGTCTTCTCGAACACTTCAGTCCGTCAATACCTCAAATTCGATTTCATTAATGAAAACAACTACCGGAACCGAAAACATCACTCATGATCACAATCAATGTGGGAACGCTGGTGTTTAGAGTTTGATTTTAGCGATCTTCTGAGTATTTTCGATTTCGTCTCGTAGCAGTAGACGTAGAGCAATGGACAAAGGGAGGGACCTACTTAAATATGAATTAGAATTGCTGTTTAACTTCATCATGTTGTCTTTTCGCAAAGATATGATCCAAACGCGGACAGGCTCTCAGTTCATGTTCAGGTGCGAGGTTGTGCTCAAATAACTATGTCAAGAAACCTGGTGCTTTACTAAGGGGAAAAGTCCGGGAACGGGAAAATCGGCAAAAAAATTGTCACTGGCCCCGGCGCACTCCCCGACTCAGGTGCCCGCTTTCAGGTTGAGGAGAAGGCGCTGCAGGAGATCGGAAGCTCAGCGCCGCGAAAGAGCTGTCCGTCAGTCCACGTACGGGAGCATCTGGGCGATTCGGCGAGCTTGTTGCCCCGGATAGGATATCTTCGCTCAAAAGCTGAAAAACACCTTCAGGCGCTTGCCGACTTACCTCTTTCCCGAGAAAAAAGGCGGGCCCACGAGGCCCGCAAGCCGAAAAAAGGTCACGCCACCAGGCCGACAGGCCAGCTTTGAGGCGCGAACGGCTGGCCGGCGGGCATTTGTGGAGGCGCAAATCGCCTCCCTAGCATCGGTCATTGCCATCTCAAATTGGGGGATGGGGCAAAATTTTCGAACTCCGGGAATACCAGGAGTGGTCCCCTCCTGAGGCCCCTCTCCGGGAGGTGTCTTCGGAGGTGTCCAAAATGGTATTCCCGGAGTTCGAAATTTTTGCCCCCACGGGCTATCTCCCTCGATTGGGGCGAAATTTTCGAACTCCGGGAATACCGATTTAGACACCCCTTGGGGACCCCCCCACATGTCGTATTCCCGGAGTTCGAAAATTTTGCCCCGAGCTGGCAGAAAAAGTGAACAAAAATCATTAGAAAATGCCATAGTACGTGTGTCAAAAGCTGCCTCAATGTTCTTGGTTGTGCACTCCTTCAGGAGCTGGGTGTAGTATTTGAGCTTGGTCGGGTCCTTTTTGGCCTGCGTCTTTAGCCTCTTCCTGGCTTCTTCTAGCCAGTGTATTTTTCTGCCCGTTAACATCGCCCCCCGCGCCAACTCCAGGAGCAGGCTGGCTATTTCCTAACACTGCCGGGCACCCGGCATGCCCGGATGCTCCGCCCGTACCTAGACTGACGGACATCTCTTTTGCGGTGCAGAGTTTCTCGACCTCCCGCCGCACCTTCTCCCAAACCTGAAAGCGGGCACCTGAGTCGGGGAGCGCGCCGGGGCCAGTGGCATTTTTTTTGCCGATTTTCCCGTTCCCGGACTTTTCCCCTTAGTATGCTTGATTAGACTCTTATATATTATATTTATTTAGGATACTCACTCTTCTAGTTCTACTTTGAGACCTCCAGCTCCAGCTTGCTACATACATAGTACCATCGCCACAGCACTGGCCTTGGGAAGTACGCACCCGCACAAGCCGGCGGTGAACACCCAAGCGAGTCAATAAATTTTCGATCTGCTTGTCGTGTGGCCTTCGCAAGACAAAAATAAGTGTCGACACGTGGTATTCCAGTTTACATTCTTCCAGCTACCCATGCCGTAGGCAAACCAAAGAATTTTTTTTTGCTTCTTGCACAATTATGCTTTTGTGACGACGCTTCATCTCATGGGGAAGATTTCATTTTATTGCGGCAAAGGCAAACGCATATGATGCAATGCATGGCACCCATTAGTTTTTTATGATTATGTCTATATTCTCTTGGAAGCGAAAGAAGAACAAGAAAACAACAAATCAGTTGTGTGCTCTCTTCTTCAGGCGAGCGAGTAAGTAACTGGCAGTTTCCCATACTGTCTGCGTTCCTGAGTGTAAGTAGTTGGTGGCCAATGTCTCAACCGGTCGCCGCCGTGAACTGAAGAAACGCTGCCCGTTTTAGCTATGAACTAACAGTCACGGGGAGTTACCAGAGGGAAAGCAAGCCGAGACTCACTATCGTCCCTGGAAACAAAAACTCAAGAGCAAGTAGCAGTAGGCAGAGGCCCTCATTAGTTTATTTTCTTGGAAAAATAACACAAGAGCACGACACTTTAGAGAAATTGAGATGAATCGAGCGAAAAAAAAACGAAGGCTTCGCGTTGGTTCGAAGTAGCTACCGACTATAGACATAGAGATCATCGTCATCCATCGATGCGATCAGTTACAACGCATGCCGTTTTTTGAATTGAAAATGGTCAGCCTGCGCCCGCCCCTCGTGGCTACTTGTACTTCTGACCATGGTCGACCGATGTGACGAGTGCGAGTCGACGTGACGAGGCACCACAATAAAGACCGGCCAATGCTGCACTTGAGAGTACGTACGTGAGAACATTCTTTGCCAGTGGCGGTTTCCTCGTGCGGCTGAAGTGCCTGTGCCACGCTCAGCAGTTTTTACCTCTTTACGGTGAAGACGTCCTCCTCGCAGTCCGGCCTCGCCAGCATGGGCAGTCGAGCCCTTCTGTTTCCCGTCTCAAAAGACGTTAGGGGCGGCCGCAAAACCAAAAATATTGATTTATAACTCTTTTGCTTCACACCTCCATTTCCTCCCCTCCCTTCCGAAACAACACGTGGCTGAACTGCGTCTCGATAAAAGCAAAATTACCATAGCAGGGCGTCTTCAGCGGTTTACAGAACAGGTGGCGCAACATCATGCCGATCTCCCACTGAAAAGTCCCCGGCTTCTCGTCGCCCACCCGCCCGACTCCGTTTTTCGGCGCGTCATAGTAGCCGGTGTAGTAGTATGCACTGCAAAAGTGTCTGGGTCTGGAAGAGTGCAGGTCTGTCATGTATACCCGACGCAGGTTTGTCATACTTGTCTCACATGAGGTTTGTCGCGTTTGCAGGTTCATCGGGTATGTAGGTTTGTCATGCTTGTCTCACATGTTGACAGTTAAATCTGTAATATCTGACCAGGAGAAAAGCCTCTTCGTCTTCCCTGTAAGGCAAAAGTGAAGTTTGCCAGGTGGAATTGAAAAGCGAAACGCAATAAAGGAGTCCAGAAACTTGTCACGCGCGGGTGCGTAAGCGTATTGCAGTACGCCCACCATAACCTTTCTCAAACTAAAAAACATCAGAAGTTTCCAGGCCAACACATTTTTGCACTTGATAAGTAGGCAACTTCTGCCCAGTCCTCGACGAAGTAAAAACCGCCGTTGCGCACGATCGGCCACAGGGTGTAGAAGGAGGTCAGGATTTGCTTGTTCCAGTGCCCGCCGTCGTCCACAACCACCTCCACCTCGAAATCCAGGTTGGCCTTGACCTCTTCAAGTGCCGCGCTTTCCTGTTGGTCGCCGATGTGCACTTGGTAGCCTTCTTTCGCGATCTTCTCTTTCCAGTTCTCCGCACATGACCGGTCCACCTCCATGAAGTGCACGTCTTTCCACCCGAGCTTTTGCCAAAGCTGCGCGGAGGCTCCCGGCCCGTACCCCATGTTGCACCCCATATTCCTTGGAAATTAGCCATGCATCCCCATCCACTTTTTGGTTTTGCATGACAGGAGAAATCGACTGCGTACTATGCTTTGCACAACAAATTGGATCGGGATGGTTAATTTTCAGGGAATACCCCAGCCCGATCTCGAACAGCGGCTTGGCGGTTTTGGAACTGTCGGAAAGCTTTTGTGGGAGGTACTTGCCGCACATGTTGTGGTACTGGTGGGACGTCACCTTGTCCGTGTCGGTGGCTTTCGCCGTTTGGTAGAAATGCGACGCGGTCCGTGCCCACTGGGCAGGGGTCTCGCCCTCGATTTGTTCGGAAAGGAAAGCAGCAGCTGATTGGTCAACACGACCTCCCGCTATTAGCGCAGGAGATGTAGTGCGACTAGTAATAGCACTCCCGAGGCTGTGGTGGATCAACAGTTTGAGCAGTTACGCCGACCCTATACTCGGTTCCGCGTCTGACAGCCCGTTCTTCAAGTGCCCCTCCATCTTCTCGGCCTCTGCCCGAAGTTCGACCACGCAGCCGCCCTTTCCGTCCGCCGCCCGCGTCAGCCAGCACGCAAAGGCCTGCATGCCATGGTCGTCCTTGGCCGGGTTCATGTGCGAGCCGACAGAGTCTTTCGCCGCCGAAGTGAGCTCCACGAACCGGTGCGCGGTCGCCAGCTCTCGGAAATTGCGCACCGGAAACGCGTACAGACTTCCGGGCGGCAAGTCCCGCAGACGGTGCTGCGCGACTGCATCTGCAAACTGCACGCGAAGTGCGAGGTAGTTCTCGATTTTATTTTTCGTGATCGCTCGGTGTTGTTGTTGTTCTTCGTTCTGATCACCGATCGTGATTGCGCTGCTGAGCTTGTTCTCACCATCTGTATTCTTCTCCCCATTCGTGCCAGCCTGCAGCAACGTCATGGAACTGTGCGCGTCCGGGTGGTTCGTGTTCGCCTTCACGGCGGGTGAGAGTAGTGCGTCGTCCAGATCGCTGTCGAAGACGATTTTCGGTCCACTGTGCCCCTGGCCCTCTTTGCTCGTGGTCGCAACCAAAGCCGCGAAGCTCTCCACCGGCACGGTGTATTCGACCCAGGATATTGTGGGACGGAAGTACTGAAACATGCCCACACCCCAGTCCGGAATGCTGTTGCTTGTCGGTCGCTCTCGTTGTCCTTGCTTTTGCATTTTCTCACGCAGCGCTCCACTTTTTGTGGTATCTCCTCTCTCGCGTTGCAGAAGGTCCGCCAGTGTCGCGACCGATTGAGCGGTGAAGAGGGTGAGCAACAGGCTCGAAGTTGGGAGCAGGTGCAGCCACAACTTCATGGTCTTTGTTTACCACACAGCTTCCCTTGCTCAATACATTGATGAGGTCGCGAAAACGTGTTCGAAGCTACCGAGGACACTGACTTGTGAGGCAGATCATTGTCTACACGTCACATGTTGTGAGGCAGACGCAGATCATGCACCAGCACCACAGAAATAAAAGTATCTGCTCAATAAATGCAAAAGCAAATCGAAACGAAACAAAAATCAACGCGCCTTGAATGCGGATGAAGGAGCACGAAATATATCGAAGTCAGTTCTCCTGATTGCTCACGGACACTCTATCGGCTTCCACTTTTAACTTCGGCTCTCTCGCTTACTCGTCCCACGAATCCGATTCTCACAGACGAGGTTCAAAAAGACGAGCTGCGCCAGGTGCTTGTGCTTCTGCTGCGACGAAGGATCATGATTCAAGGTCACCTGAGCTCCGGTTCGAGTACATGCCCATGACAACGGCGCAGATGAAGACACGAGGACTACGAGAGCGAAAACGCAAACAGGTAGCTTCTCGTCATTGCACTATGGTATAACTATGTCTATAATGGGCGTCGTCATGGAGATAGTGTTAGTGATAGTTGTTCCGGTTCTACTGCGGTGCTGCTCAGTCTGCACTAAAGGCCATAGCTCATAGAAGGCTGCTGGAAACACCTCTGCCCTAAAGCCATAGGCATAGCTCAAAGGAAACACATAGGTTGCTGGAAATACATAGGTATGGTGAGATGCGTTTGCAATTGCATTCATTTTTTTCTTGAAAAATAAAAAGATGCATTGACTCACAGCGCACGCCGTTTTTCTTTTTTGATTTATTAAGTTTGAAGATCTAAACTCGTGCTCCTCGGTTTTTTTACTTTAATTCGCCTCCTTCGCAGTCAAGATTCGCAAGCCCGGGTAGCTGCACCTTTCCCGTTTCGAAAGACTCAGCCGCTGGTGTGATGGCGGTGCGGCGGTAGAAGTCGTGCTCGGCTCGGTAAAGCACGTGCCAGTCGGAAAACGTTCGCAGGGCCCCCTGCCCCCAGGGCTCCGGGTCCTTGTTCTCGATCTCCTGTAGCAGCTCCCCCATTGCGACACGACCGGGACAAGGACGACGACCCCCAGCATAGTCTTTTTTTTCATCGCTCTCGAGCGAAAACTCCTCCGCATACTGCCTTGCGCCCTTCACCGCGCTCCGCGAGGAAGTGGCCCGCGACGAGTCATCTAAGGAAACGTCTGCCTCCTTGAAGACACCGCATTCATCGTCAAGCACCTCATCTGTCTCATTTTCACGCGCCTCGACAAGCGTGGCTATGATTTTTCGGAGGAGAAAACTTTGACTTTCTTCATTGCTCCTGGAAGCTTTGTTCTCGGTTTCCTCATCTTCTGACGTGTCTGCGCACATCGACATCGGCCCGGGGCTGCAGTCACTTTTGGCCTTGTTCTGCTGCGGCTGTGCGTAATCCTTATTTGTACCGGCATAGTTGTGGCCCTCGTCCGTCGTGCTCAGCAAATCGCTCATCTCTACTTCTTGTTCGACCCTGCCTTTGGCCCGCTCGATCTTCCTGCGTCGTACTTCTCCTTCGGTCAAGAGTAGTTTTAGTGACTGAGATTTCTTCACCGCGGCCTCGATCCACTCCAGTTCCTCTGCGGTGCAACAATGCGCCTTGAAGTATTGGTATTGTAGCTTTCGATCATTCGCCGCTTTGCGGCTCGGCGCCATCTCGTACAAGTCCACGTGTTTGCAGTGTGCGGCCATCAAGACCGCCGCGCGGAACCCCGTAGTGATGTCGAGGCTTTGTCCCGGAACCCGCAGACTCTTTGAACCGCCTCCGGGATACATGGCGGAGAGAAAGGCGGAGAGCTGGCCGCGTTGTGCATCGAACCCAAGCTCCTTCTATCACAAGAAAAAGCGCACATGTGCACGGTTTTCGTTTTTCTCCAAAAAACACTTTGTGTGCCTCCTCCCTGGCGAGGCACAGCGTCCACACTTGATGCCTTCCCCTTCGCTATGAAGCTAGATAGGCCGGCGCTCCTCATTTTCTTAGTGAAATTGAAATAATATAATTATAAATAACCATGAGCGCAACAATTTGTGTTCCGGCTGGCCGCCAAAGTCCGGCGCAATCTGTGCAAGGATATCCATCAAGCCAGGGCCAGCCTCCGCTTCCGGGCCGAGATGGGGCAACTTGCTAAGCCGCGGAGCAGCTTGCCCTTCAGTACCCCGCAGCGACCCACACGCCATAAATATACTTGACCCCCCGCCGCCCGGCTGTCCGCGGGTTGGAAACATTGCCGGGGGCTGTGGAAAAATATTGTTAGGTCGGCGCGCGCGCTGCTGCAGATCTTTATGCTGGGTCGTTTTGCTGTGTCGCTTGCGCTTCCCGCATTTCGGATATGAAGTCCCCACATTTCGGATATGCGAAAACAGGCAGAGGCAAGTTTTATTTTGCATACTCCCAAGGCCAAACTTTTCAGATTGGCCACGCGGAGCCTAGCCCCTACGCTGTGGTCCATGAACACGGTTGCGGTGCTGGAAAATTTGTGATAAATTTTGCACGTGGCCGCCAAAAACCGCGCACGTCGCACCTAGAAGACCGTATGCTATGGTCGATATATACACGGTTCAGAAGGACCGCCACGACCGAACCTGGCCGCTTTGTAGACCGTGCACATCCACCAGCATACCGGGCAGGTTGGATGCGATGCGCACGGCTTCCGGAGGGTGCGCAATTTTCGCACTCAGAATTGATTCAGATAATTTCGCCTCATCTTTTCCTGCGGAGTTTCTTGAACCCAAGAAAAACAGCGCGTGCCGTCTCTAGATTGCGTGGCATGTTCTTGGGCCCTGCACCTCCCCAAAAAGGGGCCCCTCCACGGTTTCGCTAGTGGCGACTCGTTGGTGGGCGATTTTCGTAGTCAGCGACAGGGAAAGGTGGCCCGCTGGGTGTACGACCTGCAGGCGTCCCGCCTCTAGGAAGTAGAGTGACAGCTCCGGGCTTTCTCGACCTGCTTTTTGACGGCCGTTATGAGATGAGACAATGAGCGGAGGCCAGCTTGATGGGTCTTATTTTTCCCGTCTCTTTCGGACCTTGACAACGATCACCATGGGACCGTGTGCACTAGGTGCGCCACCTCTGACAGACTGCCAATCTACTAGCTAGCTTCGTAGCAAGTGTCTGCATTGATACAGGTGAGCGTCTTGAGGGAGGCGACAAAAAACATTTTTCGGGAAAAGGAAAAACAGTCGTGCACGTGTGCACTTTTTTTTGTGATACCTTCGCGAAGGCCTTCACGGTGATGTTGTGCTTGGCGCACCGGGGCACGAGCTCCTTTATTTCCTCAGGACTCAGATACTCGACGTAAATTGTCTTGCTTTTGGCAGCTGCATTTCGACGCAGGTTGTCTTTTTTTTCTGCTAAAACAACCCGACGTACGTCATCGTACGCCCGACGTAACTTTTCCACCCTGTGCTGCAGCTCCTGTAGCACTTGCCTTGGCGCAAAAGATGTCGTGGCTTCCGCAGGGCGGGTCGTACGGGATGACGTCAACTTCGCCCGGCGTAGTACCTGAATTAAAGACGTCGCCGAGCTTAAATTCGTGGACGAAACAGACCCTTGGAAATCTTCTTCCACGTCACCCTCCGCCGTTTCTGCATCGTTTTTTTTGGCTCCAGAATCTAGTTTCTTGGCGCCGTGGTTGCAAAAGTGTGTTGACGACGAGGTTCGTAGAGCTGTAATCATCGAGCGATGGGATGTCGATGCTGATGGAGACTGGCGTGTAGTTTTTGCTAACTTTTCTTTCGTCCGACCTGTGCGCCGTGTTTCGTGCATCGGTTGCCCACTAGGGAACGACAAGTAGGTTGCCGTCGCATTTATTGTCGTCATGCTCCAGTCCGCATCATCGCCAGTGTCACTATTTTTCGAGGGGCGCAGAAGCAGAAGCGCCTCCGGATCCTCCTGCTGTGCCAGCTGGAGGAGTTTTCTCGTGCTTTTTTGCGCTAGCCGGAGGTGTTTATCCAGTTCCCAAGCCACGGTACCCTTTCGCTGGTAGTGTGCCTGCTGCAGTGCCGCTGGCCCCGCGCAAATCTCGTTCAGAATATCGTGCAACGTGCATGCCGATATACACGTCCTCCTTCGCTCCGACCTGCTTCTCCCAGCCCCCGGTCGGCGCGCTGTTGAGGCGCACAACGACGTCGTGCTTGTCGATCTCCGTGCCATACTCGTGGCTCAGAAGCGCTCCGGAGTTAGACACAACCGCACACGTCTTTCCGGTCAGGGGCAGCACAAGCTCCTTCGTCGAGCCCGGCGCCTTGTCCCACTTTGCATATGGAAACTCGACGCTCTTCCGCAGCAGGCAGAGCATCTTTTTTCCCTCCGCGGAAGGCGTGTGTCCGTCGCCGCCGGACGCGTCACGGCTGCCATCAATAACGAATCCCGCAAGATCAACGGTAGGAGTAGAGTCGTGATCCTGATTACTGTTATTCACATTCTGGCGCCGCTTATCTGCAGCTAGAGACAGTAGAGGATGATCTTCCACCTGCGCGGGGTTCGCTCGTTCTGAGGGCGCCGAGCGAGTACTCGCGCGAGAACTGCCATTGGCACGTCGATGGCGGGCGCTGAGCCATTCTATGTGCCCGCGAGTGCGACGCTTCCGGAGTAACTCGCTCCGCTCGCGCTGCAGAAGGCCGGCCACTTTTGCGACCGATTGAGCGGTGAAAAGGGTGAGCGGCAGGCTCCTCGTTGGGAGCAGATGCAGCCACGACTTCATGGTCTTCGTTTACGCAGTTTCTCTTGCTCAATACCTTGATGAGGTGGCTAAAACTTGTTCGGAGCTACCGACTGCATGAAGTATCTCAATATCGAAACGAAGCAAACATCAACGCGCTGCTCTGAATGCGGAGGAAGGTGCAACAAATATATCGAAGTCAGCTCTCCTGATTTCTCACGCACACTCTATCGTCTTCCACTTCTAACTTCGGCTTTCTCGATTACTCATCCCACGAATCCGATTCTCACAGACGAGGTTCAAAAAGACGAGCTGCGCCACCAGGTGCTTCTGCTGAGACGAAGGATTATGATTCAAGGTCACCTCAACTCCGGTTCTTCCAATACATGCCAATGAAAAAGGAGCAGATAAAGAGACGACTACGACCGAGAGCGAAAACGCAAAGTAGCTTCTCATCGAACTACAACCTACTATGTCTATGATAGTGATAGAGATAGTTCCGGTTTATTCTACTGTGGTGAAGTTCAGTCTGCCGTACAGGCCATTGCTCAGCCTGCCCTAGAACAAAAGTCGGCCCTCGTAAAATCAATTTTCAACATCCAAATGAGAACTCCCCTCGTACAGCAACCATAACCAAGCTGCAAGAATATATCTTTGTCATAGCGCGCTGGCGCTTGTGCTGGTGCTTCAGCTCGTAGTATTAAGTTCTGTTCCTGCAGGGCCTGCAACATGAATTTATAGTACCAGTACACGTCGTCCAGTACCTTATGTTGCAATACCATGTGCGGGCGCGCGCGTACAGCCACTTCTTCCTCTCTTCAGTCTGCTGCGCATCTCGGCCAGCAAAGTAGCACCCAGAAGAAAAAAATAAGCAACACAACGAAGCCAAACAGTGGCGAAAATACGAACAAATGATCGTCCGGATTCCAGTAGTCCGATTTGCGATCTTGCAACAGGGGCAAAGCTGCGAGATTCCAGCCGGCGACAGTGAGCAGGATCAGGCTGACGAGAATTCGCCAGGAATGCCGCCAGAGAAAAGAAGCCCGCACAAATTTCCGAACATAGTGCGCGCGTGCCTCCTCCTCCTCAGAATCGGTTTCGGAAAACACGCTTCCGACTTCATCAAAATGAAGAACATCAACATTGCTGCTTCTATAGTTTTCGCTGGCTGAAGGGGGGGAAGGAAATCGAACCAGGTCGGGACGGTTGCGAACGGAAGGAGGTCCTTGGCGAGGAGATGCAAGTAGGACTCCACGAGCACCAGGAGCTCGATCACTGACCACTGCTGCATCCTCCTCCTCTTCGTGCCGCACGTCTTCTAGTTTCGTGTCGCCCACTGTTCCAGTGAATTCCTGCTCCTCGAAAGAGACCCGTCGGCTCCGTCCTCTGGTTTCCTCCAAAATGACCTCAGAGGTTGTTTGTGAGCCTGCGATCTTGCGTGGGCGAAAATTGACTGGAATGCTGTTCTTATACCGCCAGTATATTATCCTCGTGAAAGAAGCTAGCGCATGTTCACATACGACATGCAAAAATGGATTACATACAAAGGAAAACCGGCCATGGCCTTGGGTGAGCCACTAGCATGCTGATGAGCTTTTCCTTTTCCTTATGCAATGCAATAAATGCTGCCCCCGATTCTGCCCATTCTCTTTGTTGTATTTCAATATGCGGCGATAGCTAGTTTTTCCGGTTGATAGACATGCGTTTCTTCACGTCGGAGGGGCTCAAGAACTTCCTCTGCGCGTCGATCGCACGGCCGTCCGCAAGAAACTCTTTCACGATCTCCAGGTCGTCGCCCGTCTTCTGTGACTGTGAGCTGTGTGAGGTCCGGATAGGGGGATACTTCCTTATGGCGCTGTCAGATTGGAAATTCACAAAATCGTGGAAATATTTTGGACCGTAGCGCGACATGCTGGCGACAAAGTGCCTGTCGCTGTCTCCGTGTCGGGAATGCGAAAAAGGCGGACTGCAACCCTGACTAGAACCATGGTAAGGATTGCAAAAGAGCATGCCATGGGCGCCAGGTATGTAGTTTGCACCAAAGCCAAACAGCGTTGTACATAATTGATACTAGACGTTGTGAGAAGATGCAGAACTTTTCGTGTGCCGCTTACACATAGTGGATGAGACCACAAATGGTGGGTGAGACTACAACTGGTATCGATTTTACTATATTTATTTTCATGCATGCTGGCGAAGCATTAGCGTTTCCACTGTGAGAACTTTCGACCCGGCACTCCCATATTTCTGCGCGTCTTCCTCGTAGAGGACGCAACCCCCTCCACGTCAACCAGCTCGCCAAAATCACCGTACCGGTTGTTCAGCGACGAGAGCATCTTCCCCGCGAGAAATGCCTGCTCCTCTTCCCACAGACTAGGGCAAGGCGCCTTCCGGAAACCGGTGCTGCGCTCTTCAAGGGCAAGCTTCATCTATCGATCGGAAATATATATAGACCCGGGAAAGGTAGAAATTGCCCGAAAGTACTGAAATCGTGAAGCACTTTATTACTCCCCGCGTACCCTTACCCGAAACCACTCCAGCGATACCCTTACCCGAAACCACTCCAGGGTTTCCCGGTTTCCCGGTTTCCCGGTTTCCCGGTTTCCCGGTTTCCCGGTTTCCCGGTTTCCCGGTTTCCCGGTTTCCCGGTTTCCCGGTTTCCCGGCTTCCCGGCTTCCCGGTTCTTTTCGCTGTAGCTGACGCCGACACTGTAGCTGACGCCGGTCGTTTAGCTGAGCACGCCGGTTTCTTCTTTAGCGGAAGCCGGTTTTTTAGCTGAAGCCGATTTTTTAGCTGAAGCCGGCTTGTTAGCTAAACCCGGCTTGTTAGCTAGACCCGGCTTGTTAGCTCGAGCCGTTCCTTTAGCTAAAACCGGTTTTGTAGAGCTGCCGCAGTTGTTTCAGGCGCGCCAGCCAGTCTAGCTGCTGAAGCTGCAGCACGGGGGCCCCGCCGCGCCTCCTTTGGGCTCTGCGGCCGCTGGGCTTTTCCATGGAGCTGCTGGCCTCTCGGTTGCCCTAGCAGTTCTAGGACAGAAAAACAGCCGCCGCAATAAAGAGAAAGGCGGAACAGCTTCCCGAGTCTGTTCGCACATAGAGAAAGGCGGCGCGAACGCCCTCCCGCTCTAGGCACGCAAATTCTACGCCGAGGCCTCCCGGCAAGTCAGCGCCTTCGCTTCCAAGCTTGCTCGCTTCCCAGCCTGTCTGCCTCCTGGCTTTTTCGTTTTCGCTTCTCCGTTTTTAGCCTTTGGCCCTCCAAGCCCCCAAGCCCCCCACCTTCCCAGCAAGCCTGTCCACCTCCCAGCCTGTCGGCCTCCCAGCTTCGTTCCCGGCTCTTTTAGCTAAGACCGGTTTTCTAGCTAAAGCCCAAGCCGGCTTTGTAGCTGAAGCCGGTTTGTTAGCCGCGGCCGGTTTCTTTTTTAGCGGAAGCCGGTTTTTTAGCTGAAGCCGATTTTTTAGCTAAAGCCGGTTTTTTACCCAAAGCCGGCTTGTTAGCTAAACCCGGCTCGTTAGCTCCACCCGCCTTGTTAACTAAAGCCGGTCCTTTAACTACCTACAGCCGGTTTTGTAGCTACCCCGGGCTTTTCCTGCCTGCTCCGCTTACTTATCGAGCTGCCACAGCTGTTTCAGGCGCGCCAGCCAATCTGCCTGCTGAAGCTGCGAAGCTGCAGCAACGGGGCCCCGCCGCGCCTCCTTTGGGCTCTGCGGCCGCCGGACTTTTCCATGGAGCTGCTGGCCTCTCGGTTGCCTTAGCAGTTCTATGACAGAAAAACAGCCGCCGCAACAAAGAGAAACGCGGAACAGCTTCCGGAATCTGTTCGCACATAGAGAGGGAGGCGGCGCGAACGCCCTCCAGCTCTAGGCAAAAGCGACGCCGAGGCCTCTCAGCAAGTCAGCGCCTTCGCTTCCAGGCTTGCTCGCTTTCGTTTCCCCGCCTTCCCAGGTTTTCAGCCTTCCCGGCTTCTCCAGTTTGCTCAACCTTTCGAACCTCATTCGCCTTTTGAGCTTCTCAGCCCCCTCAGCCGCCCCAGTCTTTCTTACAGGCTTCCCTAGCCCTCCCAGTTCTCGCAGTCTGTTCAGTTTTTCCCGCCTTTTTCGTCTTTCCACTCTTTCCCGTCTCTATCTTCCTTGTCCCGAAGGTCTGGCCTCCCCGCCTCGTTGTGTTCCGCCGTTTGCCTCGTCGCTTCTGCGTGGTTTTCAAACTGTTCGCAGATAGAGAAACAGGCCCCGCAACAGACACAAGAAAACACGGGAGAAAATGGCCGCCGGAATCTGTTCGCACATAGAGAAGGAGGCGGCGCGAACGCCCTCCCGATCTTTCTACGCAAAAGCTCCGGCCAAGCTTCCGAGAAAGTCCCGCCGCGGAAAATATGAGGCGCGCCATGATCTTCAAACGCGCATAGTTCTCAAAATAAACGCACAAGCAAAGATCCACAAAACGGCCCACACCTGCGGAAAAATAAGATCGGCAGCCAGCGACTTGCCAAGTTAAATGCCGCTCCATAGCCAGAATTATCCGCAAGAGCTCCGCAAATATATAATTTGGCCAAGAGCAGAGCGGCCGCGTCTCGAATCTCATCGAAACAACCAGGACCCCAGTGGCTACCTGAAACTGACTAGCTGACACACCCGTACCCTTCCCCCCCGTCCTTTCCTTCTAGTTCTGCTTCCCCCCTCCCAGTGCTCTCGATTTCGCTTCGGGATAGAGATTCCTTCCCCCTGGCTAGTATATCCGGGTCTGTTGGTGTTGGACGAATGCTGACATCTGTCTCTGTCATTCATTTTTTCACCTGCAAGAAGTTCTGCTTCTGGAATGGAGATAGACGCAGAGCATTAGAAGATCCTCGGAGCAGGCTTCTCCGTGACCGTGTTTGTGCTGTCTCGCTTGTGTCTACTATGAGGCGCGCCATTTTCGGGAGACAAAAAGCGCACACTTTTTACTCACTATGAAAGACACATTTGCATTTTTGTGCACTCCAGACTCGGCATCACAAGTTGGCGCGTTCTTTCCAGACCCAGATATATGTGCTTTCAGTAATATCATCCACGAACTAGCAAGTCGGTGGAGCTCTCGGTCGTAGCTTGTTGGTCGCCGGAGCAGGCGGTCGGCGAGTATCATGCTGTCGTCATATCCTGCTGGCGGTCGCGTGCTGTCATCCGCGTCATCTATCTGCGCCTCGATTCGAAAGTTTTGGGATCTTCTACGCTTCGCAGATGCAGCAAGCACGCGCGGGTTCTTTCGACCTACCACTCGTTCTTGAATCAAAGAGAAATCTGCTGGAGAGCAAACGCTTTCCGCGTAGGTGGCGCTGCAAGTGGGCACTTCGATTTGAAGGTGTTCTGCTTTCGGGACGGGAGGGTTTAGATTTTCTTCTTTTGCTTGCAGTTTCTGTGCGCCGCTATCACTGGTTGTAGCTGCAGACGTTGTAGCGTGATTCTGATTCACATTCAGCTTTCCGTGTTGTTCGAGGAGGACATGCAGCTTCGCTTGTCGACTTCCTTGAGAATGAGACGAAACCGAAGTGCTCTCCTCCCAAGCTTGAGAATTGGAGGAGCACATGACGAGAATTACTTCCTGAACGTGTTGATTTTTTGCAATGCCCACGAGAGGCCAAATTTCGGTGCTTAGCTTCCGCCGCGTTGATCGAGGCTCAGACGCAGATACGATATCCTGGTAGTCCCTGTCGCGGTGCGTGAAGCCAAACACAAGTAGTGGGACAGTGTCGAGGTAGAGTGTCAGCCGCGTGGTTGTGAATAGGACAGAGAGGGTCTTGCCACTGTCTAGCAAGTGCGGTTTTTTATGACTGATGAGCGACGAAGTTGCAGTAGAAGCACCTTTCGACTTTGTTGTTGCGGATGACGATGATGATGAAGCAAAGCGGCCATTATGATTGTCTTTCTGCACAGAAGTTGCTGGGGGCGAGTTTTCAAAAAAGTACTGGCCTTGTTTGGTATACCGGGCGTCAAAGCGAGTGCGAACTACTCGCCCATTTACGTACACACACAGATCATCAGTGAGCACAACTGAGGACTCGAATTGCTCTGGACCAAGCTCGCTATTCCTTTTCGTAGCGTTGTTCGTATTATTCTTCATACCTGTTTCGCTGCTGCATTCGTTTGCAGAGCGGCCTCTGGCTCTTTCCGCCAGTGCAAGTGTCCAGCGGAAAACATCGGCCGCTCGCTCTTGGAGCGTTTGATGCTGGTATCTGCTTTGCACAGCTGTGGCATTTTCGCTTGGCATTTCCAATTCCATTTGACAGTTTCTATTACAATTACTTCCTCTGGTGCTCTCCGAGGATCTTCTTGATCTTAGTGCATCTCCTCGTTGGTCTTGTTGCGCGCCATCGAGTTGTAGGTCGATCTTCGCTGCGGTAGGTGGATCGTGGAGAGCCAAGGGCCGCAGTCCGTCGGCCTCGAATTCGTTCAGCAACCCTCCGTATCAAGTACAAATGTGTCTGGGTCTAGAAAAGGAAAAGGGCGCTAGTTTGTCACGCACGTTTTGCATGACCCGTGATGTCTGTGATGCTGCATGTCCTAGCATCGCTGATTTTTTGAGGGCTTTTCGATTTCGTTTGGTTTTTGATGCTTACCCTGCATGAAAAATGTCCTCTCTGCACAGCAAAAACTGGACTCCTACCCAACTGCTCATGCAAGACATATTTTAATTTTTTTCGAATCCAGAGGCAAAGGCAGCATGACAAGAAGGCTGCAATCTTCGTCTTCCAGACCAAGACATATTTGCAATGCATACTCCGCCCGGCCCATCGTCGAAGGCGTTCAGTAAAGCACTAACTGTATCCACAGAGATATGGAAGCGTCAGGATTGAAATCGGCAAAGTGTGAGTTTGACAAAATCTGCAATGCCAATAAACCGACCGAAACCACAACGCCACCCCTAAGGCCGCCTTTCCGCAGATGGTCAGGCCACCAGGTCGCGCAGTCAGGCGCACCGATGCCATCTCCAATCACCACCATCCTCGGTAATGCATAAAACGCAAGGAACTAAGTGACTGTCTTGTAGGGGTGGCAAGTGGAGCCGATTGTGTTTGTGACCCTGTCTAGGGGTAGTAGAGAGAGATCGGATAGAACTGGACAAGTAAGTATAGTATCATAACGGACGAAGCAGGTTCCTTTTCCCAAACAGCGTCACAGACGACAGACTGCATTTCGGCGATGCCAAGATTTGTCAACATGCGCCGCCTAGAGATTGTGTGTCAAAGTCAAACTGGTAGGTTTCTTGATGCAGCGTCGTGACGAAATATTTCATACATACTTGTTGTTTCTTTCACTTTGTCTCCTTTGAACCTGACAGATCCATAAGGTAGGTGATTCTTATTCCCCACCGCCCGGGCCAGCGAGCCTGCGACCACTCGGCGTGGCTTCCGACCGCCGCGAAAGAGCTCTAGAGGCCGGTTTGTAGTCCCGTCAAGCCCGTAACCCGCCAAAATCTTTTCGAGCTCAAGCTGCTCCGGAGCCTTCTCGGGCACTTTGGGAAAATGAAAAAACCTCGCTGGTGTGGTCGTACTGGTACTCTCCTCGTCACGTTCGAAATCATCTCCCTCGCCCTTGTTCGATAGCAGGTCCGTGCTGGCAGCGTCAATTCGAACGTGATGGCCGCGCTCCTGCTCTACATCGCTTCGCAACGTCGGTTTCCTTATGGCTCGACTTCCTTGTAGTTTCTGGTGCTCCTCGAGCAGCTCGGTGTTTATCGAGAGAAGCGGGGAGTGGCTGGAATCTAGTATCGTGCTCATCAACTCTCGCTTCACCCGCGACTTTGCTTCTGCGGGGGAGAGGTTATGCTGGGCACATAGTTCACGCGACCGGGCCGTGGCGGCTTCTCGGAGAAACTGAGTCCGCCGGTGCCTACCAGCACCAATATCCTGTGCACGGTTCTGTTGCGGGGATGGGCGCTGCGCTACCGTGTTCTCCGAACGCGCATCGCCTGGCCAAAGACTAGGAATTACAACTGACGGACTGTTTTTTGATGTACTGTTCTTGCCGCATTGGGTGACGTGGTGATCGTGGTGGTGATCGCTGTGCTCCACGATCATGCTCATGTTGCGTTGGGAATGATCAGCTGCATCCGGCGTGGCAACTGCAACTCCATCAGAATGCTCCCTCATATCTTCGTTATTTCTTTCAGGACAGTGAAAGTATCCAGCGGAAGTAGATTCACAACCCGCTGATCGGGAGATCTCCTTGCTGCTGCTCGTATTCTCTTTCACAAGCTGCAGGGGACGATCACAATGCCTCACAAGGTCCACCTCAACGCTTCCGCCCGGTGCTTCAACATCGTGGCAAAGATCGAAAGTGTAGTCGTGCTCTTGTTCTCCCGTGGTTTCGTTCTTCCGCTCCTGAGCGTTATCATCAACCTGATCGTCAGGGTTGACAAGGCTATCCACGACAAGTGCTGCTCCGCTTCCAGCATCTTCCTCCTGCGTGAGCAGGTGCTCGCCTTCTCGATGTCGTTCCATTAGGACTTCGCGCGCACTCCTCTTTGGACTGCCTGGTGAAGCCGCTGACCCACGACTTGTTGTCGGTGAGAACTGCAAACGACCAGTCTGAATGTAGTCATTCCAAACGACGGTGAGACCGGACTCGTCCTCGCGTTTGCGACTGCGAAATCGCTGAATGTCAAGGTATCTCGTCTCGTTTTTCAACACTCCGAGTGACAACCCTCCAAGGGCGCTGGGCTTTGTCGTCACTTCTTCACGCTTTCCGCAGTGCCAGAACACGCGAAGGTATAAGAAAAGCACACGAAACAACATGAAAGCCGGCTGCAGCCAAAGGGGAAGCACGATGGGATCGCAGAACCACCGGCGGAGGCAGGCGCAACCCTTTTGCAGTCCGTAGCAGCAACACCCGCCCGAAAACGACAGACAATGATAGCAGCTAGCAAGGCATCCAGGGTTCTTCGGAGGCTTAGCCTCGCGCACCCGCGCGAGTTGAACGCGCAGTAGTCGTCCTTCAAGGGAGGGTCGGGCAAGTGCTCGCAGTCTCTGCTGTTGCATTCTGCTGGATGCTGTGTTAGCACTGAAGCAGTATGAGTTCTTACTTCCGGCTTGTTGAGTGTTATTTGTAGTTTGGCCGTGTGTGTCGGAGGCGTTTGCGTGCGTGCCGTGCCCCCGCAGGGTAGGAGCATATTCGGAAAAGTTTTCGGCTGCCCAACTCCATGTTCTGCCGGAAATGTTTTTTTGTTTATTGCTACCACCGCCGCTGCCGCTGGTGCAGGTCGGGGCATCTTCATCTAGCCGACCCCCGCCAATCCGGAGAAGTGGCACGATTCCGTTGCCTATTGCGATGACCTGCGTCGTCGTCGACAAGCACATGCCTGATGTGTTGTAGTTGTTTAGTTTCACACCTTTGTCGACGTGGTCCTCTGCGATTTCTTTATTGCTCCTCACCGCGTCTCGCCCGTGGCGCGCTTTGATGTCCACTTCGCCGCTGCAGATTCCCCCACCAGGGCCGGAAGAGAACGCATCAGGATAGTTGGCGACGCTGAGTTTTTCACCACGAAAACCGTTAGTTACTGCATCGACTAGCGGCAAGAAACCGCTGCAACGGACCGCCCCGGGGTACCGTGTCTCCAAGTCCGCTAGGGTGAGGCCGCTTCCGAGAAGCGTGTTGGCACTCAATTGCGGCGGTGCAGAGGCGTTGGTGGGCGCCACAAAGTGAAGCAGCGTCTTTTCGTCTGGGGCCGGCGTCTGACGACCACGGCGGTCGAGAGAACCGGCGCGCGACGCTGGCGTGCCGACCTTGTTCTTCTGTCTCTCCTGTCGGGCTTGGTTATTATGAAATGCGCTTCCGATATTAATTGCTCGTCGATGTTGTTTCTCCTCGCGGCGGCCGTTCTTCTGCCCGTCTTCATCCTGTTCTTCAACATTTTCATTTTTGGCTTCATCTTCTACTTCTGGACTCCGTTCCCGGGGTAGCCGTGTTGTGTTGCGAGGAGCTCCTTTGTCGAAATTGAACAAGGCATTCCTTACCATCTGAGCGCTGCGCGAGGCTAAGGGTTCCAACGGCAGAATCGTTCGGGGTAGGGACGACGGATCGCGATACGACTTTGCGGGTTTCGAACTCGTCCAACTCGTCCCCGCGGCTATACAATCATTCAAAACTTCTGCTGCGATTGGAGCTTCCTCAGCTCCTTGCACGTCAATGATCTCGTGGTCCTTTGCCTTCGGTAGACGGTACGCCTCTTGCTTATGAAACCCAAAACGGGACCACAAGCTGGAAGCTTGGTGCTGACCAATAAGCGCCGTACGAACAGCAGCTCTCTCTTCATCGATGTCGCCAGGAGGAGCAGAGGAATAATTAGAAAGTACCCCACCGTTGACGGCTGCCTCAGCAGCTCCAGGAGCCGGCGACATAGCCAAATGCTGCTGCTGGCGTTTGAGTCTATGTCTAGTGACGGGCATTTCTTGGTGTATTCCTTGTTGTGACATGCAGGAGTCGGAGGTGGAACTTGTTGCACGAGGAGCGGGGGTGTTCTTGTGCTGAAAGTTGAGTCGATCTCGATGTAGATCCTCCCCTGGGGGAGCAGGTGCTGCTTCTTGTTTTTTTAGCATGCTGGAAGGAGCAGTAGAACAGGAGCTATTTTTACCTCGCCGGCCTTCGCGCGTGAGCATTGTGTGCACATCCGTTTTGAAGACACCTGCGCGCGCGATGTCTTTTCCGTCTTGGGCGATCAAGGACGCATCGTCGGACAGACAGCTGTTGGCATCGTTCACCGCGGCAGTTGGTACGCGTTCCCTTCTGCCCGGGTGTCCTGTTCGGAGGTCCAGTCGACGCAGATTTTCATCGTTCAGCCTCGTAACCCGCGAAGATGAAGATAATCCCATTTGAACAAGCGCTTCGCTCACCGCACGGCTCACGAGGCTTGGCACGGGGTCGGCACTAGAGTTCTGCTCGTCGGTTGTGGCACTCAGGATCGACATGGAGGAAGAGGACATGAGGCTGGTGGCCGCGTTGATGTTGTTTTCGCTTTTCGTTATATTGTTACCACGACTTGTGGCCACAATGTCAGAGTCCTCCTCATGCTGTGCCGAGTCCGCGATGCGGCGAACGAATCGCTCGCGCTGTTGCCACCAGGGCTGTTTCTCGATCCGTTTCTGCAAAGTGAAAGCGCGTCGCCTCTCCACCTCTTCTAGTACCTCGACGGGAATTCCTGCGAGCTTTCTCGCGAACTCCACGGTGGATTTGGGGCGCGGCAGCGCGTCTTCCTTGTGGTCCCTTCGAGCCTCTTCTCTACGTTGCAACACCTCGTCTAGTCGCAAAAACTCCGAGTCATCAAAATCCTGCATCGCGTTCAGCAGGAGGCCCTCCCGCGACCGCGCCTCCCTCTGTGCACGTTCCAACGTGAATGCAGCCGTCTCGCCGTCTTCGCTTTTTATTTTCTGCTCTTCAAATTCTCCATCTCGTCGTGCTTGGAAAGCTCGTAACAAAGCGCCTTTCGTCTTTGCTTGCTCCTTTAAGCGCAATTGGAAACGCTTCTCGTCCCAGTCTCCTTGCGGGCGCGTGCCGAAGTGAAAAAAGTCCGAAATTGCGCGCTTCCAATTGTACTGATTTTTCGGCGACGGTGCAGCGGTCGTGCTGAAAGGGGAGTGTTTATTTTCTTCGCGGTCTGAAAAATCTTCTTCCCGCAAATTCTCATCGTCAAGGACCACCGGAGGGCGGTTTTCCATGTGTAAGTGAGGCGGCACCACACGGACCGCGCGCTGGTTTTGCACACTCTCTGCCATTGCCGTCGCAACGTGGTGATCGATTTTTCCACTCCGGTGCAAACGCACGCCAGCGCGGTTGCTATCTGCTATCCCGGCAACGTGTAGCACGCGAAACTTCGTTGTACGATCCGGCGCAGAGTCGTGTTCTTCACCTCGGACTGCATCATCTTCAGCAATCTGCAATTCGCGTCGCTCCTCCTGCAGCTGGTCCTCGTGTTCCATCACCTGATCTTCCGTGTCGAAACCCACCCGGCTGCCTTTCGCGTTCGCTGGCCCCCAAGCCCTGCCAAAGTAAATCTCACGAGGTGCCGCACTTACTCGAACTTTGCGCTGTGTCTCATGGCGACTTTCTTCCAACTGCCTCACTTTGCGCAAGCGGTTTTTGCGGCCTTTCCACCACGGACTCACGTCATCGTCCTCCTCGTCGCGACCGCGCTTGCTTATGTTTTTCGCACGTGTAGCTGCACGACCCGCGTCAAAGTCATCGTATTCATCGGAATTATCGCGGTCCGGAACAAGAAGCCCTGTACTGTTTACAGCAACGCCCGCTTCTCGGTCAACCGGTGGAGAGGACGTAGGTGATCGTCGTGCGTTGAAGATGTTGCCCGACACGACGATCTCCCCACCAGCATTTGGCTTTGAGGTCGCGGTCCCGATCGCAGCAGATTGTTGAAGAGCAGGCGTGCTTCGATTCAGCTTCCCCGATTGTGCTTCTCCTGCTCCTCGGGACTCCAGGGTGTCCTTGTTGAGTTGCCCTCGCCGCAGCTTTTCCAAGTTCCTAGCACGGCGCTCTCTGTCTTGTTGCTGCTCAATCCCGGCTGACAAAGTCTCTTGAATCCAGGCCGGGACATCTCGCTTCTGGGCTTCCTCGAGCAGACAAGCCTTGTCCTTTCCCTCGACTTGTTGAAAAAGCGTCCAATACCGCTCGTCATCTAGGTCTCTAAGCCATGGCCCAATCGGCGCCTGAGGTTTCGGCTTCTGCGAGAAAATACTCCACGGCATCCGGGCTCTATTACTTCTGTTGATCCCGAGGGACGAAATGAAAATAATGCTCAGCGTAAGTCTGCAGCTGAAATCCGCGTAGAAGCACTTCCTTTCACGACTATTCGGTCGGTGCTGAGATGTCAGATGAAGGGAAAAGCGCTCCCGGGGTGTGGCGCCTGTTCCGATGCACCACTGGGGATGGTGATGCTGTACTGAGTTGGGGCGATGTCGTTGGGTATCGTGCGGGAAATGCCGCCCGATGGGGTAACGTGCGAAAAATAATGCCGCCCGATTTGCTGAATCTGCTGGAGCTGTGCTACTAATATCGTGGACTACGTGATGAAACGGCAGCGCCTCCACGTTTAGCACGCTCTGCCTTGCACTCACAAGAGCGGCCCGGACCCGTTGGATGTTGACTGACGCCGGGAAGTAGCGAGAATGCCTACCCCTACTTGTTCCTGTTTGCGAGAAAGCGCGCCGCGGTCGTTGCACACCGTCACAAAATTCGAACTCTGAAGTCCGCGACACAGCCACCACGATGCACAGCTGGTATCCGTGTCGTCCTCTTCCATCGCCATCCTCGCTGTCCCTGTCTCAGGAAAGCGAAACAAAAAAGAAGCCGATTCACTTTCCACAACTCCGATCACAATTTCTCCCCTGCCTGGCATCATCAGGTGGCCTCATGTATTCGGTGAGATGGCGCATCAATAGAGGGATACTCTTTTTTTAGTTCATACACGAGTGTATACGGTATACACATAATCAAAAATAAACGAGGAGAATATACAACAATTCATCTCCTCGAGATAAACCGAAGACACACTTGTGAGCGCGAGGAACTTCAGAAAAGAATGGTTGCGAAATACATACAAACATAAACGATCTACAACTCAAACGTGATTTTGAAGAGTACAACCACAATAGCGACTAGAAAACGCCGAATGCCACGCGTTATCGTCGTATGTCCTTCATACTGGCAACTACGTTGCACGCCCACTATCGAAAAAAACACGACCAGCATTGCCGTCACCCTCTATGCAAGAAGAAACGACAACATCAGATTGTTGATTGGAGGGAGGGTCCTGTGTGAATGGAGTTCGATTTCGAATTTCGCAAGTTACAATACACCACTGCAACATACACACACGACAAGCAAACCTCAAGAAAAATATCGATAAAGGGATGCTGATGTATCAAGAATAAAGAAGCCGATCTTTCATCTCCACCTCCAAAATGAAGAAGAAACCCTCTCTGTTCACTACTTTCTGTTTCAAAAGCATCGACAACCGCGATCACATTCAACATTATACTCCCAATAGACGATGTCGACGTTGATCATCTCATGAGTGGATGCATGCACTACAGCTTGAAGTAAAAGTTTAAATAAGCAAGTTTGGCTTTGCTGTTGCTGAGAATCAGGAAACATGTTGTCATGGTTGATGCGTATAAATTAAAATCTTATAAGTACTATAGTACACAACGACGGACGATCTGAATTATTTCGTCCCATCCAAGCAGATAAAACGAAAAAACCCGACGGACGAGCTGACTTCCCCATCCCTGCAGCAAATGTCAACACTCGCAATCATGCTAGGTGCACAAATCGCTGACGATAATTCCAGAACTGCCGTAGAAGAAGGTAGCTGCGCAAAGAAATTTACACAACCCCAAAAATCAATCGTGTGCTCGCTTCTTATTTCGGCGAGCGAGTGACTGTCTAACGTACTTCTAGCCCCAAAATCAAATTAATAGTGTTTCTGATTAAGAGTACTACCGCGAGCTGGGTACTAATTGAGGATTGCCACGTGGAGCGCGGACTATTCGAGGAACGAGTCCTCGTAATTTAAAGAATGAGCAAATGCAAAACTCATTTGTAGATTTGATTCTAGGCATCAACGCAGAAAAAAAAAATACGCCCCTTAAAAAAGGCCGACTGGTGTAGTAGCGCAGCTCTTTTCTCTTTGTGTCTCTCGCTTTGCAAGTTCTTGGCTGAAGTGCAGTTTCCGATTTTTGGCTCCTACTGCCTTGTCGCTTTATTTAGTTTGCTGTTTTCGCACGAGTTCTGCAAGTTCGTCCGCAAGCGCAAGGAAGCGCAAGAGCAAGTACCACACAAGAACTAATAAACTCGTCGAAGAGGAAGCCACGCACCACCCAGGTGGGACTTTATTCGGGAAGCGCTGCAGGAATGTGACCGCACAATCATTCTTGGAATGTATCTGAGTCATCCTTTTACAGGAAGGTCTGAGTCTGTCCGCCCGTGTTGATGACCGTGTTCGTGTCGAAACTTCTCACATTGTAGTTCTTTTCATTTGATGTCATTGTCCTTTCATTGATTTCAGTCTTTCAGTGGAGGTGAAATTCATGCTCGATCTGTAGTAATGTGCAGCTTCATCACGACTCGTGGTGTCGCTGTCGTGTTGAAGTTGATGAAACGTCACATCTTCGAAATCTTCGTAGTCATAGTCATACAACAAACACAATCGTACATGGATACATCGCATTCTTTCTCGTGTTCTTGATCTTTTGCGACTAGAAGGATACCTTTACCTCATCAACGCAAGATAGCATGGGTTCTCCAAACCAGTGGCGCCCTTTGGCTTCCGTGATGTTTTTCAGGTGACCGAACGGACTTCCGCTAGTGCCCGACTCCAGTTTGTCGGAGGCCCAGGACTGCTTCCACCCGAGCAACCGAACGGCCAAGTTTGGAATCACTAGGGAGCCAGCGTGTTCTTCGTCGTGCAGTTGTCTTTCATCCTCATGCAGGAGCTGGGCGGTGCTCGTCTGATCCACATTGAGATGACCCAGCAGGCCCTTGTGGTCGTGCCGTCGGTGACCTTCAGTTCGTTTCCTCTCATCTCCTCGTGCCTGGAAGAAATAGATGCCACGGTCTGCGTTCGGGACAGAAGCGTCTTGAGCCGATGCCGCGCCGACCATCTGCATCAACCGCACCCTAGTGCAATTCACGAAGCTGGCGTACGGCGACCGGTCGGTGGTGGCGGGCGCGTGCTGGTGCTCCTGCTCCGATTTTTCACATTGCGCGACAGGAATTCCAAGTGACTCCGGCACCGCGCGGTGAAGCGCTTTGCTGTCTTCTGAAATGAAAGCAGCTCCGTTCAGAGGTGTCGTCCGTTGGTCGGGCAGTCGGGTTTCAATGCCGTGCGCGTCTAGACAAGACAACATGTCCGGTGTGAACCAGTGATGTTGAATATCGCCAGGAGCAGGAACCCCCTCCCCTACAAAGCACAATAAAAACGCTGAAGCTGATGCAGTTTCTCGGCGGGTTGCCATCTTTCTACTGTCAAACAAAGGCAAAAAGCAAAATACTTAGGGCTTCTACAAGCAGCACCAACATTCCATGCAGCAAGAATGCACTCGTACTCGAATATTACTGATCATGCTTCGCCTTCTATGCAGCCGTTTGCGCATATTAAAAATTACTGGTGTACAGGAAGTGGTCCGTGGCTGCTCGCTTGCTTTGTACTAGACTACTGCCAATAAAACGTCTGTCTTCATACTCTACTCTCAGCAGCTACGCTGCTATCCTGCACGTCAAGAAGCTCAGCAGGTCTATTCGGAAAAAATCTCCGAATGGGTATTCAGTGGGAGGGGGGAATTCTCATTCTGGTATTGAAGTCCCTCGTTCATGTTTTTTATCCCGTGGCCGACAGGTATGAAAGTTTCAGGCTCGAGGAGACCGAGATCGATAACATGAAAATAAATTGCGATCACGGCAAATCTACCGGAACCTAACACAGCCTGACCCTTTGTGTACCTGTATGTCTACTGTAATGGAAACATAAAAAATGACTTGCGACGCTGAAGCATAAAAGGCAAGGCACAGCGAGAGTGCCTGTCTTGTAAGGAAAGCAAGCGAGGACGAGGTCGATTGTAAGGGTGCACAGGTTTGGAAATCGAGCACGCCAAAAGAAGTCTGCCTTGTCCTAAACAACGAGACAGAGAAACTTGACCTGCGCCGCTGTATATATGGTACGAGTTTCCGTCATCTGCTCATGATCCTTGTTATTCGTTTTTGTGATCAGTAGAAGGCCGCCGCGTTGGTGGCCCGGACGTTTCGACGCGGGTAGATCTCCTAGTCCGATGTGAGAATGCGTCGTTTAGACAGTAATTGGAGAATAAAATCGGCTCAACAATTAATGTCGATTTTTAGTTTCGAATGCGGCACAAATTATCTCCATGATTTCGCCGGTTTCCAACCTGACACTACCATAAGCGGGTGTATCTTGGCGTTCGAAGCCCACCAGTCTGGCGCCCACGCGGCTTCTTTCCCCAGGATTCGAAGCCGCAAGCCGGGAATAACCCGATCGGGATGCATAGCGGTGGCGTGATCGCTATCTTCTGGGGCACCTCCACCTGCCTCCGGGGTTTCAGCAGCTCGCATTTGCTCCAGAAGAAGACCACCTTGCGCGTGTTCGAACGATGAGCCGTCTGGGTCGTCCGGCGTAGCGCCCATTCCCAGGTGCTGGCGTACACACAGTAGCACTTTCGCGTAGGGGCTCAGATCGGTGACGTCCGAGGTTAAGGCCGCAAACTTTTTCTCGCAGTGCGACGCCGAAACTCCCAGTGCCTCGGGCACGGCCATATGGATTGCGCCGTTGTCGGCGGAGCTGTAGCCCGGCGGTCGCTGCTCCTCCCAAGAGGCCCACTGCCGCAAGAACCGCCGAGCACGAGCAGTGTTCTGCACCATGTATGCTCCTGCCATCAGCTCGTTGTGGTTTTCCAGCCCCCATATTCGCTCAAAGAACATGACATCTGCTGGTGGCTGCTTAGCTGTGTTGTTGCGTTTCGAGGTAGTTGCAGTGGATGCGACGTGTGGCGCGCCAGCACCCCACATAAGCTGCCAGGTCGCACTGTCCTGTTCTTGCGCAAAGGAGCCGAGGGCGAGTTCCGCCCAGGGGCGCAAACTCAAATCGAACCCACGCGAGGCGATATCCGCATCCAATGCAAAATAGAGCGCTGGCGGCTTCCCAGGTCCTTCGTCCTCGTCCTTTTTGGAATCGAGATAAGCCGCAAGCAGGCAGTGACGCAGGAAGAATACATCCGTCGTTTTCCGCAGACAGCCTTCCTGCGTTTCTACCGTCGCGTCGCGCACCCAGGAAAGAGATTTTTTGTCCGTCATTGAGAACATATGAAAGCGTGAGGCTCTTGCAAATTTGCAAAGCTTAAGTAATGCAGAAAATGCAAACTGCAGATTGATGTAACGCTGAGGCTCCTGCCCAAGAAGGAGCTCATGGATGTGGAAAATGATGAAGAGCTATCACGACAAAAGCCGGCGCTTTTCTTTTCCCTCTGCTCCGCAGCTCTGAATAAGTAAAGTGACAGATCATTGGCTTTCCGCGTCTGAAACATCCGTCATGACACACCCTCTTGCAAACTACGGATCCAGGAGTGTGGGGCATTGGTTTATTTCTACATCGCATCAAATCCCGTTTGAAGCAATTTTGTCAATTTCAATCAGAGCTCCCGCCATAAAATACGTTAAAGCCGTATCCCAGCCTCTCGGCATAGCAACGCAAACTCGCCAGCTGGCTCCGATACTTACTTTGAAAGCCACCCTGCGTAAAGACCACCAGCTCTACCTTGTACCGGAGCGCGGGCAGTGAGTCCGTGACGCGGTGGTTGGGGCGCGCGGGGCGATCGGCATGTTGCCCCTTATGTTGTTTTTGCTCGGCGCGGCGATGCGGCGGACTTGTCCTCTTCGCTGGGTCGTTGAAGTCCATTCCCCTTGTACGCTGTGAGACGTTCTTACTTGTTTCTTGGTGGTGCGCCACAGCGGTTTCATCTCCTGACACTCTCGGAGAGACAGGGCTCGTGGCTTCGTTGGCATTTTTGCTCCTTCCTTCTGCCCCTAGGACCGCCCACTGGCGTAGGAATTGTCTGGATCGGGGGTTGTTCCGAAGCAGATATGTTCCGGCCATCAATTCATTATCGTTGTGACCTTCACGAGTACTCGACGTCTCGCGGCTGCCCCAGTTCCGGTCGAAGAGCACCACGTCCGCAGCGTGTGCGGGGCTGCACGAAGATGACTCGCCATGTTCTTGAACCTGAAGTGCACTTTTACCTTTGTCAGCCGGAGCCGACGCGGCGGCGTTTCCGGCCCGGGGTAACTCCATCACGGATCCGGTGCCGGACGCCAGGCGTGCCCATGGCTCTAGGCTTATTGTCAGGGAATGCGCTGCCATATCTGCATCCAACAAAACATATACCGTGTTGTCAGGTCGATCATCGTTCTCGGGGAGGTAGATCCCTTCCGCAAGGGAGCGTGGCTTTTGCGCCTCAGTTGTTGAGGACCCACGTAGATCAAGCCGCAGCAGGTGCTGGAAAAAGGAAACCATCGCTTGGCTGTTCGATTTAGATCGAGCAGGGTTCCGTTTATTAAGTTTATCTTTATTCATCGAGGCTGAAACCGCGGGGATTCTTCTTTTGTTGCTCTTCGATGCCTTGGCCTTTTCGTTTTTCTCATGCTCGTCGCGCCTGGAAGTTTTGACTCCCGGCGGCGGCGGGTGCACCGATCGAACTTTGGACTCCAGGTATGCCGCTAACAGGCAGTGCCGAAGGACGGGCGCAAAAGCCCCGTTTCTTTGCGCAGCGTCTAAACAGTCGCGCTTCGTTTCGACCGATGCCTGTTTGGCCCAGTCTAGATCTTTCCAATTCGTCTTCTGCGGAAGGACGGAGAGACGGTAACCGAAGTGTTTCGCATAGCATCGCAGGGTCCTCAACTGAAAATCGTACGTCTTCTGAAACGCCTCATCGGCGAAGACTACCAGTTCAACGGGAACCTTTCCTTCGCCTACTTCGGCTTCCGACGCCCCGCGTGCTGGCTTCCTGGAAGAAGAAGTGGCACAGTGTTTAGTACGCGAAGAAACTATGGTGCCGCGACCCTGTCTGTCATTCTGGCGAAAGTGCACAACTCCTCGCGCGGAAGATTCTTCGCCCATGTCGAGCAGCCGCTCCGTGCGAGCATGATCCTTATGCAACATGAACATGCGCTTCCGTTTGCGCCGCTTTTGTGTTGCGTGTTTATTCCTTGCGATAGCTTGAATCAAGGCAGTGGCTTTTTTTGATCTTGCTCCCGAGGGCCCCCGGTACACAACAAGAAAGCCGTGAGACCATGTGGTCAATGTCGTCCCTATCCACAGAAGTAGAACCAGAAAGAACATGCCATCGGCCACACGCGCCAATGGGAACTTGCGCTTTCGCTGCGCATGCTTCAACCCACTGGAGAGGCCACGAAAGAAGCCGTTCGCTAGGAACCATGGTCCGCGTATGCGCGGCAGACAGCGAAAGCCGCGGTTGCAGAGCATCTCCTTGATATCCTTATCCATATGCATATCCAAATCCATTCTGATTTTACTTGACCGCATAATTCTTGGTGTAGTTACTTGTTGCCACATGCTGAAAAAAAACGGTCGTCCCCGAGCTTCTCCGAATACTGTAACGAAGAAAAGCTCTAACTCACACTCACAGTCACAACCCAGTACTGCCAGCGCGATCCGGCGCAGCGAATCTCACGAATCCACTAAACGTAAACGACAGACGCAAGACAGAAGATGCTCTGTGTTGCATGTCGAGGCGCAACGTCTTTTTTTTCTCGCTCTGCTTTTCCTCCTCTCGCAAAGCAGAAAAAAGAAAAAGCTGATCTAGCTTCTGACGGCGCATGATCGTTCTACATCTTACCGGGAGAAGAGAAAAACGCAAAGCAGGCACAATAAAGCTGCACTCAACGAGAGGTACCTGAGCATGATGTCTTCAATGTAGGAACGAGAGCCGCCCCGTCTTCGTCGTACTTGTTGTTTTTTTCTCTACCTTTCTTGTTTCTTCATCCTGGTCCTTGTGGCTACTTATGGTTATGGAGGTAGAAAGACAAAGAACCACAGGCATGGGGAGAGTCATTAAAAGCGTCAGCCTGTAGTTGCTGTTGCTGCAGCCGAAGGGAAGTGGGTTTTTTGTCTCGATATATCCAACATCCAATCCACTACCACTGCAACTGCAGCTGTAGCACCACTACATATGCATGTCCTTCGAGCGCGGTTGCAGTTCCTTCACACATATCCAATGCAAAATAAACATCGCACTCCCAGTTCTCGTGCTAGTTGCCGCTCATGTCATGCATGAAAGATCTGTACTATGGCCTAACGAGGCAAATGATCATTGCAAAAGGCATTTTTTCTGGTCCTCGTCGTGGAAGAATTAAATTTTTGATTGCAACTCTAGGTAGACATCAAGTACGATGCTTAAGTATTTTGCATTGCATAACACAAGCAGGGTGAGCTCGGAACTTTGGGACCTTGCACTGAGGGAAGTATCCCCTAAAAACTAACCATGCCGCGTATCCAATTTGTATTTAGCATACAATGACATGAAGTGATGCGGTATGTATGTACGAGGCAAAAAGTGGATGGGGATGGTCAAGTTTCAGGGAATAGGAAGCTCTTCCAGGTCATCAAAGGGATACCCGGGATATACCACGCGGTGAGATCGAGAAAACGCTCGGGGTGAATGTGCACTGGCGCCCGCTTATGGGAGTGCACAACTCCCCCGACACCGACCCTCCTCGTTTGTTATGCAAAATACCAAATACTGTTGCACTCGCGGTCCCTGGTGTCACTTTTGGCACTATTTAGCGGATTATTCGTATAACAACAAGTTTCGGGTTCGGGAACCGAAACATCAGCACTACTAGTACAATCTTGTCCGCCCTGAATTGTACTGCAAGTCGTGGTGCGGATTGAATTCTACTTTATATTTTATTGCTGGTCTTGCCCTTTAAATGAGGGGGTCGACGAGGGGGGGCTGGAGTTGTGCACTTGGACACCCGTAGAGCAGGCCCGCAGGTACGTAGCGCCCGGGGGGTTCATACAGCCGGACCTGAATATCCACGGGGATCGCGATTGCGGACATTTTTCGCAAGTGGATGTACCCGTTGCCTAGCGTGCCAATGTAGCCATACCGAAACCAGTGCCGAAAGTAGCGGAGGAAGAACTGCATGGTCTGCGCCAGCCGCTGCCCGCGGTGGAACGTAGAGTTGCGCTCGCATGGCGAGGGAACAAGATGCTCATCCTGCTCTTCGACCGCTGGCAAGTCGCCGCCAGGTTGTGCTGGAGCCGCGACCTCTTCCCCGTCATGATTCAAAAGCGGATGCCGATCTCCGTCCGGAGTCATCAGACACTCGGCGACGCTGTGCCAGCCGCGGTACTGACTCTTCCGGCGCTCCAGAACCTGCGGCGGAACCGGAACCGCAGCACCATGCTGATTCACTTCCATTTCTTCCCAATGCAAGACGGAGGTAAGCATCACGTCAATGTCGTCTTCCCAAGGCTGCGGCTGATCCCGCTGACGCAACAAGTCTAGATTGGTCATCTTGTACGGCACGACGATGTTTTCCACACGCACGACCCCGGGGACTTCGTGGCTGAGAGATCGCCACCAGTTCGAAACAAATTGGTACGCTTCCACGAGCTCACTTTGCACACTGGGAAGACCCACCAGACCCGCGTACTTTAGGAAGGACCACTCGCTTTATGAGAGTGCGTCACTCGCCGGCGCTTTCCCCCTGCTCCTCATTTCGAGGCCATGGGCAGCGTCAACACGAACACGACAAGCGTGGTCAGCAAGATGCAGATTTGCAGTGCTCCTCGACGTGCTGTTTGGGTTCTTAAATTGTGCGCCGCAATAAATTTATTACATGCATCAAGCGCGTCGTAGTAATGTTTGGCCCAATCATGGAGCTGGTCACGCAAGCAGTGCGAAAAGCAGAAGGCAACGACTCGAGTCGCGTTCTTGCGTGACAAACGAGGAGGAGAGGGGATCGTGCACTCGTCTCATACACTTTCGCGGAGGCCGCTCCCACCTGCGCCCGTCATGCGAAAAATATGCATTGCAAAAATATCGATCTCCATCTCGTACTCGTAGAAAAAGCTGCGTCTTATCTAATTATTTTGCTATTTTTTTGGATGTGGCTTTGTTTGGAACTGTCTAAACTGAGAGCGGAAATATTTCGCGACTCTTGGATCCTTCCCCGCCTCCTCTCGTGTTTTTTTTTTAAAAAAGGGGCGAGACTGAGAATGAACGGAACCCGAAGCCGTGAAACAGATGCGGAAACGGAAACGGAGAAATGTCCGAGAAGCCCCGGCCGGGCGACCAGCGCACAGGCGGCCGAGCCATCTCGGCTGTCTGCTAGACGCGTGGCGACTTTCAAAGCAAAGCAAATCCCTGAGCGAGGGAGGCCTAAGGCCCGCGGTAGCCCTCTCTTGCGCACCCTCCTGTCGCTGCGCGGCGTTTTTCTTGATGTTGTTTCTATAGCCAAGCAGGGTCACCATCAACAAAGGGGCCGAGCCTGCCACGGCTTCCCAGCAACGGCAATGGGGCTGTTTGCCTTTCCATCGGTTAGCCCGCAGTCTTCCGCACCCAAGAAGGAGCTCCTTTCTTGGATGTGGCAACCACATCCAAGGAGCCCTGGGGCACGGAAGACTGCGAAAAAACTGCCGGCGTTGGAGCTAAGACTGGGCGGAGGGGCATATCTATGCCCCACTGCTGTAAAGCTAATCGGCCCAAAAAAGGGCGCCCCAACTTCCGCCACTGGGAGGCCGCATCGGCCTTCTTCCATCGATCATGAGAACAGCGCGCCGCGCGTCTCCCCAGCATCGGGAGCTAGGTAGCGCCTGACCGTTTAGCCCCGCATAGGGGCTAACTTTCCTGGCCTACGCCTCTAATAGGAGAAACCCCTGGAAGTTTGCCGCCGCCGCTGGCACCCGCGCATATCCGCGGGACGCCAACCATCAGCAAGAAGAACACACATAGACGGGGCGAGGACGGGGGCCGTGGCAAACGAATGGCGCGGGGCGGACGCAAATACCGCAAATTTTGTCTCCTCTAAGAGAAGAAGGAAAGAGAGAATATCTATTTTGGATAGAGAGAAAAAGAGAAAACAAAACTTGAAGAAGAAAACGAGCTTGAAGCTAGCTGAAGAGAACAAAAAAAAAAAACAACATATACGAAAAGAAACTGAATGGCGACAAGTGCGAAGCGCCGCGGTGTGGTGGCTGTTGGTTCCGTTCTCAGTTTAGATAGTTCCGAAAAAATCCGATCCCATTTTTTTTTTTAAACTACAAATCACAAAGCTAAAACTGCGAGAAAAATCAGTAACGGCATCAGATCGGAAAGGGAGGTGATCCAGGCTCGTCGTCACCGTTTTTTATTTTTGATCCAGGCGCGTCGTCGGCTAATTATTTTGCTACTCAGATTCAACAATTTCAAAATTGACGGCAATGCGGATTCATCTTCATGGAAGGAAGTGAATTCATATTCATTATCATGCAAAATATCGCAATCATACGTACCTGTACGAAACAAAAACTAACTTTGCACTGGATAGAAAAACCGTGCGTACAACTGCAGGGAAAACTGCACGTAAGCATGGGCATTCATGTGCGTCTGTCCATCGTACCACACTAGTTCCTCGGCTGCTTCGAGCAACTCGAGCTTGCCACGCCGTGGCGTTTCCTCGAACAAGGGCTCGTCGTTGGTCTTGCCTCGACGTTCTTGGGCTGCTTGTTCTTCTTGGACCTGGAGTTTTATTTGTCTCTGGCTTTTGCGTTCCAGCCGTAAGTCTACCAATGGTTCCGATGAGCCAGTCAGCAATTGGGGCCCGACAACGAATACACTGGGTGGCACGGGCATCGCCAAACCGTCCTCCCACGAAGCTGCAGCTTCATCGGCCGCGGAAGAATACGAAACGGATGCTGAACCGAAGCGAGTAAAATGATAAGGAGCGCTTCTTTCCGTTTCATTATTCATCCGAGCCAGTCTGCGTGCGTGAAAGGCCTTTGGGTGCCACCATATTACCTCATCCGGGGCATCGGGGTGCCGCGTCACGCCGCTTGGCTTTGGAAGCACCAACTTCTCCATGACTTGCCGAAAAGAATCGACCTGCGCCTGGTGGTACTCAGCACCCCCTCCCGCGCGAGTGTCTGGCACCGTAAGATAGCAGAGCGGATTCAGCATAATAAGCTCAGAGTCAACTACTCCACTTCCTTTTGGCTTTGACGCCGAGGGTCCTGCTATCTCGCTGAGCGTTTCACTGGCTACCGGCCTGTTTTCGCAAGACAGGAGCTGCGCCGTCGCGTCGGGATCCAGTAGCTGTTGCCCGGTCGCATCAAATTCAAAGGGCGGTATGCGAACCGTGTGTTCGTATGCAAGGCATTCGAAGAAGGCAACGAGAAGACCCAGGATAGATTGTTCCTCTTCCTGGATGTGTTGCCCATGCTCCATGTTTAACTTCCCGCTGGCCGCGCTTGTTGTAATTCTTGATCGATGCTGCCTACTTCTCCTGCGGTAGAACAACATTAGACACCGCCCCATTCCGCGCGCAAAGCGTCCGAGCACGATGCCCGACGAGCGTGTGGCTCTGCTCTCCGCGACAGTATCAACTTCTTGTTGGGCGGGTGAAGGAGATGCTTGCTCCTCCTGCTTGGCAAGCCGATGAGAAAGAGGTCGAGGTCCCTGGTAGCGCGAGGAGTGATGTGTTTTCGATTGACCACTTGTCCTGCTAAAGAATACCGAAGCCGCACCAGCACTCTGGTGTTGGTGACCAGCGGCGGCGGCCCCGTCGTGGTCTACGCTGAAGTTATCGACGCCGTACTTGACAGCAAAGCGGGCACTTACGCCCCGGTGCGCCAGCAGTCCCAGGTAACTTTCGGTCTCTCGCAGGCATATGCCGGACGCCCGAAAGTCTGGTTGAAATGACATACGGTTCTCCAGAAACGGCAGAACTCTATCCTGCTGCTCAAGTAACCCCAACGCGCGAGTCGGCGGCCATGCGTTGTAGTAAGTGTAGAGAACAACGGAGTCGGACGAAGAGGACGCCGATGCTAACAAAGATGCGGCCCCCGCCGACGTGTTATGATTGGCATCGTCCCCGTACCTCAATAAATCGACGTCTTCAACAAAACTTCTCCTCGGTGACCGAGCGCCAGCGTTGGGAGAACTTGGACCCGGCCGGACGTGGAGGCTCATCGCTGATACAAACTGCAAGTCCAGGCCTTTGATACCCAAGAAAAAGAGATCCATCTCCAAAATGAACTCCGCGAGCACCAACGCGCGATCATCTTTTTTTGCGGTACTAGAAGAAGTAATGGTCGTGCTGCTTTTGGGATGCCCCCGCCACGGGAGCTCCTCACCAAGGGAGGAAAAGAATCCTTCATCGTTCTTTTTCAGCTGTTTCCTCGCAAGATGAAAATACTGCGGAGCTCCAGCACAGATTTTCTGGATCATCCCAGGACTTCCGAAGTAGATCCCGTTCTATCCAGGAAAAAACACCCATTTCCATCCAGTTCGTCACTGTCGTGCAAAACGTGCATAATTTCCAGTGGTTGCCCTTGCCATGCAAAAACTGGTGGGATGCATGTTTTTTCCTGGATACGTTCGGGTATTTTCCACGGACATCATCAAAGGGGAGACTGTTCTGATATTCTCTACAAAAGCGTCAGTATCACCCACAGCCTAGCTTTCAGGGAGCATATCTTGTACTTACGATGATGATGATCTGCAAATGCATATAGAAATGTTAATGTACAAGTCTGAAGCAGAAGATACGGCGCTGTTCTTGTTTGTGATTGCGAGAATTTTCATTCGGCTCTAATCAGGAGAAGTCTGGAATTCATGACACGGCAGCTCCAGTATGCTCTTCTAATATCTACCCATGAGAATCATCATCATCATCATCATTTAGTGGACACCCGCTCCCAGCGCCATTCGGATTTACAACTCTTCTTTGAATGGCATCTCGAATGCGCAGCGCCAGCAGCTCCGTTAGTAGAAGTACCATCTTCATCTTGAATGTTAATCTTAATGTAGAATGGATAATACGCTGACGCTTCTATGGGGATATCTCAAAGGTCTCCTCGCAAACCCTTCGAATCATCTTGCTCTGCTCATCTTCTGTTTTTTCGGATTGGCCACGTTCACGATCCGGCGAGCCCGGCACTTTTTCCCTCTCGGGTGCGGAGACATTCTCGCTTTTATTTGTGTCTCCACGAGGAGCATGCTGTCCAGCGCCAGCTCCAGCAAACGCGTCTTGCAAAAACTGCTGAAACAGTTCTGCTGGCATCAGTCGTGTAGCGCTGGTAGTAGAGCTTTCCAGCCACTGGTGCGACAGGATCAATTTCTTCGGTGGGAAATGGCTTCCCGAGGGACCAAACTCGAGACGCCAGTCTTGCCATGTCACCTCCCGGGTAGGCCACTCCATGCCCGTAACACCGGGACGACCGGAAGCCGTGCTGCGACGAGTTTGCATGCGGCAGAGGCCCGCCACCACTGCAGGAACATTTTTGTCACTTCTCAACTTCGTCCGAACAGGTGGAGCTTCGTCTCCTGCCTGCTTCGTCTTCTCGCTGCCAGACGGGTCGACGTCGATCGAGTCGCCGCGCGCGACCTCCTCCTGCTCCAGTGTCTTCTTTATGCCTCGCAAAAGTACTTAAAAGCGTCGCTCTCAGAATATCGGAAGAACAAGAAAACAGATGGCATGACATTTTTTCAGAAAGAGCGAATGGCTCTGGTCAAAGCTCCTGCTTGTCCAGGTCGTAAAAAGGTAGCGATGCGTCCTCTCTGTAGCAATGGAAGTACGATCACGATAGTCAAAAGTACTTTTTTAGAGGACAATAATATCCGGCTCTACTTGTAGATCATGTCCACGAGCTCTATGTTCATTTATTTGGCGCGACTGAAATTCATCCAAGTAATCGTCGATCAAACTGCAAGCCACTCCAGCTGGCGGTGCTTCGGAAAGGAATGGACTCAGAAAGAGCACCAGATCCGCCGCGCTTCGCTCTACCGCAGCGGCAACAGTTTCGATCTGAACGGCGGCGATGTCAATCAAAAAAGGCACGACTTGAACCTTTCGCTTGCAGGACTTTTGTAAATCATGTGCCCACGACGACGACGAGAATGAAGATGAGTGCTGCTCCTCGTCAGCGTAATATTTGTTGCTGGTGGTCGCTGTTGACGGCGCGCCGCTCTGCTCATGCCTCACGGACGGGAGTGCAGCTGCATGCAGACCGTGTAGCCATTCGTAGTCCACCAGACTGGTGGCCAAAATCTTGATCGAATGCTCCGGATCATCCATCGCTGCATCCTCTGTTTCATCTCCAAGATGAAAAGGCACACGCTTCGCCGCTCCGTGCTGGCCATTTCTTGTTTCATCAGCCTCTTGTTCTTCAATTTGCTCCTGCACCGCGGCAATCTCGCTCTGAGCCTCCTCCAGACTTTGATACGTTTGCTCCTCAACAACCGGGTCACCATGAGCGGTAGAGACCTCAACATCAACCGGGAGCGGACTACTTCTTTTCGTCGGAGTTGTAGATAGGGAACTTTCACAACCACTATCTGTTCTTTCATTCCCCTTCCCGACCGCCGCTTCCAGCGCCAAACACGCCTTCCATACCGCAACAAGCTGTTTGGCACCAGCAAATAGGTTTTTCCGTGCGTTGGGGTCCTTCTCATACCTGAAGCTGGAAACAACACGGCGGAGAAACTTCACGCCAGGAAACAAACCCCTCCTTAGGAAGTCAATCGTGCATGTGATGGAATCCGTTTTTTCTCCTCGCCTCTGGTTTCCCCGCGAAGGAAATCCGGCTATGAATCGCTCCGCGAACGCGACAGAATATCAGGAAGGACTGGACTTTTCCGTCATGCCGTTGCCGCTGAGGACACTTTTAATATAATGCATTCATTGTCTTTGAGCACGTGCACGCGCTCCTGTTGGTGCTAGTTTTGGCGCAACACATGCTCTCCCCTTGCGTGAGGCAAACGCAAAGAGGTGAAGCACACACACCTTAGCACGCACAGAATTCTGCCTCGTTTCAGGTACTATCCGCAAACTCTCACTTATGGTTATGTGAAGGAGCGCTGCATGTTGGACGAGAAACACCCCCACGACGCGTGGACGTGCTTGTGGGTGCTAAATCGAAATTCCGCGCAAGGCCAGCGACAGAACGTCGCGGCCAGTGCGTGAAGTAAAAGCAAAAGCACGGATCGCGATTTTAGTTTTACTCTGACTTTGAGTGTAACTCAATTTGTCTACGTATGGACGCGTCAGGATCGAAATTCGCAAAATCGAAAAAAAATCCAGGGGCTCCCTGGAGGGGTGCCGGGATTTCGCATTTCGATTCTGACACACTCGGACCTTTTTGAGCTAGTCGCGACGGTATGCTTGAGTGTGTCAGAATCGAAAGGGGTCCCGGAGGGGGCGCCCTGAAGGCCCCCGCCAAGGACTGCCATAATTTTTTTACGATTTTGTCGATTTCGATCCTGACGCTCCCATACTACGTATCTACATCTAGTATTTCTAGTTTGCGGCAGCCGTACCTGCAACTTTATTTCTTTGCTCGTACCATTCCGACACTCGGTCGACAGCGGAAAGTCAAGCATGGCGACATAATAATCGGGTTGCATTGTATTACAGCAAAGCGTAATATCGCAACGAGCCGAGCAAGTCTTGAGGAGGTTGGTCCCGGCGTCGAAGACAAGGCGCAGTCAAAACTTCTACTCCCGTCGCATTTTCACGTCCGGCGTTCTCTAGGGCTATTACATCCTGCAGGTCTATCTCTGCTTGTTCGGAAGGTAAAACCCTGTCGCCGGACAAAGCAGAAAACTTCTTTCTGAACTGCTTCAAGATGTAAGCCCGCTGCGACCCAGTCACCATCGGGATCGACTCCGCACGAAAGCGAACGCTTGCGTCCCCACTCGCCAGGGCATACCGAAAAGATTCGGTCGTGCGGAACTTTTCTATTGCCAAAAGGCGAAGGATGTCGTCGTAATCAAATTCATACTCACGAATAGCTGATGGCTCCTGCTCGTCGTTGCGGTGCAGATCACTTTGGCTCAAGATCTCGCTTCGCTGCAGCGGGGTCGTCGACGTGCTGGCAGGAGGAGCAGCTGCAATTGCAATTACTTCACTGGCGCACGACGCAATACACAGTGCCAAGCACCACAAGAATACCACAGGCGAGGGAAGAACCCGGCAACGAGAATCTTCCATCAGGAAGAAATATCGCCTCTCCTTGGAGAAGAACAAAACCGGAACGCAGCTTCTTGCAAATAACATGTTGTAGACTGTCTCAAAGTTGTTAAAACTCAAACATTTTGCTCGACACGAGCCCGGCATGGACCTTCACCTTGTTCGATCGGGGGTTGCGGTGTCAAATACTACGATGATTATTCTTGGCACATTGCAACGCCCAACACTCGCCTCATCAAGGTATCTTTACGACCAGGGAATAGAATCGCAACAAATTTGTCATGTCAGTAGAAACTCTACATCAGCCGCACTTTTCCAGGAATGATTGATTAATAGAATGCTTGCTAGTTTAAACGCAACAAAAAAATAAACTTCGACGCGGACGGAGGTAAGATCAAACTAGGAGCGCTATAAACCCGAAGCCCCTCTAAACCCCATCGGCGCCGTGGCGATCTGGGAAGGAACAGGGACGTCGACGTACTGACAGCGGAGGGGAAGAAATAAGAACTGAGTGGGCCACTATGCCTATGCGTTGTTTTTGTTGTTGAAAGATGATCTTTATCTTTGCAGAAAATCTCGCTCAGCGTTCTTAAGGTATACGCACGAAGATTATCAGGTGGAAGAGATCGAATGTAAGTACTTATGATCACAGATGAGATCGCCATGGCCATCGTGATCGTCGCCCTAGTGGACCACGTCCACGCCGGCGCACTACAGCATGAGTCTTTTTTCGCGCATCAGTAGCTAGGATGTGCCATATGTATCAATGAATATGAAAATATGGTCCTTTATTAAGTACAGAGGGAGCTCAAAAAACGAACCAAAACAGAAAGCTCGATGAACAGAAGTTGTGCCTGTGTTTGTATTTGTAATTCACGACCGACTTACTTCCGCGACAACATGTTGTAGTCTTTACCCACGGGCGACGGGTTCTTGGGATGGTCAACGTACTCGCACAGCATTTTTCTCTCCTACTGCGCTCTGTACTATGTTGCCTCTGCCTTGAGAAACTGCATGTAACTTCGCACAGCAGCTCGAAGCCGCGCTTCGGGACTGGTTTCAGTGTCGATTCCTCGGATCTGTACTATGTTGAGTTCCTGATGAATATCGTCTGAAGTAGATGTTGGATCGCAAAACTTTCGTCGCCCAGCATTTGATGTTTGGAGAGGTGATTGCAGATACTTCTCTGGCACCAGTGAAAGCGCCAGTGTATTTTTCATCTTCAGAACACGCAGCGAATTTATAAACTTGCCCAGGTCGGAAATCGAAAGCCCCGAAGAGGTCCTGCTGGTTGCTCCACCACCGAAATCGGTTGCTCCAGCACAATGTTTCCGTATGCAGCTGCGCCTAGAAAACGTCTGTGCAGGAGTGGCTCCATCGTTTTGCGTCGTAACATCAAATCGATCACATTCAACATCTTGCAGCGTCACCGAACAACGCATGGCTTCTCGAAAAGGAGCTCGTCTTGGCCTATATTTGCCATCAGGAACAACAGCTACAGCAACAGAAGAGGTAGTCGTAACATTACACGACGAGTGCTCGGTGCTATTGTGATCGTCCAGATCAAACTTTTCCTCCAGGTCCAGGTGTTGCCTGATGATGCAGGAGTCCACCTCTTCTTGATCCTCAGCAAATTCATCTAAAAACTCCGACTTGAAACCCAAGCAGTTCCGGAGTGCTTGCGAGGCCTGGAACAGAAACTGCGGGTCGCGATAGCCATGCGCCGCGAAGCCCGTTACGAGGTCCACAATTTCGGTTGCCGAAGCCTCCGGCAACAACCGCAATGCTCGATCCGCGGCGAACCGCCAGCGACCCTCACTGAGCGCGCTTCCCTGTGTATGAAGGAATTCAACATGCAATCTGGTGCGGCTCTTCGGTCGTGCTGGCGGTCGCGGAGTTTCCCGGCCACGCTCGTGAGCGTCAATCTGTGATCGTTCTCCTGCTGCTGCTGCTGCAGCAGGAGCGGTGCGCTCTTTCGGAAGTTTTCGTGTTGCGACAAGATCGGCTTCGGCTGCAGCACGATCATCAACATAAGCACACAGAGCGCTTTCTTTTTTACCAGTTCCTCCCTCATTTTTCTTTTTGTTTTTCACAAAAGGCACCGCGAAACGCTGCCGGAATAGAAACGGATTGGCAGACGAAGAGCAGGTCGACGTCGGCGTCGAAAAGGTAGCGCTACGTGCAGGTGGGCACCTTGCGCCCCCCACGGGAAGGATACAACGCATATGATGAAGGTCTTCTGATGCGCTTTATTCATTTCTTATGCTGCCAGTAGAGAAAACATTTGAAGGGATACTGAAGGGATACTTATACTAAACATTCACGCCCCGCCTGCATTTCGATGAGAACGAAAAGGGAGCCACGGATGCTTATAGCTCTGTTTCATCTGTAGTTGATCGTCGTCTTCATGTTCATCTTGATCCCAAAACGAAAAATGTAGTTTGTTAGTCTGCAAGCCACAGCTGTCGTCAGCTGTAGTTTTGGGGAACGGCCTGAGTACTTAGACTCTTTCTACTCTTGCTTCTTCTCTGAGGACCGGGGGTGAACCAAATTAGAACAAAGACATGAACATTGTTCGCGTCTTCCAATAAGACCAGGAGCGTGCAGGTCGCGCACGTGCCCGAAGAATGCTCCGCCTGTCTTTAAGCTCATGGTCATTCAGTTGACAAGCGCAGACAGCCCGTCTTAGGGGAGTACTACCAGAAGCACCGGCCACAGCCCGTCTTAGGGGAGTACTACCAGAAGCACCGGCCTTACCCAGGGTCTCACTCCGATGCAATGTGCTCGCTGAGGAATGTCAAAAGTAAATGAACAGAATAGGGCGGCGCGGGCGCGTTGAAGCTAATCCGCACCGAATTAGGGTTCGCCACCGCCGCCATGGCGACCTCTCGGATATCTCGTTGCAGCGGCGTGGTTGGGCGCTTGTTCCACCAGACTGTCGGTGATATGCTGGTAGTCTCCGTTGAAGTCGAGGCGCGGCCCCTTCCGCATGCAACGCTGGAACCAGGAAATTGAACTTGAAGTGTGTTCTGGCTGCATTGCTCAAGTGACACTGCTGTAGCAGCGGCTTCAAGAAGTCGCTCAATAGCGACAAGAGAAAATGATTGAGCAAATGTAGTGGGTAGAGGTGGGTCAGGTGGTGCTCCACTCGTCTCCTTCTCCGCGGCAGCAGCAAGAGATTGCTGGAAAAAATCCACCACCATCAGGTACAGCTGGCGATGCTCAAAGTCGGAAACCGCCGCAGGATCGAAAAAGTGGCGCAAATAAGACGCCAACAGGGACCCCTTACGCTCACGGTGCAGCCATTCCTGGCCAGTTGCGTCGACGAAGAGGCAAAGACCGGTCAGCTGCAAACTCAGTTGACGCGGTGTCCGATACCGCCTCGCAAATGCAGCGACAAAAGTGCGCGCTCCTTCGCAGGTAGACAGCTCCAGTTCAAATGGTTCTTGTCGCGGCTGTGACTGTCTTGGAGTCGTGGTCTCTTCTTCATCTCCTGCGACAGTATCCGCGGAGGCCTTTGGGTTTGCCGTCGACGGCGTGCCAAAAGGGCAAGGTCCAGTATCTCCCACTTCATGAAGATCAGCAGAGCCGCAACTGCCACCCGCTCCTCGCATAGCCTCCTGATGAGAACTAGGTGAACGGACATGGCCTTTTTTGCTGCAAGAAGCGGACGACGCAGGAGAGGAATCTGCAAAAAGTCCAAGCATCCCAAAGTGCGCTCTGAGTTCCAAGAGGTCAAGACTGGTGTCGGAAATCGGCCACGTCGTAGTCCTCGTTCGTCGATGGGGAGAACACACGGACCGCGACGAAGAGAACACCGCAAGGGCGGGGAGTATCCTGTGTAAAACCGTCCCCAACTGCCCATGCTTGTCACGCAGATCTGCAAGCCTAAAAGGGTTCTCATGCAAAGCCCCAACATGAGAAGCATTTTCTAAGCTGTGCTTGTGCTTGTTTCGACTTTGTCCTCACGCTAGCACCAAGAGTACAAAGCGAAAGTGATCAATTTGTAATCCGGCTGCACTTACTCTTACGAAACAGAAACACGACGAACCCACTAGGAGGACGCCAAATCTGTCATGCGCAACACACAAAGGTCTTTGGTTTGTGTAGCAAAGAGCAGCCTGACTCTGGTGTGGGGACGCTTTTACTCAGAATAGAGAGCGGCCGTGACGAGTCACATTCGTTTAGAGCACGACTGAAAGACGGAGCCTCCGCCCCGTGCACATGGAGATGATGATCTCGCCACTGTTTTTTCCTCGTCTCCACGACCTGCAATTCTGACTCATCATCAGTCGTGCTTCGCAAGTATTCGATGACCTCTTGCGTAGGTCGCCAAAAGTAGCGCAGAGCCTTTCCCTCTATGATGGCATCCCTGACAGCGAGGCGGGTCAGCGAATTCACGATGGCAACGCAGGTCCGAGACTGCTCGCAGCTCCTGCCTATCGGTTTTCGGTTTTTGTTGTTGTTTGCCACAGCCGTGCTCTTAGCACCAGGACCAGCGCCGCAATTTCTGAATTCATAAGAAAAAAGAGAGGCCTTAGTGTTAGTATCTTGCTCATCGCCCCCGCAGGCTGGTGCTTTCTCAAAGAAGTTGCGCCCCAAATAATCGAGCGCCTTTCGTTGCAGCGCCTCGAGTTTTTTCGCAAACGAGCTTCTACTTCTCGTGAAGGGATTGGCATTCGACATTTGTCCTGCAGTTTCGCCACCATGTTCTCTAACCAGCAAACGAGGATCTACCACCAGCTGCGCATCTACGTACCACTCTGCTGTGGACGGCAACGTCGACGATGCAGTCAAAGCATCCAACAACCCAAGGGCAATGTCTGTGTCGAGCTCGAATTGTATCACGTTGCACACATCGCCCCCCCCCCTCTTTTTTGTTGCGCAAACGGACCCGACTGTGCCTCAAGCGCAATCCTTTGACGCCATCGCCGCAAGGACATCACGTTCTTGGCGGGTCAGAGCCATGAAAAACATCACAACATGTTGACCATACTTGTTTCTTCATTATCATGAGAGGATCGACGACGACACTGTGCAGTCTCATAACTTGGTCCGCAAGCGCCGCGATTTGATCTTCCAAGTCAGACCTGATTGTCGATCCGCGGGGCAGTACACCCCCATCGGCTGGAAAATCGCGCACGAGTTGCACCACATTCGATGGCTTCGCGTCACGCCAAAATGATGGCGAAAACTTGTCCTCTTCACGGGCCCGTACCAGAAAGGCGCGGAACTCCAGCCGCAGTTTGTCCAAATAGCGACCAAATTGCGCTTGTGCACTAGCAACGCCATGCTTATCCTCGTCCGAAGAAGTATAATTTCCTGCCGTGGTCGTGCCAGTGCAGCTTCCTCTTCCACCAGAGATGAGGGTCGGACGATCTATTGTCTGATAGGTATTATATGTTGAAGGAGCCTCCCGTCCTGTTGTTCCTGCTCGAAGCAGACCATCTTCCCCGTTGTGGCAGCTGCGGGCCGTCCTCGCGCGTTGTAATGCATTGTGGGCGTGATCGAACAGACCGCGAAAAGCAGCCCACGCAAGACAGAAATCAGCAGGGCATGCAGCAGAGAGGTTTGCCAACAGGGGATGAATATACGTCGGTACACCGACCCGCTGAAAGAGCTGAGCGTATTGTCCTTGCCGCGCCAACTCGCAGCGCGAAAATGCGGCCGTGCTCGGCCTCCGCAACTGCCGCGCTAGGAGAGCTCCAGTGCTGTGCAAGAGAGAGGCAATGTCGCGGACTTCAGCCGCCGAGTCCGGCAGGAGCTGAGCAGAATGTGATGCTCGCTGCGACGTCGTATTGCAGTCGTCGGCCGTCGAGGATGGAGGTGAGGCGGAGTCCGAGTTCCTGACTGGTTGTACTGATATGACTTTGACCCCAGCCTGCGGTCTGCTTGTTGTTGTTCCGGCGCACGGGACGCATTTCTCGGCGTCGTCTCTGACGTAGAAGCCCTCTTCATCTCCTGTAACGACAGACGCTTCTATTGCTTCCGGGACTCCTACCATGCGGGCTACATCAACTAGGCAGCACTGCAGTGCTGCGTCCTCTGCAAAAGTCTGAAAAGGCTCGCCGCGACCAGCGACGCGCATCAAAGTTCTTGTCCAGGAAGCGTTAATCGACAAAGCTTGCTGCAGCGCGTGACTTATTTCGCAGTTTCGCGTGGCAGAGGCAGTCGTCTTCTCGGATAAAATATCGGCGGCCAACACTGTACTAGAATGACGATCAACTAAGCTCTTCCAAAGGCGTGGGGTGCCAGCTCCGCAAGCCGCTAGGCAGTCTCCAATGACGTTCAGGTCGATCTTTTCTGCGTACGTACTGGACGCATTCCCGCAACTCCTCGCCGGCGCGCTATCGCTATGACTCTCTCCGGGAATACCAGACGCGGCGCGCGAGTCATCCGTCAGTTTGCGACTAAGTTCGCACTTGAACCACGCACAGAAATCCTCGCTAGTTCCGGAAGGAACCGGGCAAAGCAGGATCAGACTGAGATCGGCGAAATCCGTCAAGGTTATGTTTGACCCGGTCTGACGCCCACCCGCACCCGGCTCCGTCGTAGTTGCGGAATGATCAGACGAGCTCCCCGTCCTTGTCCCTGTTGTATTTATTGCCCTAAAGCTGTCGGAGTCGGGAGAGCAGTGTGCGCTTTTTCTGCAAGAGCCGTGCGCAGAGAGGCTCCTCCCGTTTGTGTTTCGATCAATCGCAAGAATAGACTTCGCAAGCACTTCCATCGTCGATCCAAAGACGTCTTCCAATTCTGCGACGCGCTGCCACGCGCCTCGTCCGAATGCCTTTGCAAGCAATGCGGCGTGCCGGAGGTTTTTAATGATTGCTCTGTTCCTTACCCCCTCCGCGACAGCCCGTACCAGCAGCGGCCCTGTGATTCCCAAGTTGCTGCCCGCATTGGCTAGCAATGCCAGCTCGGCCTCGTTGAAGGTGCGCCAAGGTACCTGTTGCGTCAGCGCGGTGAGAAGGGGTGGATGCCGCACATCTAGACGACTGCAAGCGTTGAAGAGCGTCACGATGGCTTGATTGCCGAAGCCTTGCAATCGGGACGAGCTACAGACGCTACAGTGTAAGAGTTCGAAGAACGCCCCGTGCGTCTCTTTCGGCAGCGCAGCTTTTGCAATGGCGTTGGCGATATTCGCCAATGGCTTCTCGTCAAAAGAGGCGAGCAGTCCACCAGCCGATCTCACTAGGTTTCGAAACGCCGTTGCAGCTACTTTGTTGTCCGAGTGAAAATCTTGCCCGTTCCTAGTTGGACCAGTCGGGCGGCCAGCGCCGCCGGCGCCGCGACAATGTGGGGCCAACGCCTGTGCGCACGTGGACAGATCCAGAGGCGAAACGATTGCGCCGGATTCTACGCGTGCCGATATTTCTGTTGCTGCGTAGCGCACAATCTCTTTCAGGACGGCGCTGGCAATTTCGTCATCTCGGCGTCGCTCCGGAGCCCCTGCTGGTTGTATCGGGACACCAGGTTTTAAAGCGCCCACAGCTTCCTTGCCTTGGAGAACTCCGGGCAAACTTCTTCCACCAAGACAACTTGTTCGACCACCCGCACAAGAACCTTCGAGAAGAACGACGCGCTTCAGCTTGCAGACAGCATTCAGCAGCTGGATCAGACTTCGAGTATCCTCTGCCTTGATCGTGGGTTCTTGTACTCCCCTAAAAGACACAGTGTCCCGCTTTTCCTCGCCGGGCTCGTCTGCGCCGGTCCGTGCAGGGTGACCGCCTCTCCACCCAGTTCCTTGGAAGCTATTTGCTGCTGAGGTATCTTCTGCTAAAGTAGTCTTGGTAGCTGCACGCTGCTCTTCTTGCTCTCCGTTTCCGTTTCGTGCTGTGCGGAGTTGTACTACTGCCTCTCTCCTACAGATTGCGAAGAAATCACGATCGGGGTCGTCATCTTCAGCTACCTTCGTTATCTGCTCAACAAATAAAGACGAAGACGCTGCACTGAGAGCTGTCGAGCTCTCGATGACAGCACCTCCGGAAAAACGAAAATTGCGCCCGCGCCCTTGGTCCCAAGTCAACGGCGGAGCATTTGTTTCGTCCTTCGCCCTGTTGTAGTAGTCTTTAGTAGTCGGCGCCGGTTGGAATAGCTCTCGTGATGGCGAACCCAGACCCACCTCATCTCTAAGATCTTCTTGCCGTCGTGATACTGCGAATTCTGCGGAGGTCTCCCTCAGGAGCGCGGGTGGTGCCGCGCGGTGCGCTTTGTTCACATTGGCGCCTCGACAAGCAAGAAAGCGACACGCTGACGCTGTTTCCTCAGGAGATGTTTCTCCTCGTCGAGTCTGCATTTGATAGAAATCGAGTCTGCCCGTAAGGACTAGCAGCTTGGCCGGAAAGTACGCTACCTCAGCAAATTCTCCCAAAACCAGCGCCAGGTCGCGACGTAGGAATTCGTTGGAAGAATTAGAGATGGAAGTGTGTCGTTTGTGCAGCTGAGACAAGGTGGGGGCCCGCAGTTGTATTTGGTTGCCAACGACCGCGTGCTGATGATGTTTTTGATCCATCACCATCGGTACTTCCTCGGATACAAGCTGCTGCTGCGCCATCTTGCTATCTTCGTCTGCAGGTGTCCATAACGCCGGAGTGGAGGAGGAGGACCACACATGATGTCGACGATCATGTGATGAAAGTATCATACAGCAAACTTCTTCAAGAGACGGGCACGCAATCTGTAGCGCTGTCTGTAGGGTCTTAGTCGGCGGCGCGAGAGCGCTGCCGGCCGAAGTTTCAGTCATGGTATCCGGAAAAGCAGAAGCTGCTGTCTTTTCACTCCTGCTCAGGCTTTTGCGATATTTTCGTGCAGAGGTCAGTACCATTGCAATGTCCTTTAGACGCACCCCGGGGCTGGGACAAAGTTGCTGCGATACTTTTCCAGGTAAGAACTCAGGAGTCCTCCCATGTCCGCTTTTCGCGACGTCACTTCCGCAGTAAAGGAGCGGCCACTTCTCCGTTTCTGCTAGTAATTTAATCAGTAGCTCGCATGTGGGTTTCTCTTTCTTGCGGCCCTTAGTTGCGGCCACTGGGGCGTTAGAAGAGCAAGGAGTGGCGCCAGATGATGATGATGATGTTGGCAATGCCAGCAAGCTATAAGTATTATCATCGCCCAATGCCCGCACAAGACCGTGCTCCTCTTGTTGAAATACCTTCCTTTTTTCTTTCGCAGAAGCTGGAGACTTCGTCGGTTCCCCTCGCGTAGGGCGGCCGTCCTGCCGATCTCGCTCCAGGAGCGCAGACCGTCCAAGATGAACGGATGACGTGGATGGAGTCTGAGGCGTTCCGCTTCTGGCTCCTTGTCCGTTTCGTTCTACTTGTGCGTGCTGCCCTGGATGGCATTTTCCACTGCTGCAGGTGTCGGTAACCAAAAAGTGGCAGTATGCAGCCACCTCTTGGGGAGACGGGTTGGCCTGCAAACGGGCCAAGATTCGCCCGACGCTGAAGGATCCGAGGACGAGGTGATCATCTGTGTTTTTTAACGGTTTTTCTTTTTGTGAATGACGCTCTGGCGGCTCTGGTGATGTCGTATCGACCTTCGGTGAGGCTGTTTGGGGCTGAGATGAACTACTTGTCGTGCCGGAAAAAGGTCCAATTTCGATATCCACTTCTCCTGCACGAAGTGTAGTATTCGTTCTGTGCGCTCCTGGCGAGCTTCGTGACGCAATTTTCAACTTCCTTGACAGCTCTGCCGCATTCGCCGCACCCTGGCCCTCGTTCATTACCGTCGGCGTTGCGGTAATGCTGGTGTAGTCATGGCCGACAGGACCAGGACGGCTCCGGCCGCCGGTACTGGTTGATGACAATGCAACCGCTGTGCACGACAACGAAATGCCTCGCGATGAAATAGGACGATGCGAAGCGGAGGACAACATCATAGCATCCAATTATCAACACTCCCACCCTAGCCTTACTAGGTGTGCCGGCAGGTATCGCAGTCTTGATCGTGCACTACTTGCTGCTGGTTCGTTTTTATTCTTACCGAGCGAATTCACAGACATTCACTCTTGTTATTGTTCTTGTGCAAGTTCCAGTTCTGTTAAAAAAGCTCACATGAATCTGTAAGCACCATCACGTCGCGACGACGTCTACCAAGAAATGAAGCACATGCTTCTCTGTTTGTGCTTGTTACAGCACATGGTCATGGGCAACCACCTATCATATGCTTCTCTAACCATGTTGCGTAAAAACTCAACATACTTCACACACTTACATACTCTTGCTGCGTCTGGCACACCCCAAAGGAATAAACTTGATGAAGAAGAAAAATGATCTTCATCGTCATCGAACTTCTTAAAAACTTAACAGAATTCGATAGAACCAACAAGGATAATATGCTGAGCCGAGCAGGAACAAGATCCGAAAAAATGTCGTGAAAATTTTTCTGCGACAACTCTGCTTGATCTTGAATCAAGATCAGGCAAAAAGTAAAATGGCAGGCGCGGCCGGGGATCACGCCCTGGCACCATAGGAGCACCAACAACTTGCCTTGACGTATGGACTGGTACGTGATAGATTCAGATGTAATGTATCAGTAAGTATCCAGATTTTTGCGGGCGTGTCTCAATGATCCCAGGTGCAATCCCATTTTTAGCAGTCCCTCACTCGCATTCCGACTTAGTCGACAGGACGAAGACAGCCAGCGAAGAAGCAGTACCTGCACCACAATGGAAACGCTTGACTTGCCGCCCTAAGCACAAAATAGTAGACCTTGTTAATCGACGATCCTGATCTCCCTATCGTTGTCGTTGTCGATGATCAGAGCAAGCACGGATTTGGATAGTGTCTAACAACAAAACCAGGATCAAAGTAACGCACCTCTTTGATCCTGCTGCAGTCGCAACTTGAAACCCGGTAGAAGAGACGTCCATTCCTGCGTCAACGAGAAAGGCGCCCACTGTGCAGCATCAGCAGGGCCGAGTTGTATATATTACATTCATTCACGGAGGCCGGGCGCACGTCAAGACCTACCAAGATCAACTTTGTAACTCGAGCTCTACAATAAATCAATCTCATTCAGATTTGTTTTTGTACACATATCAGTATATTTTTTCTGCTAATCATACAAATAGGTGGAAGGAACGAAAAAAAGTACATGTTGGTAGCTGCAAGGATATTGCTTGCTTGTACTCATCGCTAATCTACAGCTCTCGCGGACTAACAACTTGTCGTGAAGATATTACCAAAGCAGCTTCTCTTCGTAGTAAGATGAAAATGCTTTCAAGTCTATTATTTCATATTTATTTTGGTTTTCAAAGTTTATTCTGTTTCTGTGTTCGTTGCAGCTTTTGTTGAAGAAGGAGAAGCCACTCTCAACATTTTTGTTTGTTTATAAAATACAGTGTTGCAAGAATGCAGCAGCTTCAGTGTTTTTTATTCTGCTGTTTCGTAGGTACACGAAGACACACATAAATAGGTGACAACATCGAAGAGCATTACTGCATTTCCGGCCTTCAAGCAGACTACGTAGCCGTTGCAGTCGACGTACAAACGAATCTTACATCAGGCGCATTTCATCCTGCGAGCTCGAAAAACAAATTGAAACGTGCGTCTGGACTCTAATTTCGTAAAATAAATGATAATGATTTGCATTTCCTGGTGCACCACTCCGCGCGTATTAGTACAATCGTGCCCATCTTAGCCACCTGCAGCTTAATGTGATTTTTTTTTGGCTTATCTTCGACTTGGTGACCACAGCCTACGCCGATGTCGACATGTTGACCGTACCAAGTTTCACAATGTGTGTTCGCAGGCATGGCACGCATCATGACTTGGATTTACATTCATGTATCAAGATTAACAGCTTTTTCCAAGGTATCAGTTAGACCCGACTGCTCGCGTGATGAGGTGGCCGTTTTATCGATGATCAACCACGTGTGTGCGGGCGAGCAAGTGGCTCAAGCCCGACGCCTCCGATGTTCGGAAAGCTTTGGTCGCCGTCGCCGGGCATTATTCCCGAGCTTGCTCATCCAGCGGAAAAATTAGCATGATGCAGTGTTCCACATGCACGTTTTTGATGGCGGAAGTACTAGAATTTTTTTTTGTACGCTTCGAATGGTGTTTCTTGGTTTTGCAACCAGCTGGATATTACAGAAGTCGCAAACCAAACGGAGATAATGAGGTCAGTGCGTCTTTTTTGTTTCAGCGAGGAAACGGCCGCGGTTGTTATGCATATGCCTGCCATGCCCTCGCGCCTAAGGCTGCCGATGAGAATCGCGGCTAGCAGTTGCGAGCTTCAACTTTCTGGGCTCCAAAAAAAAATCTCTCGTGTATGCTATGGGCGTGCCAGGACCTCCATCAGGACCGGCTTCTGGGAGGCTCACAATCGGGCCCATAGCACGCGGATTGCTTGGCTTTCAGCCTTTGGGGCGCCTTCCTTTAGTTTATTTTGTTTTATTTTTTTTTTATATTGAAAACAAAATAAAGGCGAGATGCTTTATGTGTCCACCGGCTCAACACATGCGGCATTCGAACCAACGTGGCAAAAACTGGCGCCCACCCCATTCGCATTGGCTGCTTTTATTTTGCATCTCTCGCACTTGTAAGTACGCGACGGCGCCGCTTTGTGGGCGCACATACAAATCGGTAGAACCTAAGACGACAGGCGCCTCAAAAGGGCGCCGTTCTTGCGGGCCCGCCTGCGTCGTTTTTCCTAGTGGTACCAGTAAGGCTCTATTTTGGTACGAAGATGATTACACGATGAGGGGCGCGGTCGGGGGCGTTTCTTTTTTCTAGCACGAATGAATCGCGTCCGAGCTCTTTATCGATGGCCAGCATTCTGTCTCTGACCGAAGGTCTGCCGCCTTCCCCTACTATTCAAGGCCAACATCAAAGAGTACCAGCGCCGGCGCAGGAAAAAAGAAAAATGCTTCGCCCCGGCGGCATCCGTCATCTTTCTTCATGCGAGAACACTGATATGATCTAAATTCTATTTCTCTTTTGTTATCGATGATGGGTCTTGCATGATCCCTGCTCGCGTTTGGGGCCGTTGTAGAGACCCAGATGGCTTCTGGTTGGTGTTTTCGCCCCCGTGGTTGGATGGACTCGGATTGGCGTTCAGACCGGTAACCTATGCCGTCCTCAAATCTTACATGGTGAACGGTTGCATGATTTCGTGCTGATTTGTCACGCAGGACGTCTGCCGCCTTACGCGTGAAGATTGGTCAAGCTCAAGCTGCAACTTCCCTCGCGTGATAATTTGTTCTGCGACGCGCTCAATACCATTGAGCTTCTGGCTCTGCCTCTGCGCGGTCTAAAAATACAAGAAGCGGACGAAGCCTTGACTCCCCCTGCGTATACTTTTGCTATTCCGCTTTTATTTCAGGTATCATCACAAAAGAACTTAAACCAGGAGATCATGCAACCGGTGTTCAGGTAACATTTGATGTCGAGGCCATATGGCCGCCACGTCTGTTCGGACGTATCCGATTTTCCCCAATGGTGCGGGCGGCAACCTACGTCCGTAGTTCAGGTTGTCGGCGGCGCGGCGTCCGCCGGCAGACCGACCGCTGGCCTGCTTGTTCAGCAGCTGGTGCGTGGGCACTTGTCGTGGGGCCACCTCGTCCGTCGCAATCATGTGTCGAGCGCGCTCGACTTGAAAGTTCACACCAAACAGGGGTCCCGGTGGCGGCCCTCCTGCTCCCCCGCGCTGCCCGCCCCGACCGCGAGCCAAGTCTAGGGCCGCATCAACCAGGACGTCTCCGTCTTTGAAGTTCGCGCGAATTCCTGAACCCCCTACTCCTGGTTGCGACGAAGAGGACGAGGATCCCGCAGGGGCTTGCTGCTGCCTCGATCGTCCACGCGGCGGTAGGGCCGCACCACCTGCAGAAACGGAGATTTGCTGCTGGGAGTAGGATTTGGAGGTACTGCGCGACCCGCTCGGATAATGATGCTGCTGCTGCAGCTGCACATGATATTGCTGCGCGGCGGCGTCGAGCTGCTGCTGTTGTTCCCTTTGTCGACTCTGCGCATGCGCGTGAGCCAGAAATGGTTCATCCGCCATCGCAGCAGCCCCACCGGCCGCTGCTTCCGAAGAATCTGCTCCGGTAGATAGCGGGTCCCCTTGGTGTAACACCTCTATAGAGGATTCCGGTTTCAGCATGTTCATCATGCTGCCCTCCGCAGGAATACTGCTTAATGGTGGCAACCGCACTTCCACGGCACTTACGGGCGCCGCAGTGGAGTGTCAGAATGAAAACAAATCTTCCCCCCCCCATGTTCAAAAGGCGATTAGCCTTGCTGAATTTGTGTACATCATCGCAGTTAGGCGGCATCAAGAAACAAAAACAGCTCCAGTACAGTTGGGCACGCGAAAGCGTTGGTTGCTCAGCACGACAGGAATCAACAAAAATTGCGCAGAAAATCGTGCTGACAAGTCGCCTCCATGGGAATATGCCGCGCGTGTGCCTCTTTGCCTGTGTGCTAGGATTGGCCTGTGGACACAAATCTTCGCGCACCACAAACTGCCTTTTGAGTATGATATTGAAGGGAAAGAAAAGATTTTTCCTCAGAATAGGGCTCTGCTCATGTTTCGGCTGTACCCGGCACCGGCAGCTGCAGTGGACGAGAACGATGCAGCCGCGCGTTGTTGCGGATGATCAAGTGGCGCATTGGCATTTTCGGGGTAAAAGAGGTTCATCTGTGGCTTCTCTTGGCCGGACTTCGCACGTATCTCGAGCCCACGGGGACGATTTCTCTCTTTCCTTTCGCCTTGAATGCGAAGATCATCAAAATCCGCTGCAGCTCCACCTGCACCACCCCGCGCGGCTTTCTCGGGCGAGTGACTGGCGCTGGAGCTACGCGCTCGCACCGTGCTCGCGCCGCCAGTTTTCATGGCCGGCTGCTTTAGCTGGTGCTTCGTTGCGTTCTGGGTACCATCCGGCTTGTGTGCCGCCACAGAGGCCGCGTCGTCGCCCAGCATTCCCGCGTATTTCAGGTGCACTTGGTCTTCCTCCCTCTTCTCGTGCTGCGCGCGCGCACTGTGGGCGGGGGAGTGGCCGGGGCTTCCTTTCGGGGACGCGGTGTGCTGCGTCACCACACGGTGCCCGTGGACGGGCGAAAGCGGCGCCGCGGCGTAGAGGTGACCAACCTGGCTTGAACCCACCAGCCCATTGTGCATGGTATCGTCCATGCTGTGCCCGTGTGCAGGCATCGACGTCGGCGATTTCGGAAAATGATCCACCACCGTGTAAGCAACCTTGCCCATGCTGGGTGGCGGGACGACAATGTTGAGCTGCGGCCGCCCACGTCCGGCGGGTGGGCCGCTCGTCGACGCGGAGGAACTGCCTTCCGGCGCTGCGCCCGAAGACACTGCCGTGGTAGTCGTGCCCGGCCTGCTTCCACCCACGCAGAAAGAACCGGACTGCTGATGGTGGTGCTGCTGCGGCGACGCGTGCGGTCCGCCTCGTGGGAGCGCTTCGATCCCCGCGGCCGAGGTGCTGGGCGACGCGCCCTTCGCCGGAGATGTGCCCGGACGATACTGAAGCTGCTGCGTGTGCTGGTCTGCCATTGGGATGGCGCTGGTGATGCGGAGTCCGACGTGCACGCCGGGCTGCGATCGGGTCTGCTGAGAAGCCTCGTCAGGCTCCATGTTTCTGGTTGCAGTCTGCAGAAATTCGTGAGCCGCTGCGCGAGGGTGCAGATTCGAGCTTCCTCCGAGGTCGTATAGACTTCCGCTTGGTGCCGACCGCATTTGGCTCCGCGTGGGCGGTCGCGAAGTAGAACACGCTTGTTGGTCGCCACCGTGCCTCAGACTCGTAAGACTCGTCACCGAGAGCAAATTCGGGTCATCAAACACGCTCCCCTGCTCCGCATGCAAGCTCATTAGACTGCTCCCGCCACCGACGCCACGATGCAGCTGGCCGCCGGCCCCTGCGTGAGCCGCCGGCATGCTCATGGCGTTTCCGCGCACTCCACCGGAAAGCTGCTGCTGGTTCTGCTGCTGCACAGATAGCGCATGCAGAAAGTTGTTGCTCGCGCCCCGAATGCCATTTCCCGCTACGGCTGCGCCCGCGCGGGCCGCTCCCATTTGCTGCTGGTGCTGCTGCGCGCGGGCGTTCTGAAAGGCGCGCGCGTCTTCCGCCGGACCCGATGGAAACTCAAAATGCCTCAGGTTCAAGCGCTTCGCCGGAATCTTCGGCTCATCGGGACGCATGTCGTCCTCAATTACCCGTCTGCCATGCACGTCTCCGTTGTGCTCCGGCAAGTTCAGCCACTTGTCGCGGCTGCGAGGCGAGGGCGTTTGGTGCAACCTCGGAGACATGGGCATCGAACGCACGCCGAACCCCATCCCCTGTGCTTTTTGGAACTCGTCCAGGGGTCCCATTTCCAAAACGGGACTAGGGTTCCGACTACCGCTTCCAAGCGGCGCGCCGCGGTGGTGCATGCTGCGGGCCGCACCGCCGCCGGGCGTGGGTGTGAGCAGCGCCGCGTACTTCTCCGGACTCCGGTATGGGATTGGCAAGCGTTACAATCTCGGCCATAGTTTGAATTTGTGACGCACGAATAGCAAAAGTGAAAGGGGGGAGCCTGCATCTCTAGCATTAAATGCGGCGCAGAATTCCATGCTGTTTAGCCCTTCAAAAACTTCTTGTCACGCGGAGTGGATGTTGATGCTAATTGGTTTTGCAATGACAAATCAGGTATACAGTTGACACTGTAACGTTGAAAAATCCCATATCCGAGAGGGAGGACGCGACGACGCACCACGCCCGCCACTTCGTGCCAGTTGCAAGAACGGCGAGGCTATCCCATGCAAAAGTATCGCACTCGTGCTCGTACTGAAACTGAAGTGCAAACTTGCATGATACCCTTTATTCACCTTTTTCAGCACAAGCCCCGTTTTCATTCGTGGAAAAAGCTTATGAGGACCGTTTGGTCCTCTCATTGAACATCTCCTCGCACTCCGCCTGTAAGTTCGCAATCGGGATGCTCGTGCTCATCTCTTCCCCTCCCCGCCTGTTGTCCACGCTCTGTCCCTTCATGTTCCTCCTGACGTGATAAAAATAAAAATTTGAAATTTCAAAGTACTATCCTGCTTCTACATCAATCCCCGTTTTTGTTCTTGTTCCCCTTCATTCCTATATATCCATTCTTTTTACTTTGCTTCTCCTTTTCGCAGCTTTCTTCCACTTTCATCAGTTCTTTGCTTTTAGTCTCCATAAAAATAAAATTTTAAAACTTCGCGGATTTGGCGTGCCAATAAAAGTTAAATTTTGAAGTTTTGAAATTTCGAGGCTTCTCATCTTTTTTTTTTTTGAAGGGTTTGTGCACCTCCTCGCGCGTGTAACTGCATTCCTGCTACTATTAAAATAAAAATAAAATTGGAAACTAAATTTAAAATTTAAACTTGAAAATTTCGCACGCAGGCGAGGGACGAGATCGCAGTTTTATTCCTCGGGCCGGCGTGGAGATAGGCCCACAGGGCCACCGCGTGCACAGGTGCCAGCCGGTTGGCTGGCTGTGTTTGTTCTTGTTGTACTCCGCCCCTGCTGGGCAGTTTGAAGATTTCGGTTGCTAGCTGCAAGTGCAGCGGCACATGTCATCTGGAATCAGGGCAGCAGGGAGATTTACGGCGACAACTGACGTCGTTGTCCGTTTTTCTCCTGGTAGGGCTTAGCCGTCCTCCCCCTATGCAGGCTCCGCAGTTTCTATGTGTGTCCATCGTGTTTGGTAGTTGTTGATAGCTCCAGAAACTGCGGTATGTGGAGCAGCAGGTGTCCGGCGTTCCCCGGCCTGCTTGTAGTGCGTTGTAGCACCGTTGGAAGCCCATTGGGACAGTGTGAGCAGGTGTCCAGCATGTGCTGGTCTGCTTTAAGTGCGTTGTAGCACTGTTGGAAGCCCGTTGGGGCAGTGTGTGCAGGTGTCCAGCATGTGCTGGCCTGCTCGTGGTGAATCGTAGCACGGTCGGAAGCCCGTCGAAGGACGGGGGTACAGGTGTACAGCATGTGCTGCCCTGCTTGTAGTGCTCTACTGGAACTAGCACGATTATACTTTTGCAATGCATAGAGGCATCCATGTCGACGATCTCCTGGACGTTGTCGCCGTCCATGCGCTATGAGGTGCAAATATGTCTGGAGAGGTGCCGAATTGTGATGCTCTCTGTAGTCGGTCATACGAAATAAATCGGTCATGCGTGAGACTGAGAGGCAAAGCCTGTCAAGTTTCAACTACTTTGAGGCAGGCTTTCTCGTCGTTCTTGTTCAAAATAGGCATTGCATCGTACGAGTTTTGCGAGAGCGAGAACTTTCTTGAAGAAAGTTCTCGCTCTCGCAAAACTTGTAATGTTGCTAGGCCCCGCTATATTCTAGACCTTCTGGTGGAGCATTTCTCCAGATCCTGACATATTTTTAAAATTGTACATTAGCACTTCTCCAGACCCTGACATATTTGCGAAGATGCATATGCGCGTTACGTGCATGGACAAGACGGTGCGCTGCATCACATTCTTGCCATTCGACACGTAGCAGCGTCGGCTCGGCTCGTACACGCCCAGTTCGATCTGCTGGTCCGACCCATAGGCCGCGATGACTTCCTCGCACCGCTGCAGCTTCGCCAGCCATTCGGCGGTGAGACTCGCGGAGAAGTGCTCGAACAGGTTTGGCTTGTTCATGCCGCGCCCGAAGATGTGTTCGCGGATGGGCGCGCACTGTTCCGGGAATGTGGACTCCTGCAGCAGATGCACGGCCTCGCACGCCTTCTCCAGCTCCGCTAGCATCAATGCCTCGGCCATCTTCCGCAGGTCGTCCTGCCTCCGGATGCGGTGCAGGCATCCGAGGAAAAGCCGGCGGAAAAGCCGCGTGCTCACAAAGCCGCTGCCCACACCCGACGGCGGCCGTCGCGACTGCTTCAGCTTTTCCAGAATTCCCTCCCAGCTCGCCAGCGCGCATCCGTTTAGGTCCTCGAACTCTTGTTCCATGGCCAACTCCGTCATGAGCGCGGGATACTCGAGCAAGTAGAAAGACGAGCCCTTTTGGTGTCCAGTGCCCGTGATCGTCGTCTGCGTCGCTAGCGTGGTGCCCCCTTGGCCCTGTATATTTGATTCCTGAGGCCGCTGAAAAGAGGCGTACTCTGCCTGTCTTCACAGACGCGTTCAGGGCCCTACTTGGTAGGATAGCCGCATAAAGAGTTCACTTTTGCGACCACGCCAGCAGAGCGTACACGTAAGGAGTTATAGTTGTACTACTAGGTAGCATTATCAAGAAAAGGACGAGCGTGTCGCCGTACTTACTTCTGCGAGGAAGGTTTTTTTTACTGCTTATTTCCATCCGCGAGTGGTCATCAGAGATGCAACTCTCTACTTTTTGTTGTTCTTGCTTTTCGCTTCTATTACCATGGCAACATGTACATGTAAAAATTATTTGTGTGCTGGTCGCTTCTTCAGGCGAGCGAGTGACAACTGTTTCTCAGCGGAGACGACCAGAATTAGATTCAAAAGCATCTGTTTTAGGGTAGTACCTTCTTCTTTTTTCCGCCGCCTTTGAGCCTGTCCTGCAGCTCTTCCAACTCTTCGAGGGCGGCGGCGAGTTCTCCGCGAAGCTTGATCTCCACCTCCGACTTCTCCAAGTTTTCGTTTGTCAGGCGCTTCACTTTCCGCCGCTCCCCGTCGAGCAAAAGCTTAAATGCCGACTTCACCACGGTGACCCCCTCCACTGCTGACATAGGTTTGACTTCCTCCTTCTTCTTCTCCGGGGTTGGCGCCGCGGGCGGCGGGGCCTTTTTCGCTTCCTCCAGTTCCCGGTTGATGCGCTCCAATTCCTTCCTTGCGGCTTCGAGCTCCTCGTCCGCCGTCGCTGTCGTAGTTTTTGTGATACTGGTAGCGGTAGTGACGCTGAAGTCAAAGTCTTCGAGGCAAAGTGTTGCTGTTCTGGAGAAGGGCAAGAGTATGAGGATCCTGGTAAGTACAAGGACCTCCAAGCTAATAAATTTATCAATCTACTTTAGGTGGGTGCAGAAAAGCAGCAGAACTTCTTACATGTGATGGATATCTTCTTCAATCGCGTGTTGCCTGGTAGAATGATGTCCTGAGACTGAATATCTAGGTTGGCGGACGTGGGCTCGCGGAACAGGCCCGATTTGCTATGCATTGCAAAACAAGTATCGCAGCACTAGAGTTTCCTTTCTATTTGCAGTACATAGAAGATTGCGATCCAAATACTTATGGTGTGTGTTTGTTTAAAATACTAATAAATATAAGCTTAAGCAGCTTTAGTACTTCAGTGCGGCTTTACATATACCTGAGCAAAGGGATCTGTCACGCACCAGTTGGAATTATGCACCTACTACCAGAAGAAAGTGCCAGCACAATACTTTTTTTGCCCAGGATAGTTCAAGGTGGACGGCAACTTCTTGGGCTCGAACTCCATGGTCACCGATCGGCCGTCGGCTCTGATTGTGAGGAAAAATCCCCCCTTTCCATACCCAAAAGAAAAATCTGTGGCGCAGATTCGTGGCTGCAGATCCGCTCTGTCTTGTAAGAAGGTTAGCGCCGAGGTGTGCGCCGCATTATGGGCGCGCTTTGTCGTGCTGTTGGCCCTACAGGGCGGGCGTTTCTTCCAATGCCAAACCACTAGACCCTTACGCTCCTGAAAAGGCTGAGAGTCTGGCTGTAGTTCGTTACAGGAAGACAGACCTGATTTGTATACGCACATCCAGGATCAGAGACTTTGCTTTGGATGTGCGCAAAGGGGTGGATTTTTCATTTTCATAGCTTTTAGGGTGCCAAATTTCTTGCCTTCGTGGTACCATTCGTTGCTCTATCACCCAGAAAAGGAAAAATGCTAACTCTAAGGTAACGTGTATCGTAAAGATAAACCGCAGCCGGGCGGGGGCACGCATGATATATTTTGCCTATCATTCATGCTATGATCATGTATTTTTGCAACGCGAGGATTTCCTTTCGAATTAACATTTTTCTTTTTGCCTGTGATATGCTGTGCAACGTAAACTCTTCATTCGTGTCCGTGTCCTTGAAAACGATTTTTTATAAGAGTGCGCAATGCAATTCCCCTCTCCCTGAAAAGTTTTTAACCAACTACATGCAAAATAAAGGTAAATCGACTACCTTGGACTTCGTGTGTGCCTCAGGGAACTCCCGCTCGGTGCGCGAAGATAACTTTCGGGATCTAGCAAAAAGTACTACTATAATTAGAGTGCTGACTTGTCATGTGGATGCGCCGATCATGAGCGGAATTGCTTGCGTTGCTGAAGATCATGCAAAGATGCCTTTCAAAGGAAGGGGAGATTGTCCACTCTCACATCTTTTGCGAAGGCTTGACCAAAACGCTGACGTCGAGCGGCGCCTCGCGAGTCGTGCTTTCCTCTGTACCTGTGCAACCATTTCATTTGAAGCAATCTTGAAATGAATCGGCGTACGTAGATGCCGTTTATCTTTTATCAACTTCCGACAAAGGGGGCACCGAGATACATGTTGAGTCAATGACTATCTAAGATCTACAAATAAATGACCGCCTTCAGCAGACCCTGCTGCATCACATTGTTGACATTGAAATTTCTAGCCGTTACGCCGCATTGAATCAAAATGAAAAAAATGTGCGATCTTTTATTATTGAACTTGAGACCAGAATTTGTCATCTTTCGGCGCTTGCTCACCTGACGAGTCCCCGCTTGCGGCCTGGCCGGCCGCAGCTTTCTCGGCCTTTTCCTGTTTGGCCTTTTCGACAGCGGCGGCTTTCATAGCGCTCTTTTTCATCATGGCAGCAGCATGCTGCACTTTCTGTTCGGTCGCGCGCCGTTTCATTTCCAATTCGCGCTGCTGGGCGGCTGCCCGTTCGGCGTTTCGCTTCTCCGCTTCGGATGCAAGCTCCGCCCGCGTTTTTGCCAGCATCTGCTCCGCCTTCTCGAGCTCTTGCAGCCGTGCCAGCATCTCGGGGGTTATTCCTTGCACGCTGTCCAGCTTGCTCTGCAAGTCATCCGCTCGTAGCTTTTCCAGCCGCGCTTCCTCGCGTGCCCTGGCGAGCTCGTCCTCGAGATTGCTGATCTTGCCCCGCCATCAACTGCAAAACATGTCTGCGTCCGGAAGAGTGCGAGATTTGTTATGCAAATGCATCTCGCGGACGACCGGCTGGCGCAGTGTCCGGAATACACACAGAACTATCTTCACAGATCTTGCGCGACCCTCTCAAACTCGACGCCATGATTTCCGCATTAGAGGACGAGGCCCATCCTTGGCCTAGCAAAGAGTACACAGTTTTTGCGGTTCATGCATCGCATATTCTTTTGTGTCCAAAACAACTTGTTCACATGACCAGCCGCATCCATCTAGACCCCGACACATTTGCGATGCACACCCGCATCTCAGCTTCCACTTCTGCGGACAGCTGCTGTCGCAAAGAAGCCTGGTGCAGAAGTGATGGAAAATGAAGTACAAGTATTTTTGTGGGTACCATTGCGGGAAAAAGGCAAAACTTTAGTACAATAACGAACGTCAATCGACTAGGCATCTATCGGTAACAAAGGAGTTTCAGTAGTTTTCATCAAAAATCTCATCTGAATATATACGTCGTCGGCAGAGCTTCCCATGCGAAGGCTTTTTTGTCGCATCTCCTCTAGACTAGCGCTCGACTCCTCCACGTAGCTTTCAAGTTCGGAAATCTTGTGCTGCATCTCCATGACCTGACTTTGGGCTGACTCAAGCTCTGCGGCCGCTCGCTCCAAGTCGCCCTTGGCCTGCGCAAGCTCGGCTCGTAAGTCTGCACTTGTTCTTTTTTCCGCAGCCAATGCCTCTTGTGCCTCCTCGAGCAGCCGCTGGAGTTCTGCCAACTTTGCGTCTTGGCCACCTTCCATGCCGAGTGCCTGCAAAGAAAAAATCACTTTCATGTGTCCGAAGCCACAATTTTTGTGCCCGTCGAAGCACAAACAGATCCTTGTCTAAATGTAAATGTTAATGTAGTTCTTATACGGTGAGTAGAGTTTTAAAATTCGCACGAGCGGCGATGCAAACATTGTTCCTGTCCACGCTTGAGGTTGCAGCAGCTCACCATACTTCCGCTAGTGCGTCTTTCTTTACAGACATGGATATAAACACGTGCACGTGCTGCGCACAGCCAGATGCAAGATAACGAGAACTCCTGGTCCTGGATGGATGAAGCCTCCGCCTCGAGTAGGAGCGTAAGCGTATTCGAAAAATGTCCCTGTATGTCCCTGTACGGAAAAAACCAGTGGTAGAAAGAAGTGCCACCGACGTAAGTACTGGCACTAGAACCTAGAACGAAGCATCAGGACTACTAAAAATACATAGAGAAGTGCAGCCGACAACTACGGGGACACATAAATACCAACCTCGATGAAGACAATGATGATCACAATCTTATTTACCTTCTTCGCCCAAGAGAGCATATCATCTGGAAAGCTCTCTGCCATACCCTTAATAACAGCATTTGCCCCGTAAAAGGCAGTATGCATTGCAAAAGCATCGCACTACGTACTAGAAATCGTGTGACAAACTTGCTGAGCATGAGGAAGAAGATCAAAATTTGTTGTAGTTTTTGTATATGCAAATGCGTATTCAGGAGACTTACCTATAGTTATCCTCGCGATCACGAAATAGGTTTCTTGCCATGAATACTTAAGTACATTATGACTTCGATCAGTACGAGCACGATACTCCTTCCGTTACACTGGATAGTCAGCCAACCACTCCAACTCCTCCCGCACGGGCCGTGGCTTGCGCGTCATCTGCTCCGGTGACAGCGTGGCCATCAAATTGTCTAACCGATCCTGCAGCTCGTTCGCTCGGGCCTCTGCTTTTTTCCACTTCCCATAATATACGCGAACCTGTAGCAAAAGCAATAATAGTGGTGCTCAGCCGATGACGATGTTCATGTTGCTGTTGATCGCTTGGAGCATAATACAAATACACTTCATGTCATCTTGCATGAGTACGTACTTCTGCTTGCTGTGAGAGCTGCATCGACCGAGGTCCTGCTCGTCGAACTTTTCGCAATCACTAGAAACCAATGACGAACCAACGAAATTTGAGAAAGGATATAAACATTTTCACGACAGAAGCTCCTAGGCCAGCGAACTGCTTATTCTACCTTACTGTGGATAAAGTGCTGATGAAAAGGTTTGTTCTCGAGAAGACGGAGAATGAGAAATAGCAGTTGCAGATACAACGTTAAAACCAAAAGAAAAAGATATTATAGTTGTACGCTGTCCTTGATTTTTTGGTTCAACATTTCTCGCAACTCCTCCTCTAGGCTGTCCAGGGGGTCGAAAAAGTAGCACTCGTGAGGGTCGAATTCTTCGGGGTTCAGTCCCTGTAGATACACCTGGTTGCGCAGGTGGGTTATCTCTAGGAAATAGGAGTACCGGCACTGACTGAGTTGCTTACTCCGGTCCAGGAGGTGATTCTCCATGGTCTCCATTCGGTCTATGCTTGGTAAAAACGTACCCACGGTCAGAGGGCCACCCCTAAATCTGCCACAAAAGACGATCAATTTTGCTGGCTGTTGCGCAATGCAAGAACTTCGCGCAGAGTTCTTCGGCAATTGCAAAAGCTGCCAAGGTGTGCCGGCAGAGACTGCCTTTTTAAAAGGACAGCCCAAGGAGCGCTAGCAAGATCCTCAAGGCCCAGCGTCTGCACTGTCTGGATTGCATTGACAGCCAGGCATCTCGAACGACGCAACACAACCCGTTCCAGCAGTTAATGAGGGAGATCGCGTTCTTTGTTCTTTGACTTTGGTAGTTGTGCACCGCTGGAATATAAATGCAAAGCAAACGTCGCATCATCTCATGCGGTCGTTGCGGGTGTCTGCGTCTGATCGTTCTGCTGGGCAAGAAAACTTGCATGGCAAATTGATGGGGTGGGTACTACTATCATGCCACTTGTTGTACACAAATGGATACGGTCCACTAGAGCCTCATTGTGATTTTCGAGGGCGGAGATCCGCTCCCAATTCTCCGGCGTGACCTTCTCAAAAACCCGCTGCGTCAGACGTGACTCATAATTTTCCAGCACGACATCTGCCTCGTCTTTGCGCAGATCGATGTTGAAATCCCGGTTTGCCAACGCTTCCAAGTCTTGAAATTTTGACCGGTCGTGAAGGGCGGGAAATTTCAGATCATTTTCGAGCGACAGACCAGCACCGGCGTCAGCTGCCGTTTCCGTTTCGAGGCTGCTTTTGATTTCCACTTGAATTCGTCCGAGAATCTCCTGCAGTTGCGCCTTTTGCTCTTTTCGCAAATCATACATCACGTGGTCGTTGAGAAGGTCCAACACCGCCTTGTGCTTCACTTCTTCCGGGCTCGGGAAACTTTCCAGTTGCGGCATCGGCGGCAGCTCGTGTGCGCCGCCAATCTTGTTGTTCTGCTTTTCCTTCATGATCCCAGCCCGGGTACTACTCGCGGACTCGTCGCCTGGCGCATTCTTCTGCTCTTCCTCGAGCTCCGGAGATCGGTGCGACTGCGTCTGCACCACCATGGTTGCGGGGACAGATACTTTTATTTGCTTTCGGTTTTCCGCGAAATTCAAACTTATCAGTTCATCGCAGGGAATAGCGATAGGTAGCCGGAGAGCGAATGTATGTCGCCGGCCCGACGGCCTCCCGACCTAAATAGAACTTGAACTACGGAGCAGGAGTTTCGCCAGTTGATATCGCCGGCGGGTCGCACTTCTCTGAAGTTCGTTGGACTTGGGCGAGAGGTTTATTTTCCCCTCCTTTAAGCGGGTGGCACGTTCCCCCTCTTGTCGATCTTGACTACATATGGTAAAAATTCGTCATTTTGAGTTTGAGTGTTGCCTATCGAGCAAACAGCAATTTCAAGATGACTCCTTCCGAGCAAGAGACGAGCCATGCACTGTTAGTTTGAATGTCGTTGCAATCCGCCGAACCTGATAAGTAGTTCTAGGAATGGTGATAGTAATATCAGATCGGACGAAGGTTCAGCGCGTCGCATGGCACAGTCGTATCGAATAGGTCACACGAACGACACGAGATATATCAGTACCAGCTCAACATCTCCGCAACTCAACTCTACATATTCTGTACGAGCCAGGCTCAGGCAGCTCCTCCATAGATGATAGTACAACTCTTCATCGACTTCGCAACACTCACACGGCAGGCTGCAGTTACAACTAGCGGTGCCAACACTCCGTGGGTGAGAGAAGCACCTTGACAAACTTGAACTTCTCCAACAGGAATAGCATCACTAGTATCCCCATGTTCTTACACCAATTACAGGCGACCTGCTGGTCGCACAATTTCCAACATTCCCGGCAGTGCAACTCGCAGGCGTCAATGCGGGCCGCTGACTGCAAAATCAAAAGCCATAAGAACAGCAGAGCACATTTCCATTTCGTCGACGCTCCCGGGAATGGAAGACACAAGCACAAGGACGATCAGTTATTCTCTGTCTTCTTTGTATAGAAAGCAGTGCGAGCAGCTTGTTTCAAGTTTGCTTTGTTCTTCATCGTACACTGACACTTTCGTAGTGCACCTCCGAGATGAGCAGAGCTGTATACAATTCATTTTCTCCTAGAAGTGCTCCTCACTGTGCCTCTTCCTCTGGCCGCTTCTCAGCTCGTAGCTCTGCTGGCGGCTCCTCGCCACTGTTCGCTGCTGCGGCGGGGCATTCTTTCACGTGCCGGGAGCACTCTGGTAGTTTGGGTTCGATCCATTTGAACTTTTTGATTGATGTATATCAATGGAAAACTGCAAAATGTTTCATACCTATAAAGTACTAGCTAGCACGGTCAGGCACTGCTATGAGCACCATATCGACCATTCTTTGCATTTTTTGGTGTCCCCACTAGCACGGTCGGACCGTGCTAGAAAAGCAGCCAGCCGCGTGCTTGTAGTGCCTATGTGAGCGAAAAAGTGGATATATATCCCAAAAATGGGCCGCATATTTTGCGGCTTCGAAATATGCGGCCCATTTTTTGGATATATATTCACTTTTTCGCTCACATAGGCACTACAAGCACGCGGCCGGCTGCTTTTCTAGCACGGTCCGACCGTGCTAGTGGGGACGCCAAAAAATGCGAAGAACGGCCGCAATCGTGCTCATAACAGTGCCCGGCCGTGCTAGCTAGTACTTTATAGGTATGAAACTTTTCTACATTTTCCATCCCTATTGATGTATCGAAGTGCTGCCTCATGGGAAATTTACAAAATACAAACGGAAAGTTGAAATGCGTAAAATGCTCGGGGACCCTGATACGGATGGCCTGCCTTTCATTATAGAAGGCAAGTAGAGAGCAGGGCGACTGGCTAAGCCTGATGAGGGTCATCACTATGGAGAGGGTTGCTCTTGCTGCGGAGATCTGCGCTATTAAGAACGATGTCAAGTAGAGCCTTGAAATGAGCAGCATTTGTCATGCGTCACTTCGTGGAAACGCAAAGGCAAACTGTTGGTAGTAAGCATCGCAAATTACTTCCGTTTATTTTGTTGATTATGATTCCCCAACAGACACTCTGATATGCTGCGCCAAAGTCCGGATTTCGACGCAGGGGTGGTGCGGACTTCGGATCTACCGCTGTGGCGTCATCGCCGTTCTGCTTCATCCCGTTGGTCATGCGGGCCCGCCGTGTGCTCTGCGCCGGTAGGGATGCGTCGCTCTTGCCTTCGTCGTTTGGTTCCGCCTCCGCGTCATCGTTGGCGTTGGTGTCCTCGTTAGCCTCTTCTGCTGCAGCATCGTCCTCTGCATCTCCACCTGTGTTCTCGTCTTGTTCCCCCGCCCCATCCCCCGCTTCTTCGGCCTCGTTCTCTTCCCCCGCTTCTGCCTTTGCCTCCTCTGCTTCCGCGACTTTTTCCGCTGCGTCTTCATCCTTGTTCCCCGCGTGCTCGTTCTCCGCGGCCGGAGCGGGTCCTGCGGCGGAATCATCCCCCGCTTTGCCGTTTGTGCTTTCGTCTTCGGCCACCGGCGCGCCAGCGACCGCACCTGAATCTGGTGCGTCATTTTTGGCCGCGCTGGTGTCTCCTGTGCCTTCATCTTCTCCTTCAGTCACGGTCTTGCTGTCGGCACCACCTGTTTCATCTTGTTCTGTGACAGCTCCGACATTGCTTTCGTTGGGCTTCTTGCTAGTGCTGTCTTCCCCAGCGTCATTTGATTGCGACTCACCGGTATCCGCGGGATCTTCTGCAGGTTGGTTTTCGTTTGCGTCGGCGTCGCCATTTTCAGGCGCAGTTGTGCTTGTGGTCTCGCCTTCCGGGGTTTCCATCACGGTCGTGGGTTTTGCGTCGCCGTCCTCTCCCTCAGCGAAGCTCGTTGAAGCTGAAGCCGAAGCATTGGGATCATGTTGAGGTTGACTACGTCGGGGGCGCTGTCTGATTTCTTGGAAGGATGAATCTGTAGCTATTCTTGCACTAGCTGCGCTTCTGGCGAATGGCGCGGCTGAAAACTGTACCGACTGCGGGCGACTTATGCTCGCGACAAAAGCCGACGTAGGACCATCCACACTGCAGGAAGATCTTGCTCCGGGCCCAGGTAGAAGTAGTGAAAAAGGTCCATGTGGTCGGGGCGCAGGACTTGTTGTCGCAGCAATTATAGATATTTATTGAGGGGGTCGATTCTTCGCGATGTGTTTCTGCATTTAAGTACTGCAGCCGCTAGCAATATTTTTATATCCCAATGCAAAATCTTCAAAAATAGAAGTCTGAGTAGGTCACTGCTAAGAATAGGAGAATAGTATCAAAAGCTCCTGTTGTGGTTGTCTGTCATACGTGTGTTCTTATTTCATTTTTGAGACAACTTCTAGTCTCTGACTGATTTCGTTTTTTATAGTACTCGTAGTTGTCTGTGTCTGAAGTCATTGAAGCGGTCTGCCGGCCAATTCTTTTGCTTTCGCAGAAATCCAATAATTTTATACAAATAGCATGTACCTGTACACATCCCAATGAAAATCTAAATCGCGGCTTGTCTTCGTGCCTTGTGCAGTTCATCGTCATCCTCATAAGGCAAATCGGCATGACAGGAGTCCGTCATTTTCTTTAAGGCTAGCTGCAGCACCCTTATTCAGGTCACTCACTTATACTTCGTCGTCCCCTCCATAAAGAACTCGCGGCACTAGCGGGAACGCCATTGCGGACGTTGTCGAGGAACCACATATGGAACAAAAGTCATGTGGGAGATCGGAAGACAGTAAGACACAGTAGACTGGAAAGGATCATTTGTGATATCACTTAATAGAATTAGATCGAAAACTGATACTTAAACCGTAAGCCAACTGCTATTAGCAGACTTCCGCAGATGATGGTCTGGTGACCGAGTCGCGGATGAAATGCGACGCAATGGAAGCATGATCAGGCAACTGGTGGGCGACGGTAAATGATATATCTATGAAGGTCTGCGTCTGCGACCGCAAAGTGACTACGTAACTGAATCAATTGTGGGGCAGCGTACTTTTTATTTACAAGTAGGCCCATCATCGTGAGGATATCATCCTGATCCTATTCAGGCTTCAGCATTGGGCTGCTGGCCAGCATGACCGAAAAGGCGCTTCATCTTGTTCTTTGCCGTAGACAACAGCATCAACTTGAAAGACTCGCTTCGACTTTTTCGAGCTTCTGGGACTGGGAAATGTCTCGTCATGCCCAGCAAAGACATTGTGAGCCCAAGCGGAGTCAATTTTTTGAGTTACAAATTAGGTTCCTCTTTTTAACGATATCCCGCCTGACACATCCATAAGATAGGAGATCGCCAAAGAACCCGCTCGCTAGGTCCGTGCTGCTGCTCGGAAGTCCAACCATTATTTGAAACAACTAATATTTGAATTTCATGTACTCAACACGAAAAGTTATAGTACTGTTCATCTTTTGATATTACAGTCCACTCATTCACATTCTTGAAGCTCGCCTGTGCCTTGTCGGGAGCTCTTCGTGATCCTAAAACTGATACTGATACATAGTTAAGGTTATTGGTGAAGGCTCCGAGCCCGAGCGCAACACTGCAAAAGCCAAGCAACAGATAAATATAAATAAACTATGGCATTAAAAGCCTTTTATTTTTACAATGCGACGATGTTGATGTTCATATAACACCGAGGACCGCGATCGACCATGCTAGGCGATCCTGTTGTTTGCTACGTCGTGGTCACTCGACATGTAAGTACAAGAGTACAAATACTCGGCCGATGCTCGTCGCGGAACAGAAGCCACACGATGCGAAATCAGAATCCAAGAACAGGCTTTTGGAAGTCAGGACAGGCGTCCACGTTACTCATACTCAAGCCTAGTCGTAGTTTTCCACCAGGTTGTCAAACACTGATATTACTCCACGCCTGTCTATAATTTTTAAGCGTCTGACCAAGGGGCTCCGACTCCGGCACTGTGCCACGATTCCTATTATGTACACTTTCATCCTCCATGCGTCCGTCCGCAAGAAAGTGAAAGTCAAAGTCTGTGAAAACAAAGATAAACAACGAAATCACAAGCGCCATGATTTTTCACTCTATCTCATTCTCAACCGCAGCTACCATCAATATCTCTTTTCTTTATGTATTACAACAAGCTCTCGCCTACCCTTTCGTTTTCGCTCTCGTCGAATCAGAATGAAATACTGCTCGAAAATTATCTTGTCGATAGAAAAGACCGCGCCGTGTGGGAACACCAACACGACCAGCGTGAGCGAAAGAAAACTTGGATGAAGCAACACTTTTCACACCTCTCGGGCGACTCGCGAGCAGGTAAAAAACTAGGGCGGCGCTACAGAAGACGCGCAGCAAGAATCAGAAAGAGAGCTAGTCAACGCTTCAGCTTCTTGTCGGGTAGCAGCTCTGTTTTATGCCTGTCCAAAAAAAATGGAAATTGATTTCGTAAATTATGCTGCATAAGCCAAATCTATGCGTCTGCAGATTATTTCTGAAAGCCAACATCACCTCTCGTCGGGTCGACGTGCCGGATCGATGAGACAGAGGAGGGGCGCTCGTAGCCTCCCTCTGTCTTCTCTCTTCCAATGCACGCCCCTTGCGCCATCGTGCCTTTATTAGGAAAATCTAACCACTGTGTCAACTTGTAAAACTACTACGCGCCTTTGCGTTGCTCATCGTTCTTGATTTCAAGTTTGATTAATTACGAAGAAAACAATATGGCGCAAGTTTCTTCGGTACTGTATTAGCTACCAAGGTGAGCCAGAAACTGCTCTCGAACTGCTTACGAAGAAAACAATGCTGTGCGCTTGCCCGTGGGTCATGCGATACAGTATCATTTGTCAGCTGCACCCGAGAAGCCTCTACACACTTGCCCGACACAGACAAATGATTATAGTTGAGATCTATAGCATCGAGATAAGTCCTTTTTTCCTGTATATTGTTCTAAACCTATAATGACGAAAATGCTTTCTCTGCATCTTCTCGATTCATAAACAACCTCTGCGGCTCGAGCATTTGCATCGAAAAGCAACAGAAATCAATACACAACCACTCTGCCAAAACAAACACGAGGTGGAGCAGTCACGTGTGTAGTTGATGTTGAGGGCATTCTTCTGCAGCGTTGAGTTGAGTATGAGTTGCTTTGAGAACAAAGTGCAACGTTATCTATTTTCAGTGTGGTGAGCAGTCCTCCTCCGTGAGTGTCATGAGCCCCTGGATGCGCAGTTTGCCCGTTCGCAGGCTTTCCTCCGCTGGCGTAATTGCCACCCGACGGAAGAAATCGTGCTCCGCGCGGACCCACGGGTGGTAGCTGTTCGTCAAGGCCCCCTGGCCCCAGGGTTCGTTCTCCATACTTGGCCGCTCGTCGTGGAACTCGCCACCGAAGAAGGAGTAGTAGTGATTCTGCTCCGTCAGGGCCGCTTGCGACGGAGACATCTCGTAAAGATCGACGTGGTCACAGTAACCGAGCAACATGACGCCGTAGTTCGCCCCGGACGTCGTTCCACCACCAGTCTGCTTAGCCTGAGGATCCGCCTCAGAGGCGCCATACAGTTCCTGGAAGAAGCGAGTGATCGAATCACCATCTGCGTTGACGTTCTGCCAAGTCTTCATGAACGGTACTATAGGAGGTCGCGTTGAGCAGCTGATGTTCCCTCGTCTCTTCTCTTGCTCGGAAACAGAAGCAACAGTGTGCTCTGACAACTCTGGGCGGGCAGCTGCGGCTGTTGCCAGCTTGGTCTGGACCTGGTCGTTGTTTTCGTTCTGCATTATTTGCGTGCATTCGGGATCCGGAATCAACCCTTCAGGGACGTACACGGTTTCGCGCGACGGCTCACCACCTCCACTACCGCTGTTGCAGTTCAAGTTTTCAGCTTGTGCCACTGTTTGTTCTTGATGTTCATCCGCGACGCCACTTGTAGTTCTTCCCGTCGCTAGAAGTAGTGCCGCAGCTTGCTGCTCAGTGCAGAACGTTTTCAAGAATTCCGTGCTGTCCCACCCCGCGCGAACGCTTTCCCTCCTCCCGACGTGTTTTTCGAAGCCTCGCGTTGGTGCTCTGTTCATGCGCAGTACGAAGTCGTGCGCGTCAATTTCGTCTCCGTAGGAGTGCAAAAGCATGGCGCCACTGTTCGACACGATCGCGCAGCTTTTCCCCAACAGGGGCGGACGGTAGAAAGTAGAGGCGTCTTCTTGCTCGGGGTCGGGGGCTCCTTGTGCTTCCGCTGGAAGGGATTCTTCTTCTGGTGAGGAAAATGATAGTCTCCTACTCTTAGCCGTGAGTGAGGAAGTTGTTGCTGCATCGTCCTGGCCGCCCGGCTGCTCCTGCGTGGCATTCATCGCTCGAATTCGCGACGTCGCTCCTCCTTCTTTCATCTTCTTCTCCCACGGCGGACACGTAAACTGGACCGAGTCACGCAGCGCACAGAGCAGCTGCTTCCCCTCTGCCGATGCTGCAGTGCCGTCGCCGCCGGTGGCAATAGAGTCTCTGTTTTTTACGCGACGGTGGAGGGTCCTCAACAGCTTCACCTTCTCAAGCGCCGGCCGTGTCGCCAATGCATCAAGTTGATCATGGACGACGACCTGGGTGAATATGATGTCGTCGCCCTCGTCCTTTTGCTTTCGCAACAGCTTGCCTGTAGAGGTAGAGGAATCGTCCAGGTCCAGGTAGATGAAGCATGCAGCTATTTCAGCAAGTATGAGCGCACGCTGTACCAGAGAAGACCACCGCGGCCGCGGCCAGGCGCCCCTCGTAGTACAACTGCTACGAGATAATGAAGTAGATGGTCGCGCCATCATGTTCATCATCTATGCCACTGTGCCAGCTTCTGTGAAAACAAAAAATATTTATGATTTATCTATATCAAAGTCTGTGAAAACAAAGTACTTCATCATCTATATCAAAGTCTGTGAAAACAAAGATGATAAACACCAAAATCACTAGCGCTATGATTTTTCACTGACACTGTATCATCCCATTCTCAACTGCAACTACTACAAATCAATATCTTTATGTATTACAACAAGCTCTGGTCTACCCTTTCGTTTTCGCTTTCGTCGAATCAGACTGAACTACTCGAAAATCTTGTCGATAGGAAAGACCGCACCGTGTGGGAACACGACCAGCGTCAGCGAAAGAAAACTTGGATGAAGCAACACGCTTCCCGCCTCCCGGGCGAATCGCGAGCAGGTAAACAAGGGCGGCGCTACAGAAGACGCACAGCAAAAAAGAGAGCTACTCAGCACTTCAGCTTCTTTTCGGGTAGCAGCTCTGCTTTATGCCTGTCCGTCGCGCTGGGGAGCGAGCACGGGCAATCCAAAAATGAAAATTGATTTTGAAAATCTAAATTGTGCTGCATAAGCAAAATGTATGCATCTGCAGTCAGATGATTTCTGAAAGCCAACGTCACCTCTCGTCTGGTCGACGTGCCTGATCGATGAGAGGAGGGCCGCTCGTGGCCTCCCCGTGCCTTCTCTCTTCCAATGCGCGCTCCTTGCGCCATCGTGCCTATAGGTAATTCTAACCACTTGTATGTAAAACTACTACGCGCTTTTGTGTTGCTCATCGTTTTTGTTTTCGATTTCGAGGTTGATTAAATAATTACGAAGAATAAGAAAACAATGCTGTGCGCTTGCCCGTGGGTCATGCGATACAGTATCATTTGTCAGCTGCTTACGAGGAGCCTTTTCACACTTGCTCTTGCCCATCACAGACAAATGATTGTAGTTGAAATCTATAGCACCGAAAAAAATCCTTTTTTCCTGTATATTTTTCTAAACGTAAACCCATATGGTTGACCACGAAAATCATTTCTCATTCTCTGTATCTTCTACTCGATTCATAAACAACCTCTGCGGCCCGAGCACTTGCATCGAAAAGCCACAGAAATCGATCGGGTGCTCGCTTCTTGAGGCGATCGAGTAACTGTTTAGCGTGCTATTTATGTTCCTGCTTGTAAGTAGCTGGTGGTCTGTCTCTGTGTCTCAACAGCAATGGTCTGTGTCTATGTTCTTGCTTGTAAGCAACAGAATTCAATACACGACCACTGCCAGCAGCACAACAAACGCGAGCAGTCACGTGTGTAGTTGATGCTGAGGGCCTTCTTCTGCAATCCGGTCGAACTTCCTATAAGAGATTCCTGCCTTTGATTGTGATTTCGCAGGTCATCTGAAGTACAAGTAGACGTCAGAAGAATTATATTAGCCTAAATTTTTCGTTTTATGCAATTACTCAGTGAGCTCTTCGCTAGAAGCAGTGCTACATAGTCCTCCTAGCTGAAGTAGCTCAACTTGCCCTTATACGCGTCCACGAGGTCGAGCTGCTTGGCAGACAATTTTTTCCTGCACTCCCGCCAGGTCATATCACTGCGCTGCTGGTTTTTCAAAAAAGCCTGAAAGGCGTTCTGAACCTCAGTTAAAATAGTCTGTTGAAACTTTCGGCCGTTTCCGAAGGGCGCAAGAGCCTCAATAACACCGCCGGTAAACTGTTTCGGGGAACCAAAGTCCATGCTCACGTAAAGCAGAATCACCAAACACTGCACCGTTTGGAGAGGTGTGAGCGCTCCTGAGCTTGCTAACAAACCTTGTTCAGGTTTTGTAGAAGCCCCCTCGTCTGCCTTTTTGCCTGCCACACCGGCTCCGGGTGACGCACCCTGAAACGTTGGAATTACGAATGAGTCGTGTGAAATTTATGCCAGCGTAAAGGTTCAACAACATGTTTGTCATACACGTATTAATGGAGACTACATGTGGATCTAGTTCTGGTGCACAGATGAAATGAGAAAATAATAAATATAAAAGATCATGCATAAAGTAAAGTAACTGTACCCGGTATCTCGGCAAGAGTTTGGTTTGCTCCTCGGCCAGAAAGAGGGCTGTGAGCAGGCGCTTCGCGGCAAACTTCACGTCCGGCTTAGCATCTAGCAGGGCTGCCTCTGCGACCGAGACGCAAACGCTTTGGGTTTCCGGAAGCAGATCGTACACCACTACGTTTGCTAAACACAGAAGCGAGACAAACAACAGCACCTTCTCGCGCTCTTTGCTGCCCCACGTCGGCCATCGGTCCACCATCAACTCTTGCACCAATTTTTGCAGCCTTTTCGCCTGGTAGGCCTCCAAAATGTCGTCCGCTGTGGAGAGGGAGGACGACGAGGTCGAGGTTTGCATCTCTGATGTCTGAAGAAGAGCACGGTTCGGGGGTACAGCCGACGCAACTTGTGCCAAGACCATCCATCCCAGTCCGCGGAGATCTTGGTCGTGGTGCGTCGAACACAATACGACAAAATTCAAGAAGCAGTCGTCTAGCGCGAAAGCCTTTCCTGCACTGACGGCATGGATCAAAACGTGCAAAACCCCCATCGACTCGTTCACGTGGGGCTTGCGTTGTAGCTCTTTCATGCCAGTCTTCGTAGGGCTGTTACCTGTGTCGCCACCACTGGAAGACGTCGGTGCCCCTGCCTTGTCGATGTCGTTCGCGTTGTGGACCACACCTGATTTATTGTTAATGATTATAGAATAACAACGACAACCACCTACTGAAGGCTGCGAGTGAGAGTGTGGCTGTAAGAACTTACAGCCACACTCGCAGTCTTCATCTTAATGCCACAGTCAAAGTGGTGAGCCAACTGTTGTTCACCTACCAGTGTTGAACGGATACAGTCAGAGAAAAGGAGAACCTAAAAGTGAAAAATAAACCGCCCCCACAGCCACAACTTTAGTACAAGCCTCGTAGGGCACGAATATCAATATTTCCTCATCCTGCTCCTCGCGGTCGTCAAATATAATTATTAACAAGGATCTTTACAACAGTGATGTTGATGCGGCTAGGAAATGAAAATCGAAGCAAATCCTTTTCAACAAGACATACCTGGTTTTTTGACTGGACTATTTGCACCTCCGTCCTGCTGTTGCTGCAAGTCTTCGCGCAGCTTCTCGGCCAGCCTCTGTGTAGTTTCGCGGACGTCGTCTGTGATTGCCATGCAGACTCCACCCGGGATCTTAATCCAGCCTATAGAGGCGTCAGATGGAAAATTCTCACAATGGAAATGGCCTCCGTTAACCCTAAACCCTAAACCGTTAAGCAAATCCAAATGCATTTCGTCTTTTCGTTGCAGACATGCAGCAAGAAGATAATTTCAATTTGTAATGCAGGACGGAGCAGGCCATTTTGTAAAATAAAAATGGCTCGAACAATTTCTGAAATTGAAAGCGAGGCAAGCGAAGCCGACTGAAAGCAAGTTCACGGTGAGGAATAGAGCTGCGAAGGAGCACGACACAGGCAGAAGTCGTCTTTGTTCTTTGACGACAACTGCGTAATTGGGTCTGCATGCTTGTCATGCGCTGCTTGGAAGCTACGACGTACTTACACAAGGAATGCTGTCGTCCACAATTTTTTTGCTTCACAATCTCAATCACGTTCCATTTTCATTCTGTCGATTTCCCACCGGGCTGTTCGATACAAGCCTCCCCAGTGTTAAGCCGAGAGCCGATTCCCAGTCGCAGAAAGCCTGACACAACGCGCGCAGCTTCTTCCCGCAAGTTCTTCAAGGGGTGCGCGAGCCTCGCCCGAGCGTGTCGGAAAATGGAAAGGATAGCGGGCCCCCACTCTGGTGGCAAGTTTTGTGGCAAAGTGAGTACCTCAATGATCACTGCCAATCGCAGCCGCATTTTTTTCACCTGTAGAAACGAGCTCTCTGCCGCGATCTCCTCCTCCTCCAGGTTGGTCACGGTACACTCGTCGTCGGGAATCGGAACCAGCACCGCATGCTCCGGCGGGCTCTTCGCCTCATTTTCCAGCCCACGCATAGCGAAGTTTAGTAGCGGCACTGCGTGGACTGTTATCCAGCGGGAAAGAATAGTCTCTCAGGCACAACGTCGTAAATCCTTTATTCATTATTTTCGCACAAAAGCGCAGCATGACAATGGTCCGTCCTTCTGCGGCGCCTTTCTTCTTTTACAAGACCGTATGCATCGAATCGCCACTGTTTTCTCAGATCATGGTTAGTACACAAACTCGGCCTGCAAAAGCCATCAAAGTATCGTATTCGTCGCAAAAGTACAACTATGTATATGGGCCTTTGAGGCGCGCATTGCGCGACGTATTTCTATTTCTACTTCCGCCACCAGCAATAAGGAAGAAAAACAACATCATGCAACTCCAAGTCCAAATACTTACTATGTTCTTTGCGCTGGATACCGATGCTGACGGCATGGCCTCCGCCATCCTCTCCAGCAGGAAGGCGGAGTTTCTTGCTGGTACCGGTCACGATGTACCGAAAACAATCCGCCCAGTCGCTCTGCGCCTCTTTGCTGCACGTGAGGATCTCGGTGCGGAGCACGGAATGCAGCACGGCCCACATTTGCTTCACCGAGTCGGGCACCTTTCGCGCCGCGCGGAGCACACCCGCGGTGACTTCTATCACCGCGGTGTGGTAGTGTTCTTCTTGCATGGGTTTTGCCGCGCAGAACGCCGCAATCGTCTTGGTCCCATTTTCGACCACGGCGGCGAGTGCGTCACCTTGCTTCAGCATAGCGGCAACGACCGTCTGCCAGAACAGCGCGTTGCAGGTCGAAAAGTTTGCCCCGCTGTGCCGGATCCAGGAGGTGGGGAAGGTCACACGAAAAGACCGCATCGCGTCAAACGTGCCCCGTGTAGGGTCCTGACCTGTCCCTGCCACGTTCCGCGCCAACTGTGGCAGTGCCTCTGCGGCGGCGGCAAAAAAGGCGTCCCAACCACCGGGGTAGCAATCCGGCACCAGGCGAACCAAACCAGGGTGCTTTCGGAACCCGAACACCATCGCCAGCACGCTCGCGCGGATCAAGCCCTGCTGCGCTGTGGGTTGAAGTACCGGAATCGCTTCCCTCAGGATCAACTCCCATAAGTTTTCCGGCCCATCTGCGTGGTGGCAAAGTACCATAGCCACTACCAGCAACACGGTTTTGACACGCCAGTGGCAGTCCGGTCGTCGAAAAATCTCCAAAAAGTCCTCGATCTGTGTGAAAATCACGAAAAACATTCCGCTTGCTTCTCTGTTTGCGCATTGTTCGTGGACGTGTTCCTCTTGCATTTCCTTGTTACATATCAACGAAGCACACAAAAAATAACCACGCTGCGAGGACTATACATAGATGTTTGCGGTTCTTGCGCAGTTTTCTTCGATGAGAAGTACTTCGGAACTGCCGTTGGCGTTGATCACAGCAATCAAGAGCATCTATACCCTGTTCTGACGTATCATAATCGTAAGCATAGTATCTCTATCTATGTATAGTATACAATGACAGAATAAATACTATCTGAAGCTGCTCAGACTCAGAGGTGTTGTTCATCGTAATCTGAAGGGAACTTCTTACTTACCTTCCAAGGGCTCTGGCTATCCAGCAACAGATTTGTTCGGCCTTTGCTTTCTTGGTCATCGTCGTCAGGCGATACGGCAACGCTTTCCCGCATTTTTCGTTTTTTGGTATAGCACGGCCGGTCGCGGTGCTCAGTCTATAAAGGAGAAGCGAGTGCTGATCGTAAGGACAGCTGCAGATGACAGCCCTGCAAAAAGCCGCAGTCCTCTGCCACGCGGATTTGCATACAATACAACATCAAAAATCGCGCATTTCCATGCAGCCGCGAGTGATTTTGTTTGGAGGGGGGCGTTTTGCATCACGAAAGGAGTTAAGCAGGTGGCAACCAACTCGCTTTTTTCTATTTGGGAGTAGCAGCAGTCCGGAAGATGATCACTAGTGCTTTTCCTTCATACAATCCACGCGTCGACACAGCAAAATACTCGCTGTAGCACACTTGTGGAGGCGCCAGGCTCGAAATTGACAAAGCCGATGAAGAACTGATTTGCAACGCATGAAATGCCAAGTGCCATGAATTTATTTTATAAGGCTGCTTGTGAGCCTGTTTAGGGACATGCGTCAGAGACACAGATACTTACAGCTGTACGGGAGTTGCATGTTTGTTGACCACGGAAACAGGTTTTCATTTTCTAATTGCCGCCCAATGAAACAGCCTCAGCCTGACAAATTGTATGAACAAGGTGCGACGAAATCTAATGTCATGCGCTTACTAGAAACAGAAATTGTAGGGCCACAACAACAAATAAACTGGTGTCGATTTTGAATTTGATTTTGTGCATTTTTGCAGAATCTTCCAACTTTGTCGATTTCAAAACTGAATACAATCCCATAACAGTGGTCTTCACGACCTCTTTGCTCGACTGGTGCGAAATCGAGAGATGATACAGGAGGTCCATCAGCTTGTAGCAAAATGCTGCGGACGCGCGGCCTCTTCCGCGCCACAGGGTGATCAGCATGCTTCGCATGGTTCCACCAACCGTGAATGAGATCCCGTTGAGCTGGTTTGCAAATGCCTTCTTCTGCTCTTCGGAGAAGTCGATTTGCCGCAGAAGCCCCTGCATCTGGTATTTGACTCCGCGCAGCCGCACCGCAAAGTTCTGCGCCAGGGAGCCTTTGGCACCGATGTGCTTTCGCGCCCCGCGACTGAGCAGACCCTGGGCCCGTTGCCGGATCTGCGCGTCCGGCGACCCGAGTGAGATTTCCAGTAACAGCTCGCACAGATGCCGCCGCTGCCCCTGATAGGTGTAGCCCGCCATCACCCGATCGGCGGAGTGGCTGTCCACGGTGACGCAGAGTTTCTGCGTCCACCACAGCCTTGGGACGTCGCGGTGCTTCGCCAGATAGTGTGTCTGCGCCATCTGCGAGATCATATTCCCTGAAAATTAACCATTACCATCCATTTTTTGAATCATCGTCATCATGTAGTGGACACCCGCAGCCAGCTCCACAGGCCAAGGATCCCCTCCCCGGAGGGTGGGCGAGGAAGCATTTTCGGCGACCTTCAACCGCATGAAAAGCAAAGAATTTCCGTACATATTTCGCCTGACAAATTGGGCGGGGATGGTTAATTTTCAGGGAATAGATCACTGACTCGCCGAACAGATTCATGTACCAAGTCAAGAACGGGTCGCCGCGCTGGCTGCCCGCTGGTCGCTTCGTGCGGAACAGCGACCCTGAGTTGCAGGGGATCTGGTTCATCCACAGCTCCGCAACGCAGCGCAAGTACTTTTTCGTCACCTGGGGAGACGTGAGCCCCGTACCCGCCACGGCAGAGGGGAGCGGCATTAGCGAAGCTGCTGTGGATGTAGTGGCAGCAGCGGCCGACGAGGACGATGCTGCGGATGTCGTTGCCAACTTGCTTTGCCCCGCTGGCGGGTCCCCCGCGTGAAGAAGTGCAGCATCGAGCTCTTCGGAGACCGCGACCGTCTCCGCATTACTTCCCATCAGGCCCTTTTCAAGCATGAGGCGCATGGCAATCGCGAGTGGCTCGAAGAAGTGTGGAAACGACTGCGGCGCCGTCCAGATTTTGTAGTCGGTCAGCTCGTCAGCCCAGAGTGCGTGTCCCCCTCGCAGCAAGGCCTTGAAAAGGCTGAGCACCCGGTCCGCGAGGAGAAAGGGTTGCCGAGAAAAGTTGCGCAGCAGTTGAACCCGACTTGCGTTCCTCTTTCCACCAGCTCCCGCCGTAGCAACTTGGCTTTGCTCACTCTCCAGCAAGTCGAAGTCCTCCTTGCACCCACCAACCAGCCGCAAACCCGGGGCGCCACTGGATTCGGCAAGTTGGTGAATGACTTTAAACGCCCGACGGAATTCGGTGCGTGTTTCTGTGTGTGATTCGAATGTTATGGATGATGCGTCGTCCTTCAGCGCTTCCCAGTCCCCAGTGTCCTTCGATTTTGCAGCATCGCATGGCGTGTCTGGCGTTTCGAGCAGCTCCTCGATCCAGGCAGCGGCAGTTTTGCATCTTTTGAAAAAACCACCTCCCTGCGCTCCGGGCGTTGGCGTGTCCACATCCATCGCATCAGCGGATGGGGGAGGAGCATCTGCAGCGTCTTTCGTTGTTCTTGCATTGCTGGTCGTAGTTCCACCTGAGACGGCAACACTCCCGCCGACGTAGGCGGCGCACACCAGATGAAGAATATTGCTGGCGACTGTGCTGCCGAGTTCCGTAGCCCACGCGAGCTCCTCCACGCCTGGGACGTACCAAACCGGCTTGCGCAGCGGAAAGCAACGCCACCACGGCACTTGCGCCCACAGGTTCTGGACCTGCTGCTGCGTCAGCCCATTCCTCCAATCCTTTTCGCTGACCACGCGGAAGTCGTTCACGATGTAGCTGCTCCCGAGCGCGGCCAAGAGACGTCGAAATAACTTTGCGGTAGCCTTGTGAACCGCGCGGTTCTCCTTGCTGTTGTCTGTGCCGCCACTCACTGCTGCGGCCTTTTCGCTGGTGGACTGCTTGCAGTAGTTCAAACCGAAGCTGAGGACGCGCTCCAGCTCCTGGCGGTAAGGCAGCAGGGCCGTGCCTCCCACTAAACGCACCAGACCTTGCAGCAGACTCATGCAGTAAAACACCTCTACGTGCCCGCTGCGCCCGGACTCAATGCGTTTCACCAGCAGCGGCAACAGCTCCCGGAGTGCGGCTTCCGGCATGGCGCGCGCGATCGCCTGCAGCAGACCCTTCACCGTCTTAATTTTGTCCTTGTGGATCTCTCCCTGCACAAACTCCTTCATCCGCTCGAGCACCTGATTCTGGATGCTTGTGGACGTTTGGGAGAGCACCAAAAAGTTGCAGATAAAGAGCAGGTTGCCGTTTACCTTGTCGAGCGCCTGCCCGGTGTTCAAAGCTTGCCCCTTCTTGCCCCCATCCAGCGAGGTGTCCAGAATGTACTGCAGACTGCGGTCGAACAGGTCCAGTGCAAACCCAGGCATGGCACTGGATGCCATGACAGCACCGGACTTGCGCTCCTCCTCCCACTTCTCCCAAAAGGCGCGATCAACATCTGCAGAAGCACCACTTCTTCCTGAAGACGATGAACTAACAGAACTGCCAACTCGCAGCACCATCTCGCCAGGATATGCCTCATCCCGGCAGGTGAGCGGCGCCGGTGCCCTGGCGGTCGCGTCGGACTTCTGCTCGCTTGGGAGGTCGCCGATGTCCAGACAGGGCACGGAGCTGAACAGGTTTACAATCAGTGCGGCGACCGCCAGCGTCTTGGCGGAGTCCGTAGGGTCGATACCCACTAGAATAAGGTCCAGAATTTGTGGCACAAAGGAAGGGAAGAACCGCAGCACGGAAGGCATCAGCCTGGCGAAGAGCCGGAAGATGCCGTTGATCCGCGTCGCCTGACTGGGGTCGTTCAAAACCTCCAAACCGGAGCAGAAGAGGCTGTGGAGCGAATTCTCCACGTCCCACTGGTGGAAAAGCGAGAAACTGGAACTGTACTTCTTGAAAACCTCATCTACGGTCGCGCTGCCCATGGAGATCTCTAGTTCTGTGGACACTTGCGAAACTTTCAACGTGTCGTCGTTCGTGAGCCGTGCTAGCCGGGCCAGCGAGTCCAGCGACGCGTGCTGTGCGTACGCGTCGCGCTGCACCATGGTCTTTTTCAACAATGGAACCACGAGAAAGCAAAAGTACGTGTCTGCATCCTTAGACAGGAAAGGCAGCTCCCTGGATTTTGATGGGGCTCGGAGCAGGCGACCGGCGCCGCGCGCGCGGGTGCGCTCGCGAGACGCCCGCATAGCGTAGGCATTGGTGAGGAGGTAGATGAAAGTCATCACGTGCCAGGACCATTCGCCTCGGTCTCCCTGAATGTAGGGGAAAATGCGGCGAAGCAATAGCTCCAAGGTTTGCCAATACAACATGTTGGCTGAGGACGAGGTTGTAGTGCTGGGCGAAGCTGCTGCACTACCTGCAAGCTTGTCAGAAGACCTTGCAGTAGTAGAGCCTTTCGGGTCCTCGGCAACAACTCCGAGTCCAGGGTCGGATTCCAAGGAGTAGACCAGAAACTTGGTGACGAATTTCCAGGTTGATACCGGGCCCATCAATTGCTCCAAAGAGTTCGGGAGCTTGTAGGTCTCGCCATAGCGGGACGTATCCAGCTTCGCCTGGGCCGTGGCAGCGTCGAGCGTGCTGGCCACCGGCGAGAACAGCGGTAGACACATGCGGCGCAGCACCTTATTGAAGAGCCAGGTGCTCTTGCGCGCCAGCACCGTTGCCGCTTTCTCTTGCACCTCCTCGTCACAACAAGCAAGGCCGCCGCGCCACCTGTTTTTGGCGAACCTGGCTAGCACCTTAAACCACATCATGTCAAACTTCGCAAGTTTTCCTTCCTCGAGAATCCCCCACCACCTCCACAGCCGCCCGTCAACGATGGTTTCCTGCAGGACGCAATTAGGCAGTAGCAACACCAGTAACCGGCACTGCAGCACTCCGATCTTCTGCAACGGATCAATACCCGTCGCAAGAAAGCTCACTAGCTCGGTGGCGATCCTGGGGTCCTCGCAGTGCTTTGTTGCGAGCGCGATGACGCCAACCAGGTGTCCACAGGCACCGGCCAGGTTGTCGTGTTCGCCGTTGCCGGCGCCATTGTCCAGCCTGGCTGCCCGCCGGAGCTGCGCGAACAACAGCTCGACGGGCTTTTTCCAATTAGGCAGGATGAGGTCCTTGATCAGTCTGGCTTTGAGCTTCGCTCGCTCCTCCATGTCCGCCCGCATGCCCTCTTCCGTGAGAAGGGCGGTGATGTCGTGCCGCGCCCAACTCTGCGCAAAGCGCGACTCGACTTCGCGCTCCGCGTCGCGCTGGCCCGGGTCTTTGACCTGGGCGGCGTGAAACTTTGTGGGCGTGATCAGGCACAAGCGTCGTGGTGGCGCCGAGGAAGACGACGACCCACCCACTACCTCCAGCGGCCCCGCAGCCACCGCGCTGGACGAACTCGCCGGCGGTGTCGACATTGCCGTGTGAAAACTCGCGACGGATGAGCGGCCGCCACTCGTTGTAGCCCCCACAACATTGTTGTGCACCACGACACCCTCCCCGGGAGTAGCGAAGCCGCTAATATCCTCTTCGGTTGCTCCCTCATCCTGGTTCGGGGGAAGATGCGCTGGTCGCAAGCTTGGCCACCAGTTCTCTACTTCACTGCGAAACTGTTCGAGTGTGGCCTTTGTCCGCGCCGGCAGGCTCTCTTCGGCGCGCAGCTCGTCTCCGCAACACTTCGGATCCAGCAGCAGCTTCGTCAGGATAGCAACGGAGTCAAGGATTTTGCTCTGCACATTTATCGGGTAAGTCTCAAGATGCTCATTCACCTGGATCCAGAAGGCCTCGCACAGTTCGAGCAACCCCGCAATGCCCACTGTGCCGCTATCCTCACACTCCGGCTGTTCGCCCAACGAACCGGTTAGACGCAGGGCTGGAGATAAATGTTCTTGTGTGTTTTTTGATCAACATCATGACAATAAATTAAAAAACAAGTAGGCTAATCGTCATCGTCATCATCTATCCTGCACTGAGAGGGCGTGCGTGAGGTTTAGGTTTAGGAACAAAAAGCAGGCAGGCTAAATATGTTGATGAGTCGGCAGGGCCTTAGAAAATATGCTGCACGTGTTCGCCGAATCCGAAGTTTCTTACTCTCACGACTACTTTTCTTCTACTTTTACCATAGGCCATCTCCTCGGCGGAGCAGGGACCATTCTTCAACAAAGCAAGCACTTTTTGGTGGTTGCTGTGCCTCCATCGTCCGATGGTATGCACTAGATGATCGGGCAGGAACTCAGTCGTCCGACCGGCAGGTAGATACTCCACGTGCGCCATTTCTGTTCTTCTTATACTTTCTTGAATGCTTATTCAGGTCTAGGCGTTGTCATGAGGACTTCTGACCCACTATTTATCAAGCCAGACATCTTCACCCAATAAGAACCATAACTACCAACACCTGTTCTCCAGGTCTACGATACTGGTAATATTACACTAACACAAACACTATCGCTAGTAAAAGAGTTGCAACTGCATCATGTACATGTTGATTTGGTACTAGCATGAAATGCCACGAGAATCTGAGGAAAATGAAACCTTTATCTTTATTAAAGTGAGCAAATTCAGAACAAATAAAACCGATGGAATTGAGCCATGATAGATTGTGTGGGACAACACCTACACCAACGAGGACATGGGTGAGAAATGAATCTTCGACAAAGACAATACAAGTACAACATTGATGTTTGTGGTAAATCTACTGTTCATGTTGAAGTCGGACACTTCCACACTTTTTTCTTTCCAGTTCTGCAACACAGATCCATCGACGATCATTCCAATACTGAAGCCTTCCACGAACATAGAAGCCGGTTTGCTGGGTACCACAGTTTGGTTCTTCTTGTATCTTCATCTTCTCTTACGACTAGTATCCACAATGTACCGACTTTGCATCTTCTCGAGCAGCTCAGAGCAGTAGCAGCTGAACACGGGACTGCACTCAGATGATGAGATGGTAATCATGATGATCTTCAGAACTCAATGACATGACAACGAACAATTTCTATTCATGCGAAAATCTTTGTGGAGCTGTTGAAGAGACGAATTTGAGTGCTTCTATCAGTCATTCCGAATGGACAGGGCCTGCACGACGTCCTGCCGAGCAGACGCCGTGATCTTCCTAGAACCGGCAGCGCGACAGGGAAACTGATTTAGATGACAAAGTCGATCTTGGGTTAGAGCCCCATTCATGCTCATCGAACGACGTGCCGGCTGCGCGTAGTTCACGATGAGTGCGAGTTCCACTTCCCGTCTCGGGGGGGGGCCTGAGGTAGATAAAAAGCAATGCGGTCGCTTTGTTCTTGGTCTTGCAGGGTCACTACATAGAGCAGAGGTGTTGCCGCTACGTGTTCTCTTCTTGAGAAGTCGGAGGCTTCCCCTTTGCCGCGCTGAAGAGTGACAAGCAGGCGCGCGCACGGTCGCAGCTTCGGCAGAGCATCAGAGCGGCTGAGAAGTGGGTTTCTGGTCAAGTGCTCGGGGTCGTTGTAGGAAAGCGCGTCATCGGAAAGAGGTTTCATCAAATTATCTAGTGCGGTCCTGCGCCCTCGGTCGGTGCGGAGACAGTCGCGGGTGGGCACATCACGGCTTCGCCATCAACCGACTGCTGTGCAACCCCTAGCAGCCCCTTTTCTTCCACGGGCAGTATCGCGGCGCCATTGTCTTTGCGAACTTTCTGCTTGAAAAGCTCGGTCGCTTCCAGCATCCGGTTGTAAAACTCCTTCTGTCGTTCGATGTTTCTTTTTGACCTATCCTGAATCTGCTCTGGCTGCATCTCCGGGTGTCCTTTAAAGGCCGCGCGCCACCAGAGGACGGTTCCCGTAATCATCGACTTTTTCACAACCTGTGTAGTCCAGAATATTGAGTGAGAGTTGCACATCCACCACCTTGTCCTTCATGTGACAGCAGCTCACTATAAGTACGCTGCTACCTATTTATCACGTAGCTCTGTTATCTTGATTTACTTCTAGATCAAATTCTGAACACCTTGCCGCGTAGATCATGACCACGCAGCTCGGTAAGGGTAAGTACTGCCCCACTACTTCTGCACCTCCACGTCACTCTCATCGTCTTCTTTTATTGTGGTGCTTACAACGCTAGTAGCAACTACTAGGAGGTGTTGTGTAGCATCTTTTGATGATGTGCTGTGGATAAGTATTCGGAGACAGAGACCCGAGCCGTCACCCGGTAGCAAACCAATAATGGACTCATTTGACGCGACGGCTCGCTTGAGATTCAGCGACCTTCTCTTCAGAGCCAGAGATACAACCTCGCCCCGCCGCGATTCGAAGAATCAATATAGACCATATAGCACCTCTCTCAAGTAAATTTTTCCATGCTGGTACAGACAACACACCTTCATCATCATCGTGTCGCCAGTGCTCCGACAACTGGTGCAGACGAAGGCGTGTCACACACAAATTAGCCGTCGGGGATGATGGTGCGTCACCATCCTATGCACTGCAGCGATACGACTGCTCGATGAAAAAATAATGTAAACTACATCCTCTTGAAAAACACGGAGAAACAAACAAAAATACTACCGTCAGTTTCAAGTAACGGACATTGAGCATTCCTTGATTCGGTCTTCCAGTGCCGTTTTCGAACTCCCAGTCTATGTCTTCTTCTTCCGTGGTCGCCGCGGCGTCAACTTCGTACGTCCATTGGAAGGGCTCGAGCATTAGCGGCCGTATCTGCACCTGTCGCGGCCCAAATTTCTCAAACTGCGGACGCAACTTTTCGTGTACAACACAACTGGAACTACATTGGAACCGGACAAACGGTATAGCATTTCCAAACGTGGTTCCATTGACACCCCCTGCATGGATTTTTCTTGATTTCGTTGATTTGCCACACACAAGAATCCATGGGTTCAACATCGAGATCGACATGATAATGATGGTCATGCTTGTTTGCGATATCAGGCTTGTTTCGAAGAGGACCCGCTCAAGAATGCAAGAACAAAAAATCAGCCGCAAACCATTTAAGGGATGTCCATGCCACAACGTTTGAGAAAGTCATAAACACCTCCCGCTGGTTTTGACTCCAGTAATACGGAGGATTCGAGTCCGCACAGTAGCCCCCGTTCCGCGTCCAGTCAGATGCAAGTGCCTGATTCCAATCGTACGCGGTTCGTGCGGGGTGCTGCGCCGTCGACGTGGCAGCTGCTCCGCTGCCAGAAGAAGCCAGGGCCAGAACTGCCTTCTGCTCGTCGCTCACAACGTTACTGCGTGCCTCATACTTGTCCGATGTTGATGTTGTTCCACAAGATAACGCTGTAGCTGCGCTAGCCTCTGTGCTGTTCGTCCTGCACGCGGTAGTGGTGCGGTGAGGCATTTTTGCGCCAGACGAAGGCGAAGAAGTAGAAAAATCAGCAGGAGGCACGTACCTACCTCCCGGCTCGACCCGAACTGGTTGGCCCTCACCGAATGTCACTCGTTGTTCTGCATCGAATCGAGTCACCTTGGGCCGAAGTGCAGAATCCTCGCCGGAGCGTTTGTTTGTCCTCGCGTGCTCGTTTTGCAACTGATGAAGCATGGAGGTCTGATGCTCGTCTTGTGGGTCAAAATCACAGTCGCTATCGTCGTGTTCCGATTCGGAGTCGGAGATCTCCATTCGGCTCCACTTGGAATAGTCCACCATATTGCTTTACGTTTCCACCTCCACGCACTCGACCTACAAAATAATTTTTCTACTCTGACGAGTCATCTATTACGCTTACGCAACACCAAACAAGTTTTAAACACAACGAATTTGGCGCACCTAAAAATTAACAACATGCGGAGCCTCAAGTTATAGTGTGTCTACCAGGAATAAAAAAAGAAAAAAAGCGCCGCTCGTGTCGTTCCGATAAAGGGGAAACAAATTCGTAGTAGGAAAAACTTGGCTGGGATTGGCAAGAAGGTGCGACCTCATTTCTAGGTATTTCGGGTCCGATGTTGAACGAAGGTCCTGCGTGAAATATCTATTGAGCAGAACATTCATAGGACTTCTGTACTTGCGTTGAGTACGCGCACACACAACAAGGATTGTCATGATCTTGAGGGATATTTTTTTCTGAAGGACGATTGCCATGATCCATCTGTTTTTAAGGATAATTGTCATGCTCAACACGCACTGCAAGGGATGTCACGATCTGTTTTTGATTGTCACACACTTTGCAGATCCCATCATGTTGCATGGAGACATCGAGCCCTTCTTCTTGTGAATGAACGCAGGAGGAAATAAATATATAGAGATTCTCGGTCTTGATTCTCATACGGTTCTTCGAGATCGACAACGACATCGAGATCTTAATCTTTGACATATAATGATCGCGCAAGAACATGCTCATGACAATACCGATTGGAGGACTAATGATCCGCTTGCGCAGGAAGTCTCTATCCAGACTACAGGATGATCATTCATGATCGGACAAAAAAGTGCTAAGTAACGCTAACAGAACTTGGGTTTGGCATGCAGTAACACATGACAAAGGGCGCCATATTTCTTTTTTGTATAACTGCATGACATGCACGATAAAGACGACAGCTTCTGCATTGCATCACATGCACGAATCTCGCATAAGTTACTGCAATCCCTGAATAAGTCGTTAACGTTCGCACTTTGTTATTGTTTCCCTTTCATCGGTTTCTGGCATTTCTATATCAAGTACGAGATCTTCCCCAAGCCATGATATTACCAGTGCATGGAATTGCACTAAACGCCGCCGCGACAATGAAGTTTATGTCGTGACCGTGAGGCTGGAAACGAAAAAATATTTCAACGGAAAAGTTTTGGCCTGCAGACATCCCCATCCGTGAAGCTAGATGCGACAGCCGATGGGAAATCAGATGGAGGCGCTTGTTCTCGTACAGACCAAAACGAAAACGGAAAACTTCACCCACTTCCCGCTTGTTCTCGTACAGACCAAAACGAAAACGGAAAACTTCACCCACTTCCCGCTTGTTCTCGTACAGACCAAAACGAAAACGGAAAACCTCACCCACTTCCAAGATGTATATAGTTATATAAATGCAAATATAAAAAAAAACATTGCAGCTTTTCTGCATATCCTCTGTCGACGAAGAATCGAAGAAGAGCTCTCAAAGGAGGAGCGACGCTCAGCATACAACATCAAAAACACCGCGGTATGCTTGCCTCACACCTCATCCCAATGCCGGCATGCAGGGATCATTGACGTCATGGTTTGTTCTCGATGATGAAGATGAGGTTGCACAGACAAAAGAACTGAAAGATCGACTGTCGTTTGTCGTATATAGGCCACGACCGCGTGGGAGTGGGTGTCGGTAGACGTGGATTATGATATCTGAGGCTGATCATCGTGTCGCGCGCAAAACGAGGAAGACAAAACTATGATGATTACGCACACGGTGCATCTTTACGCAACCAATAGTACTACCAACCCCTTTAGGTAGAGCATAATCCTAGCAGCTTTACCTTACGCTTTTAAGATGAAACATGAGTAGGGAGATTGACATTAGCTTGTCACAAATTATTGAATTGCGACTTCCATCCGCCGGCTGCTGTTGTGCCCGTACCCGCTCCACTCCTCCACCCATAACGGCCGGTAAGGGACTGGGACGCACCCCCTCCGAGAAGATTGGTCCGCCCGCCCGCTGCAAATGCACGGGCTCCTTGCGGGTTCGCTGCTTCCACTGAAGCATCGTCTTCAGGTACGATAAACAAGTAGTAGGCTAACCCTGCACAGCCACCGACGGATAGCATTCTCTGAAAATTAACCATCCCACCCCACACCCATTCACTTTCTGCAAGCCAAAACGAAAAGCCGACGCGACGCGACGCGACCCCTCGCCAGCTCCATGTTTTGTATGACAAATTGGATGGGAATGGTTAGTTGTCATGGAATAGTGAGCAACGTCAGCGTCCACCTGGCTAAAGGACCCCACTCGTTCAGTTTCTTGGCCTGTTCGGCGGACTCGTAAGCGATTGCATGTGCAACTTGGTAAAATTTGGACACGCAGTTATTCACGCAGCTCGTCTCCGCCATACTGAGCGTAATATCCTGTGCAAAAATGGCATCGCACTTGACTCGGCGCACTTCTGCATCGTCGTACAATTGAAGTGCTTTTGTGTTGCGCGGTATACTTCTTGTTCTTGTTTCACAGGACATCTAATTATTTTATATATTTTTCGGCTGGTCATCATCACGAAAAAGACAAATATCCCATCCAAGCCAGTGCGATAATACGTTTTGCAATCCTGCTCCATACCCGCCAAGAAGCAGCGATGTCCCTCGTGTTTCTGCTTCTGGAGTCGACGGAGCGCTACAATCGTGTGAAGATACTGAGCTCGACATGCAGCGTTCCCAGCAGAGATCTTGGACATTCTATCCCAGAGAAAAGGAAAACCACGCCCGCCTCCACGACCAGGAACCCTTCCGCAGGTATAAGCCAAGATGCAGGTGGAAACGAAAATCTCCTGCGTACAAAAATTACACAAATCGTCTACCAGGAGCTCTGGGAGCTGCAGCTGTGCGTGATATTGTACAAGTTTCTTCGGGTCAGCATCATGGTTGCAATGATTAGCTGGTCGCGTGTGTATGTGCAGGCATTTTTAGATCCACTGCATTGTAGTTTATCTGGACAGAGGACAAATTTTTACGCAACAAGAAATATGGGGTCGGGGTGGGTACTAGGTCGTTCTTCCTCCGAATACCTTCTGAAATTGCATCTGTGCCATCTTGACCTCGGCCATCACGGCCGAACCAACCGCAGATAGCTTGTTACTTGAAACGGCACTTGGGCTTTGGAAGCGTCCTTGCGGCAGCACTCCGCGCTGCTGCTCACCAGGCATCAGCATCATCTTCAACGGCTTCTGCTTTATTACAGACGAAAGCTAAACCTATTTAGATTACCTCGCGAGAAGAACGTAGAAAATTCTCAAATTCAAATAACAAAGGTGATGAATAAAGTAGTTGAAGCCAACGCGGATAGTAACACCAATACGTCTACTATGCAAATAGAAACATTCGAATGGTTTTTTTTTCGAGTAGCAGGGTGAAAAAGGTGTTACTGTGAGGGCTGTATCATGATAGAAAAATTGCTCACCGTTGGTTCTATAATTGACTACATTTCACCAGATGCTGCAGCTGGAGCTGCAGCTGCTGCGCATCGATTGCATTATCTTTGCTTCGGCTTCTGCTTTGTCTTCTAGCCCTACTAGTCTCGAAGCCCAAGCTAGCAGATGTTGAAGCAATGTGATGTATACCAATTTCTATTTGCTTCGGGTTCGAGACTTGTTGCAACGTGCAATCGATTTCCCAGCAGGAAGCAGATGAAGGAAAATCTCCACACGAAGTAGCTGCAGATTCCGAGAAAAAAAAAACACAAGTAACTAGGGTGAGGGTAAGGCGCGTGCTCTTCTTCTTTGATCATTTGGAATGTGCAAAACGTAACGCACACTGTAGCAGATAGCTCCACGACGAAGGTCGACCTCGACGCCTTCGCCTGTAATTTCCACCCATTCAGGGAAAAGAAAGGGACCGGGACAGAAGTCTTTTGCCTTCATGTAAAATTATGTTCCAAGTAGAAAAATCATCCTTGTTTATGTTGAACAACGAATAATCAGAGAGCTCTATCAAGGAAACCAACAACGCATGCGACGAATGCGCTGCGCTACTCTGAAATGCACGACAAGAAGTCTGCTTCGTTACTCGCTCTAGAAGTTGTGAAGCGAGCACGTAAAAAATACGCTGCACAACATGGCGGAGCGTTGCCTGTGTAAGTAAAAGCTGTAGGCGATCAGGATCACAACTAAGCGCAAACTCAAACGCAATAGCTAGAGTCGCAACCATCTTGTTCACATCGAAATACGCCGCATCTACTAGCACAGCGATGCGAGAAGCTGCTTTTCTTTGCGGCGTGCTTTCATCTGCGGTCGCGAAGCGTCGTGCGTAAAAGGTCCCCCCGCCGTCTGCTCCCCTGCAGTTTCGCCATGTTCAATTCGTTTTATTTCTTGGGCTTGAGGAGCCTCGGCTTTGTTTGCTGCTGCTCGAGACTTCATCCGGTTCATTGCTTTAGCAAGTTTCGCATCCATTCGCGGCGGCTGCTCGGCCTGTTCCCCAAATTTCGGCTTTGCTGCACTATGATCGTGGCTCCCGCCGAGCACACCGACCTTCTTGGAGCCATCGCGTCGCTGCCTCATCCGTGGCAAATTTTCTGATTGCCTCCGGTGCTTTGCTCTACCTGTTTCTTCTTTCTTCTTGCTCTGTCCATCACTGACTTCGTGGCCCGTGCAAGCGGTCGCGGAACGGGAAGAGGAGGAGGGCTTCGTCCCCTCATCATGTTCATGTTTTACTGCACCATCAAGTGCAATGGTAGCGGACCGATTCTCCGGCAACAATGCGCTTGCCTGTTCAGCGCGCCGGCGCTTAATCGCCTCTCGAAGTTCGCGCCCGGCAAGCTTTGGTTTTTTTGCTGCATGCTGCTGAAGGCGGCCACTTTTAGTCCTGACTTTCTCGTCATTGTCCGCGTCTTTCGAATCATTTTTAGCGAAAGAACACGCCGCCGAAGTTGGGTCACTCTCTCCGGTACCTGTCTCAGCTTTGCGCCTCGCACCACCTGCGCTTTGGGCCCAGCCCTCGGCGGTCGTCGCGTGCTCATGATCTTCATTTTTTTCTGGCGCAGACCAAAGGCGAGGATCACTCGTGCCCCCAATGGCGTCAGTTCGGACTTGATTTTCGCTGACTTCGCCGTCGCCGCTTCTTCTGCTCCTTTTTGAAGATACAACACCCACCACCGGGTCAAAGTTATTGCTCTTTTTGTCTGCGGCAGGAGGGACGACAAGAACTTCCCGACCATCATGTCTTCTTGCTGAGGCTGGCCCTCCGTGCAATAAGGCAAATGCTTCTGGCGGCAGAAAAAACGAACTCGGCAAAGATACCTGCTTCTGGTCGTCGATTTGAAAGTTGATCAGTGCAGCGCTGTTCGTGCTGTTACACTTTTCATGTGCGTCTCTAGAAGCGCCTTTTTCCTGTTCCTGGTACATTAGTGCAGAGGCGTCGAAGTGCAAAACTTCACTCTCTAGCTCTGCGCCGTCGCCATTTTCAGCTTTCTTCTTCCTCTTTTTGTCTCCAGCGTTCATTGTGTCGTGCTCGGGACCATGCTCCTGCTGTTTTACTGCCTTTTTTGTTGCTCTTTTGCCCCTTGTCAATGCATGAGGGTTGTTGAGACGCAACTTGTCGGCGTCGGGTAGTTCGAGCGTCCGCTCGTCGAAGATTATTTCGCTTTTCATTTCTTTTTTCGTCGGCGCCTGGTTGATCCGAGCTGCTTTCTTCCCGGACAGTTTGGGAACGGTCTTTACTCCTTTCGTGCTACGAGATTGGTTATAGAGGGCAACTGAGTGATCTTAGGCACTGCTGCCACCCCTAAGAAAAATCGGAGCTTGTAGTACGGATTTGCTACTTGTCATGTATGTTGGAAAGCTAAGGGCAGGGCGGATTTGCATGCAAAAAAAACACCAAAATAGAAAATCACTGATTGCATCATGCGGACTAGAGTGATTTTTGGTCGGTGTCTTAGATCACAAAAAGATATCTACTTCACTATAGGCGAATCCGCGCGACCGGCTGCCTTTTTCTAGCAGCCGGGAAGATCACTCGTTTGCCCTCCATATTGATGCTGTCCACGGCGCCCATGACGTGTGGCAGGAGCTTGATTTTTCAGATCCGCTTTGGACACAGCGCGACCCTTCGGCTTCTTTCCTCCTCCTCCCTTGCCTCGGCGTTTCATGCCTTCGCCCGCTTTGGCATTCGCTTTTGGTCCATGTCCTCTTCCACCCGAACCTGCAGACTTCATTCCCCTCATGATTGCAAACGGGTTGCTGGTTTTGGTAACAAATACACCGAGGACAACCAGATATTAACTGAGCAGATACGATCGTAAAGCTGTGTACACTAATTTTGACGCTGCAAAGCAATCTATAAACTTTCAAAAACAAAAGCCCAAACTCAGGTCTTGGCTGTTAGTTTTTAGTCGTCTTTGTTCTGCCACTGAAATACAATTACGAAAAGTTTAGGAAATCGATCGAGATGAATTTTGTGAGTGTTGACCTTGCTTTTATTGCAGAGCCAACCACGATCTCCAGCATTAACGTATTGCATTATCATCATGTACATATTATGGCAATGGCTCGGAAGGATCTTGAAGTTGCTCATTTTCTTGTTGACTTCTCCGTTTTTGAATATCTGGCGCTACTACCAGCAACCAGCGAGCTGCAACAGAGCGTGCCTGGTGCAGGTGCGCCATGCCCATGCGCCGCCATTTTTTTTTGCGCTTCGTCTTTATACTACTTAATCCGAGAAAAACTGATCATTTCTTTTTCCAGTCCACCGAGGTGGGACCTCACTACTAGGCCGCTATGATTGATCTGATTCTGCGCGTCTTCTAACACTTAGCTTTATAATTTGCAGCTTTTTTGTCTTCCTTGTTGACTGCTTTGCTGTAGTGAACGTGAACCGCATTCCTTTACGCGTGCTGAATTTGTTCGGTTGTGCACGTGCTGCTGTAGGTCATACTGGCTCATCAAGGATTCAATTATTGAATATTGAGCGTTTCTGAACAAGGTGGCTGTGAGCATGATCAAGAATTTGTTCTTGACAAGCATCCCGATCTGAATTGACTAAATTGAAATCACGATGTAAATCACGATGCTACGATGATGATTCAAAATGAGGTCTCATGCAAATCACGATGCTCATGAGAAGGAACAAAAATGAAG